GTCAGTTCCTGTTAAAACTGTTTATATTATGGACTTTTCCTGTCACGTTGTGCCAGCAACACACCTTCACTTGCCAATTCCTGATCATTAACGGGTTTATTTAAGCCCCGGGCTATCTTTTCATCAGTCAGATCCTGTTAAAAAGTGGGTGTGAGTAAAACTGCCTGTCCGTTGTGTAAGATGACTTTTCAGAATCTTAAACCTCTGCTTGGTCGAAGTGGTTAAAGCGTTCGCTCGTCACGCCGAAGACCCGGGTTCGATTCCCGACATGGGTACAATGTGTGAAGCCCATTTGTGGTGTCCCCCGCCGTGATATTGCTGGAATATTGCTAAAAGCGGCGTAAAACCAAACTCACTCACTCACTCACTGCTTGGTCGAAAGAGTTCCTATCTGGTATACATAAACTGACAAAAGCAATTAAAATAAGAAAGGATATTTTATAACTGATATTTGACCACAAAACTTTTCGCTTAGTCTTCAGTTCGTTTTGGAAGAGAGGATATATTTTTACATTTAGTCAGTCTTTGTAAAACATCTTTGAAAACATCGTTAACACATGTTTCTTTAATAAATTTATAGGTTTTGCATTTTTTTATCCCTGACTATTGGGTAATACAGACGAACGGGAAAAGCGGAATGTTTTCACAGGGGACTATCGATAAATATACACCTGAACACTAAGGGGGACCCGTGAAGATCCGGGGTAGAATAGGTCTTCGGCAACCCATGTTTGCTGTAAAAAGGTGACTATGCTTGTCGTAAGAGGCGACTAACGAGATCGGGTAGTCACGCTCGCTGACTTGGTTGATGCATGTCATAGTATCCCAATTTCGTGGATCTATGCTCATGATGTCAATCACTGGATTGTCTGGTCCAGACTCGATTATTTTCCGACCGTCGTCATATAGCTGGAATATTGCTGAGTGTGGCGTTAAACAACAAACAAACAAAGAACCAATGAAGTAACGGGTTACGGGTAAATTTAGAATAAATGTTCCAAAATGATTATGACGTCAGAGAAGCGTTTATTAACCATAGGGTTAGAAATAAGCGAGTTCGTAAACATCGTATATTCGTACAACTTTCTTCGTGCAGTATCACTTCACGCGCACCAGTGTATTGTTCACGTCATCCGCACGGCATTGTTGACGTTATTCGAATCTTAGTCTGACGTCAAGTCTGATGGACGTCACACTACGAACGACGCCATAGCTGAAGATTGTTGACGTCATTGGGCAATGGTAGTTTACTGAGACAGTAGTTGATCAGTGTATTTTTCGAAACCTATTAAAAGGATTAAGAAATAATTAGTGATGAAGAAATTATTTCATTCGCATGTGTCTCACACTGATTTTTTTTACATCCGTGTAAGAATTCACGTATTACCTTCGCTCTCGCTCGGGAAATACAAGAATTCGGACACTCGTTTCGTAAAATCAGTAAATGACACACATGCTCGATAAGTAATCTCTCTGTGTAACGTCCTTGAACAAAAGGTTATCAGTGGTGAAGTCTCTTCAATTGTGTTACTTAATAACATTAGCTGCGTTCGATTGGCTATTTGCAGAAATAACGGCTTTTGGTTTGTGTCATACATCTTGCTATAGGGTATTTAAAAGTTATCAAACCAACGCCGAAAGTCACAATATTGCTTATTATTGCTGACGTGATTTGGAAATCACTCACCTAACGACGTCAGCGACGTCAATGGATCCAGGTTCATGGTCTGAGTGTTGCAGTACGTGATTTTATTTACAACGTTTTTTTTTATATCTTGGGTAACATCTCCGATGGAACTCCCGGCACCCAATACTTGTCTATCAGTCTGTCTGTCTGTCTGTCTTCAGAGCGGACTAATGAGGGGTGGGGTACAGTTGTACAAAAGCCCCGTGAAGATCCGGGTTAGAATAGGCCTTCACCAACCCATGCTTACCGTAAAGTTCGGCTATGCTTGTAAGAGGCGACTAACGGGATCGGCTGGTCAAGCTCGCTGTCTTGGTTGATGAATGTCATCGTATTCCAATTGCGTAGATCGATGCTCATAATGTCAGTCATTGGATTGCCTTGTCCAGGCTCATTTATTTACAAGCCTCCGTCATATAGCTGGAATATTACTGAGTGCGGCGTTAAACAACAAACAAACAAACAGTTGTAAAAAAACAACTACAACTGTCGTATGTTAAGGTAAGGGAGTTACGATCACCTTAGCGCTAAGATCGCTTTGTACAACGAAGGACTGGTAGCTGCAATGTTTGGCTGTCCCAGAACTTGCACGTGCAACCAATACATAATTCAAATTTGGTTGTTTGTTTGCCGTCTAACGGGACCCGTGAAGATTCCGGGGTAGACTATTTGTTGTTATCATTGCCGGATCTCTCCCAAGAATTTCTTAAAACATTAAATAACATGCTCTTTAAGTTTTTTGTGGAACGGAAAGACTGATAAAGTTAAAAGACTAAAAGTCTATTAAGATTACTTGGATATGGCGATTATTATGTGGAGATACCAAAAAGTGGAAAGACATCCACAAGGCTGCATTTCCTTTTGTTAATGAAGTCGAAGAGTTTGGATCTCATTTTATAGAAAAGAAACTGTGTTTGTTTTATAATTTATTTTGGAAAAACTGTTATGAAGCTTTTGTAGATTTTGATAAGAAGATTGTACCAGATACTTTCAGCAGTTTTTTAGCTGAACCTATTTTTTTCATTCGCAACATCAAAGTTAATAAATTACCAATATTCTTGAAAGATTGGGTTGATAAAGGTATCACCCAAATAGCAGACATTGTAAATCATAATCATGAATTCATATCTTTTGAAGAATTCAAAGACATGTACAAGATAAAATCTACTTTCTTGGCTTTTTATGGTATTGTTTGTGGTATTAAGAGATATTTGACCAGTTTGAATTTGACTAAACTCCCTACTGACTCTGTAGAAGAACATCGCTGTGCTATTAAAAAGATCTTCTCTCAAAGGACAGGCTCTAAATATATTTATAATCTTCTTGTATTTGTTGATATGAAAACAAGAGGCCAGGAAAAGTGGGAGTTACAGTTTGGAAAATTGAATTGGAATATTATTTGTGTTAAGCCTTCTAAAGCAACACAAGAGGTGAAATTGCGTTGGTTTCAGTATCGAATCATACATAGAATACTTGCAACTAATTCTTTGTTGTTTAAAATGAATATTTCTGATACCACGCTTTGTTCTTTTTGCAAATGTTATGATGAAACTATTGTACACATTTTTTGGGAAAGTGAACTTGTACAAGTATTTTGGAAAACCTTCTTAGATTGGATAAATAAATGTAGCCATATACATCATATGAAATTAAGTGCTGAACTTGTTTTATTTGGTGTTAAAGAAAATATTGTTACTGACAAAGTTTTTTATCTTCTTATTTTAATAGCTAAATCTTTTATATATTTTTGCAGATTAAAAAAAACAAATCTTTGCTTCGCAATATTTCAAAAAGATGTTAGTCTGAGATACAAAATTGAGAAGAATATAGCCTTTACAAATGGTAATGTAGCTACATTTTATAAATCATGGATGTTTTATCACATATTGTTTGAAGAAGCAGAACAGCAATAACATATGTATCTCTTTCTCATATTTGTTTCTTGCCAGGATCAGTGTTTGAATAATATTTTGAATGCTTGACTGTGTGTATGTTTTGTTATATTTCTTAAAAATCACCTTGGCACCATTTCCAATACTTGTATTTAATTTTCCCCAAATGTATACATACATTGTCTTCAGAATGTGAGGGTGACCATTGCCCTGGATTGCCATCCTCCTCATGTAACGGGGAAAAGGTGAAATAAAATGCTAAAAAAAAAAAAAAAAAAAAAAAAGATTCCGGGGTAGAATAGGTCTTCAGCAACTCATGCTTGCCGTAAAAGGTGACTATGCTTGTCGTAAAAGGCGACAAACGGGATCGGGTGGTCAGGCTTGCTGACTTGGTTGATGCATGTCATCGTATCCCAATTGCGTGGATCGATGCTCATGATATTAATCACTGGATTATCTGGTCCAGGGTCGATTTTTTACAGACCGCCGTCATATAGCTGGAATATTGCGGCGTTAAACAACCAACCAACCAACCAACCGTCTAACGGGACTCAGAAATATTCCTAGCATCTTAACGTTAGGGTTAGGGGACATGGCTGAATGATTGTCACCAGAACCCGACGGCCTGGATATCTGCTATCTGCTATCAATCACTGGTTTAACTGGTCCAGGCTCGATTACTTTCACGACGCCGTGCTGAGTGCCAATGTTACAGACGCAAGCAGCGTTCTGTTTTGGTGTCACATGCAATTTAATTGATATTCTACCATGAATTTGGAATTTACTCGATTCTGATTGGTCAATCAGAGGCTATTAAATCACAATAAACCCCCTCTGATTGAAACAGCTGGTTTGACGGCCGCATCACCGCGGAAGCTAATATTCATAGAATAGCACTTTTTTCAGTCATTGTCGGTAGGCCTATTTAAATAATTATCCCTTTTTTTCACCAAGGCAGGTATAATAGCTGTCTCACTTGTGGAATTGCTAGTTTTGCTTACCAGAAGATAAGCAAACGATCGCTTAAATTGTGACAACAATAAAGCATATATAGATCTTAATTGTAGGTGAAATAATCTATTTTAAGTACACAAAAACAGTTAGTTATACACCAGTTAAAGTATATACACAAAAGCCACAAATATTGTTACGTGTTGTTAAATATATTAATGCACATGTAGATCTATGTGCACTGAAAAAATACGCACACAATAATTTAATGTTCCAAAAATACTGAGCTAGTATCAAAATCAAAGGTCTTGCCATGCAATAAATCCAAATGTTGAATAAATGATATTCGCATATAATATTCTTAATTTATATTCATGCGTGAAAGATTTTTCATTTGAATCAGGACGCAACACCGCACGCACGGGTAGGTTCCGTGTCGACATGAAGTTCAAGGTGGTATAGAGGTCAAGGTCAAAAAGCACATTGACAAGATGTCTGCTTCCAGTGCACAGTCGAAACCAGCGGCTAAAATCCCGAAAGGGATTAAGTTCTTATTCGGGGGCGTGGCAGGGTATGTATAAGTAAAGCGAGAACGAGTCGTCAACACAGCGTCTGTTACTAAAATTATGTATTTTTCAACCGCTCACCTTCATTAGTGCATATTCATTAACTGTTCGCGTGTCGTGCAAGTTCACAGACTGGTAGTCGCATGAACACTTTAGGCCTAACAGATTACTCAATTCATGTGTTTTTCTCCGTGTCAGTAGTGATTTTAAGTTGCTAACCGAACACCCGTCATCCACATTCAGTGCAAAATATAATGAATGAAAATTCTATTTATATATGTTAGATTGAAAATTTATTGTCTGTTGCATTCTCGCTTGTGTGCCGACGTATTGGCTATTAGCGATGCTCTATGTTAGAACGACTTTGGGGCAGATTTAGTCTTTCAAGGAGACTAGGGCTGGGACGAGGCCAAATTTACAACCACGGGTACCCATCCCCCTATTACCCGACCCTACCCGGGTACCCACTGTAGGTCTCAGGAGATGTCTCAAAATGTCCGATTTGGAACATTTTTAGCATAGCCCTGGCAAAATGTATTTAGATACATGTATTTAACAATTTGGTCATTCATACACTGAAGTTGAATTAAGTTATTCAACCATATGAGAAATCAGAAGGAATGGGTGCATAGTAAGAAAGAAATGCGAACATTAGTGACTTGTAGTGTAACCATAGAGTTCCAGATAATTTGTGTCATTAAACAATATATCACATGACTAACCACGGTCCGGTTAGTCCTGTGGGTACATTGTTGATACTGATCTTCTGATCAGTTTTAGGTCATTTGTTCTACATTAATACATGTAGAATTTGCCATTTGAACATTAGAGTGTGACTGAAATGGTTGGTTAGAAACTGAATATGATTGATGTTAGGGACTGGTAATTTATAATAGGGGTAGGGTGTTGGGGCTTAGAACTGCCTCTCATTGTGCTGACTTGGTTGATGCATGTCATCGCATCCCAATTCCGTAAATCGCTGCTCATGTTGCCAATCACTTGATTGGCTGGTCCAGACTTGATTATTTACAGACCGCTATCATATAACTGGAATATTGCTCACTGCAGCGTTAAAAACTATACACACATGGAGAAAATATTTTTAAAATCCACACTGAAACATATCATTTTGCTTCACACTGTTATATATTGTCAGAACAGAATTAATTAGATTCTATATAAAATTCTATAATTTTCGTCAGCTTGTAGGGTATTCTCAAATTCAATCACAACAGTGGAGTTATATTTCTATCAAACATTTAGTTTAACATATTTAAAAACTGGTCATTTAATGTTACCTGTTCAAAATCAAGAATAAAAGGCCCCTCACCATAATCATGAAATGAATTTTTTGGAGTCCTTCGTTAGGTTAAGGACAGAGATGTTTAGCAAAGACAAAGCTCAAGTAGGACCATGATTATTAATTGAGACCACCCAAAAATCCCAACACCATGATTTAAGTTTTTAGAAAATTACCACTTCTAATTTAATACGTCCATGTAGTTAAGTCTGTTTGGGGCTTGTATGATATCAAAATACAGTATTCGACGTATTAAGCGTCCCGCTCTAATAAGCGCCCATGGCGATATTTGCTAATATATTGGCGAGTGAACGGTCCCAATTAGCACCCCTTCCGATTAATAAATGTACACAGGACTTATTTATTCTTGTATAATATGTGTGTTATATGCATCCTTATTTATGAGGAATTAAATTCTGGAAAAATATATCTGTCGTATATAAACATTTCAGGTTGTCAGCATAAACCACGAAATTTACGATCTTCAACTCTGTTGTTTTTCACCAAAATAATATTCTAATAAGAGCCCCCTATTTCTAATTTTGAGAGCGCACTGGGCGCTTAATATGTCGAATACGGTAAACACTTGTATCCTTGATGTAATATTTGAGAGGCCTTTTCAAGGAATGTATAAACTGACATATTTATTCATTTATATCATCAATTCTCTAGTGTTCCTGAATCTATGACAAACATTTCTGAATATATCAAGATATATTGTGCATCAAGGCACTTCTGATGCTGCTTCTAAAAATGTTGGTTTAAAAACCTTTCTGTAAGGTTTTTATTTTCAAGTTTTGAGCCACCTCAGAAACAATGTTGCATCCAACCATTCCTTGTTCAAATACAAGAGTCAAGTGTTGTGTGCAGACCCTGCCTTAGCCCTGCTCCGGGCGTAAGCTCGTCACAGTGTGTGCTACCTGTGGAACAGTGTAATGGGTTTTCGCACCTTGGTATTGACAGGTGTTTGACATGAATGTTTTGTTTGTTTCTATTTTGAATGAAAATATTTTTAAAAAAGATATGTGCTGGCGCCTGGTTATTGGACATTTATATCATAAACTACATAGGTGTAGGTCGGTGTTATTAATTACTTGTGATATTTGGTTTCAGTTATTATAAACATGTCATTTCATCATGAAATAATGGGTCTACCAGGTGGTGTCTATGCTGTGAGCTGACTGTAACTGTAAAATACCGTATTCGACGTAATAAGCGCCCCACTCTAATAAGCGCCACGGCGATAATTGCTAACTTATTGACTAGTGAACAATCCCAATTAGCATTCCTTCCGATTGATCAATGTACACAAGACTTATTTATTCGCGTATAATACGCACTCGTGTGTTATATGCACCCTTAATTATGGGCAATGAAATTCTAGAAAAATATTTATCTGTCGTACATAAACATTTCAGGCTGTCAGCATTAACCACGAAATTTATCTTTGAACTCTGTTTTTTCCCCCAACAAAATATTCTAATAAGAGCCCCCTGATTCTAATTTTGAGAGCGCCCTGGGCGCTTATTGCTTCGAATACGGTATATCACACGTTCTGGACCAGTACATCAACAGAGGATGTGCATTATCCAAGATGGAGTAATGTATCCCTCACCAGAAAATTAATGCCCGTTAAATATGATCCAAACCAGTAGTTTTATTTTCACAAGGATTTATCAAGTCATTGAACCAGGGCTCGATTTTGCCATATAAAACATGCACCAGCGCAACCTATAATTGAAAAATGCAACTTAATATTTTATGTTTACATGCAACAAAAATCAGGTGTTTGTCTAACCAACGGTTATTTGTCCACACAACAACAATCTGTGAACACACTAAATACCTGTCACTGTGTAATTCAAGACACATGACACTGTCATCTGTGATTTTACTTATGGGTATGCCCCGTGAAGATTCCGGGGTAGAATAGGTCTTCAGCAACCCATGCTTGCCGTAAAAGGCGACTATGCTTGTCGTAAGAGGCGACTAACGGGATCGGGTGGTCAGACTCTCTGACTTGGTTGATGCATGTCATCGTATCCAAATTGCGTGGATCGATGCTCATGATGTCAATCACTGGATTGTCTGGTCCAGACTCGATTATTTACATACCGCCATCATACAGCTGGAATATTGCTGAGTGTGGTGTTATTAACAAACCAACCAACCACTTTACCGGTACTTAGACTAGTTAATGCATCCATGTTTCAACTTTGATAAGTTTATGGGACGAGGGTGCAACCTGGTTTTGTCTGATGCAACTGGACTTTAATGGCAATATGCACCTGGTGCAAATTAAATCAAGTTGCTTAAATCGAGCCCTGCATTCTCAATTAGGCCTGATCCAGGGCTTTGGCGCATGTCATTCCCTCGACTAGAACACCTGACAAACATACAAACATGTAACTATACTCGTAACTCGCAATAACCTTGAACACAACGTTAAGCCACATTTCACCTCACATCACTTTAAGAGGCAAGGGAATGGGGGTCAACACTTCTTTATTCTCATTTGCAGAGCTCCAGATAACTTTTTGAGCAATTGAGTTTTTACTCGAAGGTTTCTATTTTTATTGGGTTATTACATTTTCATTTGGGTAACCAATATTTTTCACTCATCTATTCATCACTCTTTTTGGTTTTTCCAAAAATGAGCTAAGATTTTAAGATTTAAAAAAAAAAAAAAATAATGTTTTAGATGTATATGAGAGTTCTAAATATAGGCTTGACTCGGAAAGTAAATTAGCTCGTAATTGTGTTTCGGAAATAAGCTCCATTGTACACTTGCTGATTAAAGCTTTATTGGATATTTTTGCATGCTGTTTTTATACATTTGAGTACTGTAAATCTTAAAATTAAGTACTCTACTCAGCACTAAAAAGCGGTGCTATTTGGTGTGTGATTGGATTAATGTAAGTTTGGATTAAAGTGAGGATTCTCCTGTATTTTCTTTGGATACAGTATCAATCCACTGATGCTTGAGAGGAGGGGGATGTCGCATTCATATTGAGTCGCATTTTTGGCTCGGGGCCAGCGCTCGCATTCTTTTGGAGACAAATTAATTTCACGATTGACAGTATTTCATTTAATGAATGCATTTCTGTACACAGGTTAACTGAAAGTAATTGGGTTTTGAATATTTTTGGGGGTATTTTACGCAAATATGCAGCTTATCTGTAGCTCTGCTTTTGCATATGTTGTTCTAGAGAGTAAATACCAATGGATCTTTCTGACAAACTCAGTTTGCCAGCGGGGCGGTCGGGTAGCCTAGTGGTTAAAGCGTTCACTCGTCACGCCGAAGACCCGGGTTTGATTCCCGACATGGGTACAATGTGTGAAGCCCATTTCTGTGTTCTGGTGATATTGCTGGAATATTGGTAAAAGCGGCGTAAAATCAAACTCACTCACTCACTCAGTTTGCCAGCAACAACATTACTATTGATCCATATTCATGTCATTTCACCATGGGGTGTGTGTGTGTGTGGGGGGTGTATGTGTGTGTGTGTGTGTGTGTGTGTGTGTGTGGAGGGGAGAGACCCGGGTGGCCCAGTCGTCTGAGGTGCCGCAATTCGCTGTGCAGAGTTGCGTCCCTTGGGCACGCCAGAAACCTATGATAGTGGGTTCGAATCCCATTGGTTAGTGGGTTCGCCCTGATTATGTTTCTAGGTTTGTCAGCACCATACCCGTGCTCGTGGGTTCACCGAAGTGGTAAACGTCTGAGACCTGTATCATTTCCGGCTTTCCTCCCACATTAAGCATGTTAAGCTGACACGCCGGGATATAACCGTAATACTGTTAAAAGCAGCTTTAAACCCAATTCACTCACTCACTCACTCATTCCACCATGGACTAGTTTGATCATTTCGTTTTGTTGAAATAACTTTTCAGTTGAATGTCGAGGATTACTTGGTGAATCAGTACATTAAGCATGTCACCCATTTGTCTGTATTCAGGATGGGGGCCACCGTTTTCGTCCAGCCCCTGGACCTGGTCAAGAATCGCATGCAGCTCAGTGGTAGGTTGACTTGCTGTATTATTTACTAAACAATGTCCTCATCTATTTCACAATTAAGCGGGGGCACGGGTGGCCCAGTCGTCTAAGGTGCCGCGATTCGCTGTGCAGAGTTGCGTCCCTTGGGCACGCCAGAAACCTATGATTTTGGGTTCGAATTCCGGTTCGCCCGGTTATGTTTCTAGGTTTGTCAGCACCATACCGTTCTAGTGGGTTTCACCAAAGTGGTAAACGTCTGAGACCTGCATCACTTCGGGCTCACCTCCAACATTAAGCTGACACGACGTGATATAACTGAAATATTGTTAAAAGCAGCGTTAAACCCAACTCACTCACTTATTCACAATTAAGCAACTAAAATGATACACTTGATACAGTATGTCGTGATATTATGTTCTGTATATGATCAGAGTATTTTGTTTAGTAGTTATGGTAATAGATGCACCAAGATATATTTTAACTAATATGTATCAAGCTATTTTGTTCAGTATACAGCATTAGACCCGTGAAGATTCGGGGGTAGAATAGGTCTTCAGGAACCCATGCTTGCCGTAAAAGGTGACTATGCTTGTCGTAAAAGGCGACTAACGGGATCGGGTGGTCAGGCTCGCTGACTTGGTTGATACATGTCATCGATCCCAATTGCGTGGATCGATGCTCATGATATCAATCACTGGATTGTGTGGTCAAGACTCGATTATTTACAGACCGCCGTCCTTTAGCTGGAATATTGCTATATATATATATATATACAATTTATTGTAAAACTATCAATATTATGTTTGTAACAAAATATAACAATGATGTGGGCTGAATGAGGATGTATCTTCCAGGTGAGGGTGGCAAGGCGAGAGAACACAAGACAAGTTTTCACGCTCTGCGTCACATCCTGAAGACAGAAGGGATCAGTGGGATCTACACGGGGCTGTCGGCCGGTCTCCTACGTCAAGCAACCTACACCACAACGAGGCTCGGCATCTACACGACACTGTTTGAGATGGTTTCAAAGTAAGCAGCACCTTACAGTTGTTTTTAAACCAACTTGTCCATCAGTGTTTCTACCATTCTCCCGAGGCAAGTGGGTTAACTGACTATAGAAGTCCAGTTTCCACCCTTCTCAAACTCGGCTGGTATTATGGAGTTACATTTTGCCAGGAATAACGAGTCTGTGCATAGTCCAATCGAAATCGCGCAACGAAATCGAAATCCGGTTCATAAACTGTCATGCAGATGTCAGTCAGTTGCAAGATTTGCAAAGCATTTGCACTGCCACCGTTGTCAACAGATATTCTCCAAATCTTTTCATGCTTTTAATCAAGGTGCTCACATGTTTTGATGCACTTTGCGATGTAAGACCCGTTTTATCACAATATAGATCTTGATTATCGATCAGATCGTCTTGACTGGGCGCTGCCATTTTTTTTTTAAAGCAAATGCATGTGATACGAGAGGTGGAATCTGATTGGTCCATAGGTGAGGCATAGAAGGGACATAACTCGTAAGAGCCCAGAAATTCCATCCTAGATCAGTAAGGGTGGAAACTGGACTTTTAAAGTCAGTTAACTTTCTTGCCTCGGGAGGATGTGTTTCTACTTGCCCAACAATCCAACTGTATATGCCCCTCCACCCACAAGAAACTTTCTAATGTCGGTCATTCATAATTTGACAAGTTAGCATCAGTAGCCAGTTGCTTACATCAACAAAAAAGCTATATAAAATTACCTCCCTTGGTAAGCCTTTTGATTGTAGCGACACACTTATTTTTATAGTTGTTGTTGGCGAGTACACGTTAAGAAAATAATTGATATTTTCACAAATTCCAATAACTAATTAATAATACATATAGATATTATTATATAATATTTTCACTTAGCCCTGACATGTATTAAGGTGTGGCACTCCCTGATTGTTTCTCCGCACGATACTTATTGTTTTGAAATGGCTTTCTGTCATAAATGGGATATAAAAGAAACCCTTTAGTTTTGAAAATTGTACAGGTTTACGTATAGTCGCAGAGCTACAGATAAGCTGCGTATTTGCGTAAAATACCCCCCCAAAAATATTCAAAACCCAATTGCTTTCAATTAACTTGCGTACAGAAACACAGGCATTAAATGAAAAACTCGATTGTATAAAAACAGCATACCTAAATACCCAATGAAGCTTTTTCAGCATGCGTACAAAGGAGCGAATTTACTTTCTAAAACAAGCCTATATATTTAGAACAGTAATATACATCTAAAACATTATTTCATGTTTTTAAATCTTAAAATGTTCACAAATTTTGGGGGGCGGTCGGGTAGCCTAGTGGTTAAAGCGTTCGCTCGTCACGCCGAAGACCCGGTTTCGATTCCTGACATGGGTACAATGCGTGAAGCCCATTTCTGGTGTCCCCCGCCGTGATATTGCTGGAATATTGCGTAAAACCATACTCACTCACTCACTCACAAATTTTTCGAAAATTGATGAGTGAAAAACTATTGGTTTGAGTATAATCTGCAACTATAATGAATTGGGTGTAAAAAGCAGCTTCAATGGATTGGATGGTCAGACTCGGTGACATTGTACCCAGAGGGTGAGGATCGTTTGAGGCAGACATTGTGGACTGCAGCATTAAAAATGATTCACTCACTATGTTGACACTATTTTCAGAGACGGCAAGCCTCCCAACTTTCTAGCAAAGGCTGGTATAGGAATCACGGCCGGTGCTATTGGAGCTTTTGTTGGAACGCCAGCCGAAGTGGCTCTCATCAGGATGACGGCAGATGGCAGGTTGGTGGTGGACCTCTTGCTTCCCTGAACTATTTTTGGGGTGGTGACGTAGCCTTGGGGTGACACTGTGGTCACAAGGCGGCTGTGATAAAACTGCAGCTGAGATGAGATGGTCTTAAGAAAAACTGCAGCTGGGTTCAGATGGTTTTGAGAAAAACTGCAGCTGGGTTCAGATGGTTTTGAGAAAAACTGCAGCTGGGTTCAGATGGTTTTGAGAAAAAACTTCAGCTGGGTTCAGATGGTTTTGAGAAAAACTTCAGCTGGTTTCAGATGGTTTTGAGAAAAACTTCAGCTTGGTTTCAGATAGTTTTGGGAAAAACTGCAGCTGGGTTCAGATGGTTTTGAGAAAAACTGCAGCTGGGGTGAGACGGTCATGTAAAAACTGCAGCTGGGTTCAGATGGTTTTGAGAAAAAAATTCAGCTGGGTTCAGATGGTTTTGAGAAAAACTTCAGCTTGGTTTCAGATAGTTTGGGGAAAAACTGCAGCTGGGTTCAGATGGTTTTGAGAAAAACTGCAGCTGGGGTGAGACGGTCTTGTAAAAACTGCAGCTGGGTTCAGATGGTTTTGAGAAAAAAATTCAGCTGGGTTCAGATGGTTTTGAGAAAAACTTCAGCTGGGTTTCAGATAGTTTGGGGAAAAACTGCAGCTGGGTTCAGATGGTTTTGAGAAAAAACTACAGCTGGGTTCAGATGGTTGTGAGAAAGCTGCAGCTGGGTTCAGATGGTTGTGAGAAAGCTACAGATGGGTTCAGATGGTTTTAAGAAAAACTGCAGCTGGGTTCAGATGGTTTTGAGAACTGCAGCTTGGTTCAGATAGTTTTGAGAAAAACTGCAGCTGGGTTCAGATGGTTTTGAGAAAAACTTCTGCTGGGTTCAGATGGTTTTGAGAAAGCTGCAGCTGGGTTCAGATGTTTTTCAGAAAAACTGCAGCTGGGGTGAGACGGTCTTGTAAAAACTGCAGCTGGGTTCAGATGGTTTTGAGAAAAAAATTCAGCTGGGTTCAGATGGTTATGAGAAAAACTTCAGCTTGGTTCAGATAGTTTTGAGAAAAACTGCAGCTGGGTTCAGATGGTTTTGAGAAAAACTGCAGCTTGGTTCAGATGGTTTTGAGAAAAACTTCAGCTGGATTCAGATGGTTTTGAGAAAAACTGCAGCTGGGTTCAGATGGTTTTGAGAAAAACTGCAGCTTGGTTCAGATAGTTTTGAGAAAAACTGCAGCTGGGTTCTGATGGTTTGAGAAAGCTGCAGCTGGGTTCAGATGTTTTTGAGGAAGCTACAGCTGGGGTGAGATGGTTGTGAGAAAAATTGCAGCTGGGTTCAGATGGTTTTGAGAAAGCTGCAGATCGCCAAATCGGAAATGTCTAAGACCTGCATAACTTTGTGCTGATTAAGATTACTGGTTTGTCAGCTCCATGTGCCTGCTCATGGGATTCACCATATAACTGAAATACTGTTGAAAGCTGTGTTCAACCTGAACACATACACCCACCAGACACCAACCCACCCTCTTTGTCATACCCACCTACTCTCTTACTCACCCACTCACTCTCTCTTTTCAGGCTACCAGCTGACCAGCAGAGGGGTTATAAGAATGTGTTCAATGCGCTGTCCAGGATCATCACAGAAGAGGGCGTGGTCACTCTATGGCGGGTACGTGGAGCATTCATGACTTGACCACAAGGGACATCTACGGAGAGGCTGACAACGTTCACTGACGTATCTGTGCACCACAAATGTACACCTCACAATACGATCGAAGTGCCTACCCTGTATTGATTCATGTATATCATGGTTCATGTCATTTTTCGAAAAGTGATAAGACCACCTCCGTGGTCTAGTGGTAGAGCGTCTGCCCGGAGAGCGGAAGGTCGGGGGTTTGATCCCTGGCCGCGTCATTCCAAAAGACGTTAAAAGATGGTACTTGTTGTTACCCTGTCTGGTGCTCGGCATTAAGGGGCTAAAACAAGGACTGGTCGGCTCGGAGTCAGTATACTGTGTCTGAGTGGGGTATTCATGTTAAACTGCGGCATGGTATCTCAGTGAGCTAGCACTATAAGTTTGCATCAGTCCGGACTAGTACAAGCAGCCACACACACACACATTTGCATGCACATCGGTATATAAGTGCAATAATCTTGGACGTGACTTGAAACTCCATTTCACCTCACCTCAAAAAGTGATATTAACCAACTCTTGCAATAAATTGTTTGTAAGATTGTTTGCTGTTTAACTCCACACTCAGCAATATTCCAGCTATATAACGGCGGTCTGTAAATAATCAAGTCTGGACCAGACAATCCAGTGATTGACATGATGAGCATCGATCCACTCAGTTGGGATACAATGACATGCATCAACCAGGTCAGCAAGCCTGACCACCCGATCTTGTTAGTCCCCCGTTACGACAAGCATAGTCGCCTTTTACGGCAAGCATGGGTTGCTGAAGACCTTTTCTCCCTCGGATCTTTATGGTTCCAATAAATTGGTATAATAATTACTTGCACATGTGTTACCGTCCCTGTCACACAACAAAATGCTAAATCTGCTTGCATGATACTGTTAGATGATTTGAACTCTCTGATATATGCTCACCATGGGGATTCCGGGTTAGAATAGGTCCCATTGACCTATGCTGGTCTCACTGTGGGGATTCTGGGTTAGAATACAGTAAACTACGGTTATAACGAACTCAAAGGGACTACTAATTTTAGTTCGTTATAACCGTAGTTCGTTATAAGCATATATACAGCATAGCTACAGCATATAGTCGGGACTAAAAAGGTAGTTCATTATATCCGTTAGTTCCGTTATAACCGTAGTTTACTGTAGGTCCAATTGACCTATGTTGATCTCACTGTGGGAATTCCAGGTTAGATTAGGTCCCATCAACCTATGCTGGTCTCACTGTGGGGATTCTGGGTTAGAATAGATCCCATTGACCTATGTTGGTCTCACTGTGGGGATTCCAGGTTAGAATAGTTCCCATCGACCTATGCTGGTCTCACTGTGGGGATTCCAGGTTAGAATAGTTCCCATCGACCTATGCTGGTCTCACTGTGGGGATTCCAGGTTAGAATAGTTCCCATCGACCTATGCTGGTCTCACTGTGGGGATTCCTGGTTAGAATAGGTCTCTCTGTGGGGATACTGGGTTAGAATAGTTCCCATCGACCTATGCTGGTCTCACTGTGGGGATACTGGGTTAGAATAGGTCCCATCGACCTATGCTTGTCTCACTGTGGGGATTTCGGGTTAGAATAGGCCACCATCAACCAATGCTGGTCTCACTGTGGGGATTCTGGGTTAGAATAGGTCTCTCCGTGGGGATTCCGGGTTAGAATAGGTCCCATCAACCAATGCTGGTCTCACTGTGGGGATACCGGGTTAGAATAGGTCCCATCGACCTATGCTGGTCTCACTGTGGGGATTCCAGGTTAGAATAGGTCTCTCACTGTGGGGATTCCGGGTTAGAATAGGTCCCATTGACCTATGCTGGTCTCACTGTGGGGATTCCAGGTTAGAATAGGTCTCTCACTGTGGGGATTCCGGGTTAGAATAGGTCCCATTGACTATGCTGGTCTCACTGTGGGGATTCCAGGTTAGAATAGGTCTCTCACTGTGGGGATTCCGGGTTAGAATAGGTCCCATTGACCTATGCTGGTCTCACTGTGGGGATTCCAGGTTAGAATAGGTCTCTCACTGTGCGGATTCCGGGTTAGAATAGGTCCCATTGACCTATGCTGGTCCCACTGTGGGGATTCCGGGTCAGAATAGGTCCCATTGACCTATGCTGGTCTCACTGTGGGGATTCCGGGTTAGAATAGGTCCCATTGACCTATGCTGGTCTCACTGTGGGGATTCCAGGTTAGAATAGGTCTCTCACTGTGGGGATTCCGGGTTAGAATAGGTCCCATTGACCTATGCTGGTCTCACTGTGGGGATTCCGGGTCAGAATAGGTCCCATTGACCTATGTTGGTCTCACTGTGGGGGTTCCAGGTTAGAATAGGTCCCATTGACCTATGCTGGTCTCACTGTGGGGATTCCGGGTCAGAATAGGTCCCATTGACCTATGTTGGTCTCACTGTGGGGATTCCAGGTTAGAATAGGTCCCATTGACCTATGCTGGTCTCACTGTGGGGATTCCGGGTCAGAATAGGTCCCATTGACCTATGTTGGTCTCACTGTGGGGATTCCAGGTTAGAATAGGTCCCATTGACCTATGCTGGTCTCACTGTGGGGATTCCGGGTCAGAATAGGTCCCATTGACCTATTCTGGTCTCACTGTGGGGATTCCGGGTCAGAATAGGTCCCATCAACCTATGCTGGTCTCACTGTGGGGATTCCGGGTCAGAATAGGTCCCATTGACCTATGCTCATGATGCTGGTCAAAGAGGTGACTTTATGAATCGGGTGGTCACCCCAAGTGACTTGATCGATGGCATGTCATCGTACCCTGACGATGTTGGTTGTTGTTCACAATATCAAATACTTGATTATCTGGTCAGGATTTGAAGACTGACAGACTTCCGTCATATGGCTGGAATATTGCATAGTGTGGCATTAAGCAACAACCAACAAACAAAATTGATATTTGCAGGGACTGCCGCTATGAATACATGTGGCCCAGTCGTCTAAGGTGCAGCGCTGTGCAGAGTTGCGTCCCTTGGGCATGCCAGAAACCTATGATAGTGGGTTCGAATCCTGGTTGGCCCCATTTATGTTTCTAGGTTTGTCAGCACCATACCTGTCTTCGTGGGTTTCACCAAAGTGGTAAAACGTCTGAGACCTGCATCACTTCGGGCTTTCCTCCCACATTAAGCTGACACGCCGTGATGTAACTGGAATACTGTTAAAAGTGGCGTTTAACCCATGATTTAGCTGATTTTATGTCATATTATGAATGTAAGTTTTGTATTTCCAGGGTTGTTTACCTACAGTCGGACGTGCTATGGTTGTCAATGCCGCTCAGTTGGCGTCCTACTCACAGGCTAAACAAGGGCTCATGTCCACAGGTGAGTTGGTTACACAAGGGACAGTGGATGAAGGAACCCCTTCATCTTAACCCCACTGTGGACATAAAGTGAGATTACCGTATTCGACGTAATAAGCGCCCAGCTCTAATAAGCGCCCACGGCGATATTTGCTAATATATTGGCTAGTGAACAATCCCAATTAGCACCCCTTCCGATTGATCAATGTACACAAGACTTATTTATTCGCATATGATACGCACTCGTGTGTTATATGCACTTTAATTATGGGCAATTAAATTCTGAAAAAATATATCTGTCGTACATGAACATTCAGGCTGTCAGCATAAACCACGAAACTTTTCTTTAAACTCTGTTTTTTTCACCAAAATAATATTCTAATAAGAGCCCCCTATTTCTAATTTTGAGAGCGCCCCTGGGGCTTATTACGTCGAATACGGTAGGTCCCTAGGAACCTGTGCTGGATGCTAAAGGCAACCAAATGGTTCGGGGGTTCGTAAAGGGCGTGTCATCGTTGTTCACAATATCAATCACTGGATTGTTCGTCCTACTTGATTGTTTCCAGGCAGCTGTCATATAGCTGGAATATTGCTGAGTGCGGCAGTGGATAAGGTCATATAAGGGCTCTTTTAGTTCCACAGGATTGGCATAATTTATGTATCACAACTTTTAGAAATCGTTATGCAAATTCATGTGATTTGTTTATACGAATGAGAATCGATCTCATTAAAATCAGATCTTAGTTCTCGCTACGGCTAAACAAAGATCTGAGGACATCACATTGGGGGTCACGTCAGACCGACTTTGCGCGAACTTTGACCGACCAATAGAATGACCAATCAGAAGGCAGCTTTCTCGTGCTTCATGGCACTAATTTCAAATTGGTGACTACGCTTCGAAACATAATTTGACAAATTCTCAATTACAAATTTGAAACCTGAACAAAAGAACATTCTGGAATGGCTAATAGATGGTCTAGATTGTATGGATTCAGTCGATAAACCCGTAAATATTGTTCAGAGTTAAAGTTTTCGAGGTTGCATGATAAGAAATCACATTCCGACTGTCACTTTCATAATCTGGTAAGTGATGCTCTGATTGGTCGGATGAAAGGTCTTTCTGACGTGACCCCTAATGGGATGTCCTCAGATCTTTGTTTAGCGGTAGCGAGAACTGAGGTCTGATTTTTATGAGATTGAATGAGAATATGACTTTTTTTCAAAAGTTGCATATTTTGGACTAACAGCAACACTAAATGGAATAAATGTAGAGTTGAGGTTTGAATTTGTAGAACTGGATGATTTAGAGGATTTAAGGAAGAGTTTTTTTGTATTTATAATGATAAAGTCTTTGAAGCAATCTGACTGACGCTACTGATACAAACAAATAGTAAAATAATCTTACTTTCCACAAATCAGCCTTGTTCACTCTTTTTAGACCTGCCTATGTACTACACCATATCAGAAGTAAAACCATTCAAATTTGGGAGTGTAAGAAAGAACTAAGGCTTGTTGTCAGCTAACTGGAATGAAAATTTCATAAATATTTCAAAGTTTCCAGTGGTCCTTAAAAAGCCCTTATCCAACACGCCACGATATAACTGGAATACCGACAAAAGTGGCGTTACACCCAACTCACTCACTCACTCGCTCACTATGTTCCCTTGTTTCACTTTGAAAGAGTACAGGTACCATTTTTTGTAGATTGATGCTCATGAGGTCAATCACTGGATTGTCTGGTCCAGACTCGATTATTTTGAGGCTGCCATCATATGGCTGGAATATTGCTGTGCGCGGTGTTAAACTAACAAATCAAAGAGAATAGATATAATGTTATAATTTTGATTGACACTTGCTGTTAAGCATCATTAATGTACTTCTCACGAAATATTCTGTCACCGTGGAAACAAATTTTGGGGAAATGGTTTTGACCACCATGTTGACTATTGTGTTGACGACAACATAAATGTTTTAATGTTTTGTGTATTTCCAGGGTACTTTGGGGACAACTTATTTCTACATTTCTGTGCGAGTATGATCAGTGGCCTGGTAACAACAGCTGCGTCCATGCCAGTAGACATTGCAAAAACCAGGTCAGTGGGCCACCAACACTGAAATCAGATAAGGGACTGGTCATTTATTGTAAAGGTCATGTCATGTCACGTCACGTCACGTCACGTCACGTCACGTCACGTCATATTGTTTTATTACATATATAATTGTGATAAAGTTTTTTTAATATTTTTTCATATTCTTTTAAAATATATAGTAATAAAAATAATATAGTTTTTGCATTAAATTGAAACTCCTTTCATATTCTTTTTAAATATATAAGTTTTTGCATTCAATTGAAACTCCTATTTTACCCAATATTGAACTAAATGTAAACTGCATAATCTCGGTCAACTGGTTACCATGGCAGTGATTTACAAATTGCAGGATTCTTTGATTTATATGTTTGTTTTTTTTATATAATAATACACAACCCTGTTTACCCTATTGTTTTTGTCTTTTACGACATTACATTGATAGTCTTACCTTGTTCTGGGGCAGTGGGGTAGCCTAGTGGTTAAAGCGTTCACTCGTCGCGCCGAAGACTAGGGTTCGATTCCCGACATGGGTACTATGTGTGAAGCCCATTTCTGGTGTCCCCCGCCATGATATTGCTGGAATATTGCTAAAAGCGGCGTAAAACCACACTCACTCACTCACTCACTTACCTTGTTCCTGTCATTCTTCAAAAAAGAGGTGTTTGGATGCGAACATGGACCAGTACTTCAGTTCAAATATTGTCATTAAGCAGACAATTTAAACAGGCAGCCTGTTTCGGAAGAACAAAAAGATGATGACATTTTTCTCATTCCAGAATCCAGAACATGAAGATGATAGATGGCAAGCCTGAGTACAGGGGTGGATTGGTAAGTCCCACGGTGTAGTACCCTTTGTCACATACCACCACACATACCACCACACATCCAGGGTTAAAGCCACACTAGGCTGAGTACAGGGGTGGATTGGCAAGTCCCATGGTGTAGTACCCTTTGTCACATACCACCACACATCCAGGGTTAAAGCCACACTAGGCTGAGTACAGGGGTGGATTGGCTAGTCCCATGGTGTAGTACCCTTTGTCACATACCACCACACATCCAGGGTTAAAGCCACACTAGGCTGAGTACAGGGGTGGATTGGTAAGTCCCATGGTGTAGTACCCTTTGTCACATACCACCACACATCCAGGGTTAAAGCCACACTAGGCTGAGTACAGGGGTGGATTGGTAAGTCCCATGGTGTAGTACCCTTTGTCACATACCACCACACATACCACCACACACACCACCACACATACCACCACACATACCACCACACATACCACCACACATACCACACACGTACCACCACACGTACCACCACACGTACCACACACGTACCACACACGTACCACCACACATACCACCACACATACCACCACACATACCACCACACGTACCACCACACATACCACCACACATACCACCACACGTACCACACACGTACCACCACACATACCACCACACATACCACCACACACACCACCACACGTACCACCACACGTACCACCACACGTACCACCACACACACCACCACACATACCACCACACGTACCACCACACATACCACCACACATCCAGGGTTAAAGCTGCTCTAGGCTTGTCAATTTGGCAGTCCTGGATACTTTGGTTGAAGTTAAAAATCAACTGTGCTTGCCTGCTATCTAAGAGACTAAAAGTTGATAATTATTGTTAATCTGGAAAGTTTTGCGACCAGGAACTGCGAAAACTGCGAGCAACACACACTTGCAATAGTTCCATAACGCAATTAATTTTGCATACAAAAAACCCAAAAAAACCCAGAAGGAGGCATGTTGCTTTTGTTCACTTGCTTCCATTGTCAAACCGGCTGGTACATAATTAAGTAAATAATCCTTGCCTCTATATTACCCTTTTCCTAATCAGGGGGGTTAACCAACCTGCCCCATCTCGTCAGTTCGCGTACATATCACTGAGTAGTCCAGACATTCGCCAGCCAGTCAAAACTTTCAGATGAACACGCTACTCCAACCTTCCTTGTCAACAAAATATTCATGCAACAGCAGCTTTGGTAATCTCATACACTGGGTGTCACAAAACTTACCAAATTTAGTTAATAGTTAAGGCTATTATCAACCACTCGCAATTTCAAAAATTCTAAAAAATTACCAGATTTTCAGTACAACTAGACAACTAAGCTCTTGAACAACGGACGATAGTTCCTCTTAAGACGTGCACAATAGCTACTAATTAATAATGGATGATGTTAAACGTCAAGTGATGTTAAACCGTTTATCCCCTAGCGCTCTTGTCATAAGTGGCGACCAAATTGATCAGTGGCCTCTTGCACGAAGCAATGATCATAACTCCCATTCTTTAACAAAGGCTTACAATAGTCATAGTGCTAAGATTGCTTTGTGCAAGTGGGCCCTGGTGGCCACTCTCAGTGACATGGTTGGTGATACCATCATGACAGACGGAGTGGGATGTTGCTCATGCTGTCAATCACTGGTTTGTCTGGCGCAGTCCTGACTATTTACAGACCACCATCATACTGCTGGATTATGGATTGTGTTGCTTATATTGGCATACTTGTGTGTTTCACCAAACCAATAAATGTTTTAAGAGCTGCGTCACTTTGGGATTTCCACCACATTAAGTTGGCACACTGTGAAAAAAAAAAGATGATAAAAACCAAACTGAAATACTGTTCAAATCGGGGTTAAACCAAACACGCACAGTTTCGTGCAAAAACAATTATTCGACTGTGTTCGTGGCCCGCCCAGAAAGCAGAAAACGTTACCAAAAGACGTTAAAAGATGGTACTTGTTGTTACCCTGCCTGTGTGCCTGGCTCTTGCCATTAACGGGCTGAAACAAGGACTGATCTGCTTGGAGTCAGTATACTGTGTCTAAATGGGGTATTCATGTTTAACTGCGGCATGGGTATCTAAGTGGGCTAGCACTATAAAATCGGCATAAGTCCGGACTAGTACACACACATGCACATCACCATATAAGTGCAATAATCTTGGACGCGACATTAAACCCCATGACATTAAACCCCATTTCGAACTGTGAAGATCCGGGGTAGAATAGGTCTTCAGCAACCCATGCTTGCTGTAAAAGGCGACTATGCTTGTCGAAAAGGCGACTAACGGGATCGGGTGGTCAGGCTCGCTGACTTGGTTGATACATGTCATCGATCCCAATTGCGTTGATCATTGCTCATGATATCAATCACTGGATTGTCTGGTCCAGACTCGATTATTTACAGACCGCCGTCATATAGCTGGAATATTGCTGAGTGCGGCGTTAAACAACAAACCAACCAACCAACCGGGATAGAATAGGTCTTCATCAACCCATGCTTGCCGTAAAAGGCAACTAACGGGATCGGGTGGTCAGGTTCGCTGACTTGGTTGATGCATGTCATCGATCCCAATTGCGTGGATTGATGGTCAAGATGTCAATCACTAGATTGTCTGGTCCAGACTCGATTAGTTACAGACTGCCATAATATAGCTGGAATATTGCTGAGTGGCGTTAAACAACAAACAAAATTAAACCCTGTTTCACCTCACCCTATTACAATTATTATATTTCCTTTCAGGATGTGCTATCCAGAGTAATCCGGAATGAGGGTTTCTTCAGTTTATGGAAGGGCTTCACGCCGTACTACGCACGACTCGGCCCCCACACCGTCCTCACGTTTATATTCTTAGAACAGATGAACAAGTCTTACAGCAAATATGTTCTAGGAGACATGCGGGCTTCAGGAGGATTATAGAAGTGTGTGTGTGTTTAGCCCCTTATATATCACCAACAACCTATGTTGTTACCATGGTTACGTACATGTGATAGGGTAGCAGGATGAGAGCTCAGTTTATGTTTGTTAACAATTTCTGAAGAACACAGTATGTGTTCCATGAAATATTTTTGTTGAAATATTTTAGAGATGGATTAACACAGTACTGACATTTTGGGATATATTATATCCTCCTTGAATTTCAATTGTTTGTTATGTCTTGTGGTATAAATATTCAGGATCAGTTTGAATTATAATGACTGTTAAAAAAAAAAGCACTCTTGAATCGGGTAACCAAAGTACATGTAGATAACAGTCAGTAGGTGTGTCATGTTTGAGGTCTGCGTGTCATTTGGGGCGCACGGGTGGCCGTGTCGTCTAAGGCGCCGCGATTCGCTGTGCAGAGTTGCGTCCCTTGGGCACGCCAGAAACCTATGATAGTGGGTTCCAATCCCGGTTCACCTCGTTTATGTTTCTAGGTTGGCACCATACCCGTGCTTGTGGGTTTCACCGAAGTGGTAAACGTCTGAGACCTGCATCACTTGGGCCTTTCCTCCAACATTAAGCTGACACGCCGTGATATAACTGGAATATTGTTAAAAGCGGCGTTAAACTAAACTTACTCACTCACTCCGTGTCATGATCAGGTTGAAGGGGGACCGGTGGCTTAGTCGCCTAAAGCACCGTAATCAGGATTGTGGGTTTGAATCCTTGCTCTGATTACATTTCTGGGTTTTGTCAGCACCATGCCTGTGCTTGTGGTGTTTGACACAGTGGTAAACGTCTAAGACCTTCATGACATTCAACTTTCCTCGAACATCAAGCAGGCATGCCGTGATATAGTTGAAGTACTGTTGAAGGAGTAGTAAACCCATCTCTCTCACGATTGGGTCGTATCTGATAGCCTTTCGTATCAAGGTGTAGCAGTGGCTATAAATTGCTCAACACGTTCGACCTGGTACAAATATTTTATCAACAAAAGTTTGCATTTAGTTTGGATTCATGGTCAGTAGACAAAGAAGCTTGATCATATTTATGAAAATGTCGGTTTATTTCATGTTTTGTTTCAAATAGGAACACGTTTGAAATTCTTTTGATTTTATCACAAAAAGTGGTTATTTTAGGGATTTTAGAAAAGGGAATATTTGGTATTCTCTTGACTTCTGTGGAATGTGTGAGAATATTGTTAAAACGTTATTTTAGAGGTGAAAGATGATGATCATGAAGAAAACGTTTTTGTTGGTTGTGACATTGTGTTGCCGTGTGGAAGCTTTATATGGACATATTGTGTCATTTTACGAGAAATGTTTCTCTTGACTTTTTCTCAGGATTAAATTCCCATGCATCATGGTTTGAATCCTGGATAATGAACCTTGGTTTGTCGGCACCAACCAGTGCTCTTTCGTATCCCCAAAGTGACACAATTTATGGATTATAACTTCTTTAATCACTGTGAAGGCCACGTTTCGATATAGATGCTTATACCGTTGTCCCCAAAGTGGTAACCTGGTGTCAATTTGAGCTTGCCACCCACAAGCTGAATATAAATAACCATGCAAATTACAAAGGGATTAGATGTTCGAATCAACGAGTCATAATTCACTTTGACGTCCCAGTTTGTTGTGTGTGTTTTGTGTTTGATTGAATGAAGCAGACTGGTGTAGATATATAGTGTTGGAAGTCCCGGAGATTAAGATCCTGGTGATATTGAGTCTTTGATAGGCACTTAGAAGTTGGAAGAACATGAAGACTTGCATCTTCCTGAGGCAAGGGCATTAACTGGATGTAAAAGTCCAGTTTCCACCCTTGCCGAATTGGTCTGGTGTTATTTTTTGGCTGGACTAACGAGTCTATGCATAGTCCAATCAAAATCGCAAATGAAATCGACATCCAGTTAGTAAACAACATGGATTTCAACGTGCAGAATTGGATGACTGCAGGATTTGCAAAGCATGTTTACCGTCAACTGGATTTTGACAGATATTTTCCCAATATTTTCATGCACCATACCCGTGCTCGTGGGTTTCACCGTAGTGGTAAACGTCTGAGAACAACATCACTTCGGGCTTTCCTCCCACATTAAGCTGACATGCCGTGATATAACTGGAATACTGTTAAAAGCGGCGTTGACCCAAACTTGCTCACTCTTCAAGTGATATTGAGGCAACATGTTGAACATGCATTGTACTCGGACAATACATATTTACTTGGGTGGAGATGAGGAACTATGTAATACGAGTCGAAGAGATAAAATCATGATGATATGTACTTCTTGGATCGTTAATGCTTCACACGTTTGTATGCACGACGACGTTCCTCAGTCACCTGTCAATATATACGGTATAGCATCAACGTGTCAGGTTTTTTTGTAAGTTGTTGAATGTGACTGTAAATATGTCACCGAAGTCAAGTGAGTCTTTCTCTATATTGAAGTTTGTATCCCTGTGGTCAGGTAGATAGAGCGTCTGCCCTGAGAGTGGAAGGTGGTGGTTCGATCTCCGGCCGCGTCATACCATAAGACGTTAAAAGATGGTACTTGTTGTTACCCTGCCTGGTGCTCGGCATTAAGGGACTAAAACAAGGACTGGTCAGCTTGGAGTGGGTATTCATGTTAAAATGCGGCATGGTGTTCACAGGTGATGGGGGGGAACATGTTGTATACAAACACGGGAAGTATTGACGATGTTGTTTGTGAAGGATCAACAAATTCTGTTTGTTTGTTTTAAACATCTGAATACATGCTAGAGTGCTGTATGTTTAGCGATGTCTAAAATATTTTGTTTGCTGGCATACTGATGGTGAATTCTGGAATATAGTTATATGTTTGTTTATATGTTTGTTTGTTTAACGCCGCACTCAGCAATATTCCAGCTATATGATGGCAGTCTGTAAAAAATCGAGTCTGGACCAGACAATCCAGTGATTGATATCATGAGCATCTATCCATGCAGTTGGGAAGATAGTTATAAGTATTACTGAGGAGTATCCATTATTTATTGTGTGTAAATGTATTAAGCAGAGTGTTACCGATTAATGGGATCTATCCATATTGTTTCCTGTAAAATGATGCATAATATGACATATGTTTTGTCAGAAAGATATTTAATTTTATTGTAATATTTGTGTTCATCTTTGGATATATTGTTTAAAGGATTGGCATCAGATTCAAGCCCTTACCTGTCACAGCCTTAGCAAATGCTGTAACATTATGTGTTTCATTTGTTCTAATTACAAATACACCTATTGCAGATCTTATATCAGTTACCATGGTTACCAGACTCCATGAAGCCAGCATCATGCTTAAAAAACAAATATTCCTAATGCCAATGTGATGTAGCACATTTCAAGAGCAAACGCTGCCATTAGTCGAAAGCGCTGCAGCTCACTGTGCAGTTGCCTCCCTTAGCTGTTACAGGATCATGAGTTCGAATTATGGCTATCAGCATTATACCATTGTACCAATAAAGTGGTAATGTAATATGCCTCACTTTGGGCTTTTCTCCCACATCAAGCCGACACGCCATGACAGAACTACGTACAATACTGTTCTAGGTGGCATAAAAACCAAGAATCGGGTTTCCAAAATAATCATGAACTCAATATCAGTTATGTAGCACCAAGGCTGGATTTTGAAGTTTTGGGTTGCCATATTCTTTGATTCATTTCCATGCAATAAATACTGTTAAACCCATATCTACAGAAGGTAATATAACCTTAATACATGCTGTTTTAGGTGTATTGTATGTCTGTGTATCCCAGTGTGATATTCACACCTGTGTTCAAAATTAAGGGGGTCCTGGGGTCATTTGGGTGCTCCCAAAGTATACTACTCAACTTTTCTTAGGGACAATCAGATAGGACATTCTATTTATATATACACTGGACATGTTATAGAGTCGTTTTTGTGTATGAAAAATAAAAATATCCTTAGTATCATGGAAAGATAAAATATCCCAATCAAAAGCTGAGTAGTATATTTGAGTGTTGGGATAGCCTACATAGGGTACATGGACCCCCTCACTTCAATGCTTCATTTCGAACACTGTACAGGATATAATACATGTTCTGTCATTATAATTGATGAAATTATGTGTACATCTGATTATGCCTCTTATGTTTGGATCCCATGTGGGTTAGTGTACACTGTGTATACCACTCAACCTTTGACAGGGATAATCGGATAGCAGATAAAACTGCCCCTGTCAACTGTGGAGCAGTATACATCTGATTATGCCTCTTATGTTTGGAGCCCATGTGGGTTAGTATACACTGTATACCACTCAACCTTTGACAGGGATAATCGGATAGCAGGTAAAACTGCCCCTGTCAACTGTGGAGCAGTATACATCTGATGATGCCTCATGTTTGGAGCCCATGTGGGTTAGTGTACACTGTGTATACCACTCAACCTTTGACAGGGATAATCAGACAACTGATAAAACTACCCCTGTCAACTGTGGAGCAGTATACATCTGATTTTGCCTCTTATGTTGGGTAATTGTATAGTGTTCATATACCACTCAACCTTTAACAGGGATAATCAGATACCCCTGTCAACTGTTGAGTAGTATACATCAACAAGTGTCCACTGTAGCTGTAGGGAGTTGTTCAGGTAGTGCCCCGTGTGATGTGATTCTATGGCACAATGACTATTTTCAGATTCAGAACCTTGAGATGCCATACTTATACAATCTGAGATCATGTAGAGATGATGAAATATACATGAGAAACTAGTTCTGTGTTTTGTTCTCTGTGACGGCCATAACCATGTGGATGATGATCATTGTTTGTTGTTTAACGCCACATTCAGCAATATTCCAGCTATATGATGGCTGCTGTAAATAATCGAGTCTGGACCAGACAATCCAGTGATTGATATCATGAGCATCAATCCATGCATTTGGGATACAATCACATGCATCAACCGCGTCAGCGAGCTGGACCACCCGGCAAACATAATTGCCTTTTACGACAAGCATGGGTTGCTGAAGACCTATTCTACCCCGGATCTTCTGGGGTCTTATTGTTATAAACCCTCGACCTTCCGCTCTCTGGGCGGACCCTCTACCACTAGACAAACATGGCGTATGAATACAAAAGAGTTTTTAATTGCAAATGTACACGTCAATGCACCGGGAATTGAAACAGCAACATATAACACATTAGACGACTGAAATAAACTAAAGTAAAACAATCGTAGCACTAATCGCCACTTCTGGCATATATTGCCATACAGAATATGACCACAAATTAAAATGCAAACTGATTCAAATAAAAGCCTTGTGTACCTCAGTTTGACAAAGAACTAAACACTTTGTAAGTTTCCATAGCTACAATAGTAAGTAAGTGAGTTTGGTTTAACGCCGCTTTTAACAGTATTCCAGTTATATCATGGCGTGTCAGCTTAATGTGGGAGGAAAGCCCAAAGTGATGCAGGTCTCAGACGTTTACCACTTCAGTGAAACCCACAAGAACGGATATGGTGCTGACAAACCTAGAAACATAATCGGGGCGAACTGGGATTCGAACCTACGATCATTGGTTTCTGGTGCGCCAAAGGGACGCAACTCTGCACAGCGAATCACGGTGCCTTACATGACATGACTGGCCCCCTCCATCTCTACAATAAGCAGCATGGCCAATAAATAAGTACCAAGGTGTTTATCAACATTTTCATCAACAGAGGAATTTAACACCACTTTTCTTTTGTGCAAAAAAGACCTCTCGTCATGCTTGTTTGTCAGTATTCGGTAAATCATGAAATTAATGCAAAAAATGTGAGTGCCCCTAAGCTTGTCCGTATGAAGTGGAAAAATTATATCTGGATATATTGTCATGTCTCCTCAGATCGTTGTTTGGAACCTCGGTGCCGTTGTATGAAACAACCTTAGCGCTAAGACTGTCGTAAGTCTATGTTATGGTATGAGAGTTACGATCACCTTAGCGCTAAGATCCCTTTGTACAACGGCACCCTGGACAATACTCATTGGTGACCTGAACTATCTCATTTGCATATGCCTTATTTAGAAATGGCTTCTTTTGATTTCATGGGAGTTAGACCACACATCAAGCAGTTGAAATTTATGATGACATTATTCAGTCGAACTGCTATATATCGCCCCGCACTACATCTTGGATTCCAAGTCTTCAGTTTGGTGTTATTGATTGCTCATCAGTTCTCAACTACATCTTGGATTCCAATTTTTTTTTTAAGTCTTCAGTTTACATGGTTTAGTAATTGATTGCTCATCAGTTCTCAACTACATCTTGGATTCCAAGTCTTCAGTTTAGTAATTGATTGCTCATCAGTTCTCAACTACATCTTGGATTCCAAGTCTTCAGTTTAGTAATTGATTGCTCATCAGTTCTCAACTACATCTTGGATTCCAAGTCTTCAGTTTAGTAATTGATTGCTCATCAGTTCTCAACTACATCTTGGATTCCAAGTCTTCAGTTTGGTGTTATTGATTGCTCATCAGTTCTCAACTACATCTTGGATTCCAAGTCTTCAGTTTGGTGTTATTGATTGCTCATCAGTTCTCAACTACATCTTGGATTCCAAGTCTTCAGTTTGGTGTTATTGATTGCTCATCAGTTCTCAACTTCATCTTGGATTCCAAGTCTTCAGTTTGGTGTTATTGATTGCTCATCAGTTCTCAACTACATCTTGGATTCCAAGTCTTCAGTTTGGTGTTATTGATTGCTCATCAGTTCTCAACTACATCTTGGATTCCAAGTCTTCAGTTTGGTGTTATTGATTGCTCATCAGTTCTCAACTACATCTTGGATTCCAAGTCTTCAGTTTGGTGTTATTGATTGCTCATCAGTTCTCAACTACATCTTGGATTCCAAGTCTTCAGTTTGGTGTTATTGATTGCTCATCAGTTCTCAACTTCATCTTGGATTCCAAGTCTTCAGTTTGGTGTTATTGATTGCTCATCAGTTCTCAACTACATCTTGGATTCCAAGTCTTCAGTTTGGTGTTATTGATTGCTCATCAGTTCTCAACTACATCTTGGATTCCAAGTCTTCAGTTTGGTGTTATTGATTGCTCATCAGTTCTCAAAGTTCAAAAGTAGGCAACATGCAATCAGTTCATGACACATTTCAGGCCAGGGATCAATACTCAAATTAATTTCATGATTTACAGTATACAGACTTGTGGCAAAACCTAAGGGTCAGTTTCACCTTGATCTTGCTTATTGTAAATTAAAAAAAACAAATTCAAAACACACACACAGCCTTAACAAAAACAAAAATTGCCCTTATATTAACATAAGCCCTTTTCTTCTAGATTAACAACTAACCATGAAATTCCACTATTTCTAGACACCACCTTTCTCTCATGTTTCAACTCAGAACATTTGTTTTAATGCCATTCCACGCAATTTGATAATCGCTGCAACAAAATGGCTGCCACATTCTCGAGGCATGATTACCAGCTCAACTCAAAGGTAGTTCATTGTCTTTACTTCATGGGCTTGTATAGTCTATGTTCCACCCAATCTCATTAAAATCAGACCTTAGTTCTCGCTACCACTAAACAAAGATCTGAAGACGTCCCATTAGGGGTCACGTCAGAACGACCTTTCATCCGACCAATGAGAGGTTTAACGACTGAATCCATACAATCTAGACCATCTATTAGCCATTCCAGAATGTTCTTTTGTTTAGGTTTCAAATTTGTAATCGACAATTTGAAATTAGTGCCGTAAAGCACGAGAAAGCTGCCATCTGATTGGTCATTCTATTGGTCGGTCAAAGTTCACACAAGGTCGGTCTGACATCACCCGTAATGGGATGTCCTCAGATCTTTGTTTAGCGGTAGCGAGAACTAAGATCTTATTTTAATGAGATTGTGTTCCACCATCCCCTGAGACTTGAGTAGGGCTGGGATGGGTAACTAAGGTACTTTGGTTGGGTGGTTTTGAGTAGAACCCGGGTACCTAGAACTGCCCAGACCCGTGGAAAGTCATATGATATATTGTTTAATGACAATAACAATCACTATTACACTACAAGTCGCGTCATGTTCTGGGCCACTCAACTTCAGTGTATGCATGACCAGGTCATCTTGGGCGTGCATATCTAACTTGAGACCAACAGCGGGTATTCAGGTAGGGTCGGGGAATAGGGGGTTGGGTACCCAGGTAATACATTCGGACTTGTCCCAGCCCTACCATACAGTGTAATCATGATAACCAAAAAACAAGCACAGGCCTGCATGGTGCCATTGTTCAAAGGGATCTTAACGCTAAGGTGATCCCAACTCCCATACTTTAAGGAAGGCTTACGATCATCGTAGCGCCACGGTTGTTTTTTACAATGGCACACCGGTATCTTTACATGCACAAATGGCAATTGTTGTTTAGTTTGTTGTTTAACGTCATGCTCAGCAATATTCCAGCTATATGATGGGGGTCTGTAAAAAATTGAGTCTGGACCAGACAATCCAGTGATTGACTTGACAAGCATCACATTTGGGATACGATGACATGCATCAACCAAGTAAGCGAGCCTGACCACCTGACCCTCGTTAATCGCCTATTACGAGAACCATAGGCGCCTCTTCCGGCAAACATGGTTTCTGTTCCAAGTCTCTATTCCAGACAACCCATGCTGTCAGGGTACGATGAAACGCAATGAACCGTGTCACCGAGGCTGACACCCCCCCGACCCATGGGTTGGCCTCCAGGGGGTCAGGGTCACGAGTACACTGCATGGGGGTCGTATGTAGTCACAGGTGATGGAGGTTGTAGTGGATCCAAACACGCGAAGTATGGACAATGAGGGGAACTGTAAATCTCTGGAAGGTTTGGTAGCGGTTCACATGTGATCTACATCTTGACCAACATTGGGGCGACCAGAGAGCTGGCCTTCTCAGCTCCCTGAATAGCCTCCACAATCTTCAGGGCAAACTCAAAACATGTTCCTGGCCCTCGGCTTGTGATCAGCTTGCCGTCCTGGACAACTCGGTCTTCGGAATACTTGTAGTCACCTGGAGAAGAGGAGAAGAGTAGAAAAGGAGAAGAGATGAGTAGAAGAGGAGAAGAGTAGAAGAAGAGGAGAAGAGAAGAGAAAAGAGTAGATGAGTAGAAGAATAGAAGAGAAGAGGAGGAGAGTAGAAAAGAGGAGAAGAGTCTAAGATGAGAAGTGTAGAAGAGGAGAGGAGAAGAGAAGAAGAATAGAAGAGTGGGGGGGGGAGGAGAGCCAAAAGCTGTAAGGATCAATGCCACAAAAAGGTATAGGCCATGGTGTATATGTTTCATTTGAAGATAAACACAGGAGATGATCTTTGTTTTATATAGAAATACATAGTCAGCTGTGCTTCATTATTTTCAAGGCGTAAACAAGAATATGGTGTATGGGTCAGCTGCTTTGTATGGCAGATACAAATAATTACTTAGAGAACTCACCAACATGAAAAATCAGACATAGGACCTGAGTGAGTGAGTGAGTATGGTTTTAAGCCGCTTTGGTAATATTCCAGCAACATCACGGCGGGGAATATGAGGTGATATGGCACTTTTATAGTGACGTGCATGCACATGTGTGTGTATGGCTGCTTGTACCGGACAGATGCCGATTTATAGTACTATCCCACTGAGATACCATGCTGCAGTTTAACATGAATACCCCACTCTGACACAGTATACCGACTCTGAGCCGACCAGTCCTTGTTTTAGCCCCCTAATGTCGAGCGCCAGACAGGGTAACAACAAGTACCATTTAACGTCTTTAGGTATGATGCGGCCTGGGATCGAACCCTGGACCTTCTGCTCTCTGGGCCGACCCTCTACCACTAGACCACGGAGGCGGTTGGGAACAAGGGAAGCCGGCTCCACACATTGTACCCATGTAGCGTAGTACACAGGGACCTCAACATGAGGAGCAAATGGTTTCACCACGAGGTTGCCCTACCACTCCTGAGACAAGAAGAAGTTGTTCTTTTGTTGAGATCGAAATTTATGAACTGAGGTGGTGAAGAAATTAATTTGATTGGCTCAAGAATCGTACATCCCTCATTTTGGCCACTCATTTGGGCAGCAGGCCCAAGAAACAAAAAATAAAAAATGTGTGGCCTTAGATTGGGTGGTCAAATTGCACTCAAGGGGGACCTGATCGGACCTTCTGCAGAGAGCTTGTCCAAGCTTCATACAGAGGACGTAAGGTGATATGGGCTATAACATCGCATCCAAGATTATTGCACTTATACTGCTAGGTGCGTGCGTGCATGCTTGTACTGGCCGGACTGATGCCGATTTATAGTGCTAGCACACTGAGATACCATGCCGCAGTTTAACATGAATACCCCCACTCAGACACAGTATACTGACTCCGAGCCGACCAGTCCTTGTTTTAGCCCCTTAATGCCGAGCACCAGACAGGGTAACAACAAGTACCATCTTTTAACGTCTTTATGTATGATGCGGCCGGGGATCGAACCCTGGACCTTCCGCTCTCCGGGCAGACGCTTTACCACTAGATCTCATACAGAGGAGAATCATAGCAGAGTAACAGATCTCATTGGCTTCTCAGTTCAGTGTGGGAGTGTTAGTCACTTACAAGTGGTGTATACACCTAAATAAACTCCATGTCTGATTGTACCTTCCTTAATCTTGTCAGCAACTCCAGGATGTGACGTCACAGACTTCCCCTTACCGACGCCATGTGCCAGCAGCGCTGTCGGTGCTGGATGAAAAAGGGAAATAACTCTGCACAAAGGTTATCCTACACATATCATCAAAAACAAATTACACCTGAGATACAAATGTACTTTTACTCAACTCCAAATGCTGATTAAAACAGCATTCTGTCAACCACGTGTACACGAGGCGGACGTTTGGTGTCAAAATTCTGCTTTGCAGGGTTCAGACACAGCCATCAGTCAATTAGTCCTAAGATGAGCGATAATCCAGATGGTCTTCCTTTTACCAGTAACTTTGCATATTCTACCATGAATATGGGAAAATATTCAATTCTGATTGGTCAATGGGAGGTTTCAAACCACAATCACACATCTCTGATTCGAAACAGCTGGTTTGATGGCAACCTCCCCAAATTCAGTTAACATGGTTAAACGTACAGCTCTACATGGTGGAGCCATTACCTGCACACACAGCAGCCACCAGGGCATCCCGTCCTTCCTGTTCCTGCAGCAGCTTGCCCACAGCAGCAGACTGGACAAACATACAGGTGATAAACTTGATACAAAGGTGATATAACTCTCTACATGGGTGATAAACTCTCTACATAGGTGATAAACTTGTTACGTAGATGTTAAACTTGCTACATAGATGATAAACTCTCTACATAGGTGATAAACTTGTTACATAGATGATAAACTTGCTACATAGATGATAAACTCGTTACATAGATTATAAACTCGTTACATAGATGACAAACTTGCTACATAGATGATAAACTTGTTACATAGATGATAAACTTGCTACATAGATGATAAACTCGTTTCATAGATGATAAACTCGTTACATAGATGACAAACTTGTTACATAGATGATAAACTTGCTACATAGATGATAAACTCGTTTCATAGATGACAAACTTGCTACATAGATGACAAACTTGTTACATAGATGATAAACTTGCTACACAGATGATAAACTTGTTTCATAGATGATAAACTCGTTACATTAATGATAAACTTGCTACAAAGATGTTAACTCAATACAGAGTTGTTAAACTCACTTCATAGGTGTTAAACTCACTACGTAGGTGATAAACTCATTATGTAGATAACAAAACCGTTAAGTAGATGATAATCTCACTACATAGCTGTTAAACATAATGATAAACTCCCTACATTGATGTTATGCTCGATACATATATGTTTAAACCTCGCTACAAAGATGACAAGCTTCCTACACAGATGATAAACTCGTAACATAGGTGTTAAACATAATGATAAACTCGCTACATTGATGTTAAGCTTGCTACATATATGTTTAAACCTCGCTACAAAGATGACAGGCTTCCTATATAGATGATAACCTTGCTACATTGATGTTAAACTCACTACAAAGATGATGAGCTTGCTAAATAGGTGATAAACTCGTTACATAGATGATAAACTAGTTACATAGACGATAAACTCGTTACATAGATGATAAACTTGTTACATAGACGATAAACTCGTTACATAGATGATAAACTCGTTACATAGATGATAAACTCATTACGTTAATGATAAACTCGCTACATGGATGTTAAACTCAATACATAGTTGTTAAACTCACTTCATAGGTGTTAAACTCACAGACAATCCAGTGATCGAAATTAAGCGCCATCAACAAGTCACTGAGCTTAACCACCCGATCCATAAGTTTTCTCTTACGACCAGCATTGGTTGCTGGCGACCTATTCCAACCAGGAATTCCCATGGAGGCCCGATCTATTAAGTCACCTCTTACGACCAGCATCGGTTGCTGGGGACCTATTCTAACCAGGAATTCCCATGGAGGCCCGATCTATTGAGTCACCTCTTACGACCAGCATCGGTTGATGGGGACCTATTCTAACAAGGAATTCCCATGGAGGCCCGATCTATTGAGTCACCTCTTACGACCAGCATCGGTTGATGGGGACCTATTCTAACAAGGAATTCCCATAGAGACCTGATCTATAAGTCACCTCTTACGACCAGCATGGGTTGCTGGGGACCTATTCTAACAAGGAATTCCCATGGAGGCCCGATCTATTAAGTCACCTCTTACGACCAGCATCGGTTGATGGGGACCTATTCTAACAAGGAATTCCCATGGAGGCCTGATCTATAAGTCACCTCTTACGACCAGCATGGGTTGCTGGAGACCTATTCTAACCAGGAATTCCCATGGAGGCCTGATCTATTAAGTCACCTCTAACCCTGAATCCCCATCGGGTGCTTACCTCACAGAGATTCTTGGCACCAGTGCCGCCTCCTGGCAAAACAACAACATCATATGGCGCCGACTTCAAGGCGTCATCAAGACTTTTGTCAGGCACGACCTTGACCTGGCGACTACACAATACAGGGTCCGAGCCAGTCAGCCCAGCTACCGTCACGTCAATCTGAAATTGGGGAGTGAATGATTGATGTCTCATGTTGCAGCCAGCTGTATCACAAGCATATTACAGTCGTGCCTCGTTTATACGGACACTTGCGTCATTTCACAATTCGACCGTATAAACTAATTTCCGTATAACTGAAACCAGCTTCTTACTGGAAGAGTTACTTCCCTTCAATTATGCAACTCATGACAAATGACAGAGCAAACAGATACATCCACTCAACCTTTATTCAAGACATACACGTTTAAAAAAATCTGTCATGGAAGTTTGAACTTTACCACGTTTCCAAACTTGCTGACGGGTGTTTTTCCTTAAACAGACAAATTTCCCTTTTTTTGCGTGCTGTAACTGCGTGTCGCTTACGTTTCGCTGGTTGACAGGCCATACTCACAGTTTGAAGACACAACTCAGTGTCACTTCGTTAATTGACTTCTCACGAATTAAAGGAGTGAGTGAGTGAGTGAGTTTGGTTTAACGCCGCTTTTAACAGTATTACAGTTTTATCGCGGCGTGTCAGCTTAATATGGTGCTGACAAACCTAGAAACATAATCGGGGCGAACCGGGATTCGAACCCACAATCATAGGTTTCTGGCGTGCCCAAGGGACGCAACACTGCACAGCAAATCGCAGCAGCTTAGACGACTGGGCCACCCACGCCCCCTGGGTGAGAGAGTGAATGAGTTGTTTTTTTCCGCTTTTCGCAATGTTTCAGCAATATCAGGGCTGGGGACATCAAAATGGGCTTCACACATTGTACCCATGTGGGAAAATGGAAACCAGCCCTTCAGCGTGACAAGCAAACGCTGTAACCACTAGGCTACCCCACCAGCCCTAATCAGAACTTCCAATTCCTGAGATCATTTTGTTTGTATTTCATCTGGAAATACAAATACCGCCCCAAGATCTCTGTAGCTCACCTGTGCAGTCAGGTATTATCAGGGAGGTGACAATTAATAACTTCCCACTGTTTTGTCAAATATGTATTCCAGACTCCAACACGTGAACTGTGGAAACACTCTTAATATTTTTTATTCAAGAGTAACTTCATTTTATACCATTCTTTCATTTTCAAATCTAAAATGTCTGTCAAACATTGTTTACCAATTGATCCAACTATCAAAAAAAACTGTTTATCATATAATGGGTAGGTTTCTCGGCAGGATAAAGCCAACGGATCAAATTGATATCTGTTGGGTCATATGCGGATAGAGATGCAAATATCAAAGGTCAAGTAGGGACTACTTTCAGTGTTTATAAACAAACATGGCGTCGTCCTTGTCATTCGGCAATCGAGTCAGAATTAACCATCAGGAATCTGGATAAACTACAGGGATAACTGCTATCATTATCAAAAGAACAGTCTAATATACTTAAAAGTCAGTGTGGAACTGTGACGTCGCTAAGGCATTTTATAAGTTTTGGCAACTTTGGAGATATATATTTTGAAACAATTTTGTGGGGGCCCTACGCCTAGCCAAGCGGAATCAGTAGCCATATCTGTGCTTGTAGACCCCTAGCTGTGGCTTGAAACCTTTTCCACAAATTAAAATAGTTGGATTGACCGAAATATGTTTGAATTGTTACCTTGTTTCGTTTTGTCGGTGTGTGTACATCTGATTGCACTTCTTAACTTTTTGACAGGACAGGCCGACTGTCAATAACGTCTGAACATGGCCATGACGTCTCATAGATTAGGGTTAGAGTAGCTTCCCTTTGACAAAGGGCAGTTACTCTAGCGGACAGACCGATGTATTGCAGCAAAATGCAAGTAAGACCAATTGTTGTTTTGCGTATATGTTGCTTCGCCACTGTATAAGAAAAAGATTTCAGTTGGGACTATATTGGCTACTGTCACTGTCCAAATGACACATCACTTACCCTACAATGTAATAAATATTAATGCGTGCATTCCAGGAAAACTCGCAATGTTCAGGTAATGTTCGTGAGAGAAGGAAAGCGATTTTCAAGCACAGAATTAAAGAATGGGCCTACCTTTAGAATACAGTACCACAAACTTTTCAAACACGTGACAATACCCTATGACGTAATTTGTAGTATTTTGTTGCCAGTCACACCGGCGAAACAATGCCCTGTGACGTCAGGGGTCATCGAGTGTGCATAAGCTCCTCCCAGTGATCTATCATCTCTACACGAAATGTCATTGAATACGCCAAGCGCTGTGGAGAGTTTTGAATATTTGTTTACTGAATATAGCCTGCGGCGGTGCATTTTATAGCAAGCGCTAGTTTATGAAAGCACTTTTATTTTTTATATATTTTTTATTTCGTTTTTCTCGTAATTCAAGTGGCTAAAAGGGTTATAAATGGGAACTAATATGCATATATTATTTTTTCGGTGCATTAATTTTCATTATTATGCACAAGAATGTAGTTTATTAGGGATATTATATTGGAGCTGAACACATCCACATATAGCTAGTGTTAGGATAGGTTACCCTGAACTCTATCCTTAGCCCTTGGATCCCCTTTACGATCAATCACCCATTTTCTATCATTAGGGTTAGATACCCGTTTAGTGGCTATTAGATTACCCCGAATTCTGTCCTTAGCCCTTGGATCCCCTTTACGATCAATCATCCCTTTACGATCATTAGGGTTCGGTAAATCTACCCGTTTAGTTTCTCCTAATATTCTTCACACAAAAACATCGAGTAAAAAGAATGAAATGGTTTTGTGTCGAATACTTTGGCTACTGGAAACTGTCCTGGAACATTCACACAAGCCACTTTCACCAGCTACATTTTTTCAGTACTGATTCAAAAGCGAACTCACCGTTGTGTCTTCACTAGCCATGCACATGCCTCCCTCGTTCCTTACTATTATCCACATCATCCTTACAGTGTTCCCTACCACACTTTTCTGTCACAAAATCACCCGACGAATTATTAAATAACAAGTCATTCATGCATACTCGCGAGTTCAACGTCTGACGCCTTGAGCCGTTTTCAGTTCACGCCATATCGGCTCATTCCTCGCCACTCGGTATCTTGTAGATTACGGAATGGGACGAGTGTGCCAAATGGCATCGGTATAATTCGTAAGTGTCGATAGACTAAAGTCATGAGACACGATGCCTACCCGTAACCTTCGTATGGGTCCGTCACTTATTCGACCCTTTTCGTTCAGTTCCGTAACGTCGTAGGCATGACTAGGTAAATTTGCACTTTGTTTCACAGTGTGGACGTAGCTCAGTCGGTTAGCTGTTGGGCTAACAATCCGAAGGTCGCAAGTTCGCTTCCGACGGATTCTCACAAAAACTGGTTGCTTGTCTTTGAGACATGTGACCTAAGACAGAGACCGTCCTCACGAGAAGTTGTGGTACTGTATTCTAAAGGTGCTCCAAAGAATGACATTATATGTATATGATAAAGAGGTTATCTCGCTTGTGAGTTTGGGGATGGTAAATATCCTGTATTCCTAATACAGGATATTTACCATCCCCGAACACACTGGCGTGATAACCTATATGCTTCCACCAAACTGCCAGTTTAAAAAATAAAAAAAATATTAAAAAATCAAATCCCAATGTATTGTTTGTTTTTCCATGGAGCCTTATACATATACAGATTTATTAAAATAGAGACCATGTTTGTATTTTTATTGTACTGCAACACTAGGTCTATAATGTTGGAAGTTTTAAAGTTACATTAATGCAAACACAAAGTGACAGCCAATTTTACCCCGCCCCTGCGCAAGACGTCCACCGTGATGACAGTCTCCATCTCCTCTGCTCCTTCGGCTAACAGTACAATTGCTGACGGCATGTTTGTAAGGCTGCAATTGACGTCTATATATGACGTTAATGTTGACTCGTTCACGTTTCTGTATAACGGAAGGGTCGCTGTTGTAGCGTGTGTGGAGCGAATATGATTTCCCCCACAACTATTTCTACGAAAGAATCGGGCGTCTGATGGTGGAAGCAGAAAATAGTAAAGATGTGTGTGCGTGCGTGCGTGCATGCGTGAAGAACTTGGCATCCCTTATGTGTATCACCACTTCGTAATACCATTTTAAGATTTGATTAAAGATGTGATACAAGCAATGACAAAACAAATTCTGTCACGCCATTATCCTGTATCATTTTTGGCAATTCATTCCAAGTAGAAACATACTACGCATATCTGAGTATTTCATCAAAATGGTCACCTTTTTACAAGATGTGCTTTTATGATGAGATAATCTCTCATTGCGACGTCATTCTTGTGGCCACGCCCACTCCACATGTGAGTCAGCTCTTATGAAAAGATCTGTGAGCTGGGGACCTATTCTGACACTGAAACTCCCTGAAGTCTAGGATTATTAAATATAACTGTAACAACTCGTTACTACGTGCACAGCAGCACCAACGACATACAGAGTACAGAATGGTCATGGCTCAAAACATTCATGGGTGTCAGAGCCAAAAAGACAAAACAAATATATGAATGTCCCAAAGAAAGTAGTCTTAGTCACATTTACATATGTGATGTAAATTGTTATAATCATGTCAGAACTAATTTACATCACCATCAATAGAGAACTCAAATAGGCCAAACGATGACCCCCTAAAAATATAATTCATAAATAGTATCATTTTAAATGCAACATTTTTTTAGAGTACAAGTCTCAAAGAAATCTTGAGAAAGATCCCTGCACTATTGAAAGCATTTTCATTTTACAAACTATTATGCAAAAGTATATCACTCGTAAAAAAAATGTGCTTTTATTGATTTTTGAAAGGCATTTGAAAGGATTAATAGGTGTATGTTAATGTATATTTTAGTGCAGCAGGTTCATTTGCATTATCGAGATTATGTATAACGATGTTAAAGCTACGGTAACATACGATTGTGGTACGAATTTGACTGAGTATTTTAATAGTTCATTTGGGGTAAGACAAGGTTGTACTCTTACTCATGCACTTTTTCCTTTGTTTATTAACGAAATAGTTATACCTTTGGAAAATAAATTTAATGATGGTGTTTTTATTTCAGAAGAAATGTTGAATATAATTGCCTTATCGTTTACCGACGAATTGATACTTGTTGCAGATAGTGTTTTAAAATTACGAAAAAACAACAACAACGTCTTGATGAATTACTAGTATATTTATACTCACACAAGTGGGGGATGGATATTAATACTGAGGAGAGTAAACTGATTGTCTTTAAAACGACAGGCCCTTTATCAAAACACGAGAAGGGGTTTTGTAATGGCGAGCGTATGGAAACAGTTAAAGTCTATAAACATTTGTGACTATTTTTCACTCCCACATTAATTAGAACTAAGGCCTGTAAAACGTGAGCAAGCAAGCAAGCAAGCAAGCGAGCAAGCCAGCAAGCAAAGCAAGCGAGCAAGCAAGCGAGCAAAGCAAGCAAAGCAAGCAAAGCAAGCAAAGCAAGCAAAGCGAGCAAGCAAGCGAGCAAGCATGCGAGCAAGCAAGCAAGCGAGCAAAGCAAGCGAGCAAGCAAGCGAGCAAAGCAAGCAAAGCAAGCAAGAGAGCAAAGCAAGCAAGCAAGCAAGCAAGCAAGCAAGCAAGCAACCGAGCAAAGCAAAGCAAAGCAAAGCAAAGCAAGCAAGCAAGCGAGCAAAGCAAGCGAGCAGAGCAAGCAAGCAAAGCAAGCAAAGCGAGCAAGCAAGCGAGCAAAACAAAGCAAAGCAAAGCAAAGCAAAGCAAAGCACTTAGGTCAGTTAAATCGTTGATAAGACGTAATTTAATTGAGGAAGCATTTCTTATATTTGAAAAGAAAATTATTCCGATACTAATGTATGGAGCTAAGATCTGGGAATACCAAAACATAGAATGGTATTGAAATAGAACATCGCAGACTTTGTATATTTTGCACTTCACACAGGCTACAGAACTGTATATGCAGTGGCCAAAGGTGAATGTGGCAGGTATCCATCCACTTCATAACATTTACCATGTGAAATGCATTAAATATTGGCTTACGTGACAATGCAAATGAGTCAAAACAGAAAATAAATAAATAAATATATTTAGATGTGGACAAAATACTCTTGGTCTTCAACTTGACCGTATGGGTGTTGCTAATATTGAGGATAATACTGTCTTATAATTGAGGATGAAAGTTATGTGTTATATTTGTTCTCTTCATGCGGGGAATGTTATTCCCAAAGACAGTTAACCATCATTAATTTTGTATAGAAAGGCTCTGTCACTTATAAAAAAATGATACCATGATAAAGTTTGCAACATTTCATATGCGTACGTGTTGACAACAAAAGAAAGTATTAATTAGGTAACTCCTACATAAATATGTCTGATGCAAATGTAGTACAATTGGTCAATTGGCCTTTGTACAATTGAATCTGACAAACTTAGCACATATTGAAACGTATGTAGGCACACATTTATTTATTCCCTAAAAATAATTATTTTATACATTTTTCTTGTTCTCGTGTTTGAAACCCATTAGAATGTTGAACATTCTTAATATGATAGCAATAAATTGTTTATCGAGGTTAAAATAAATTGTAAATGTGCTCTAATATTATTATTTTTGCGTCTTCTGATTAATAAAAAACGGTAACGGCTTCTCAATAAGCACTTGACTGAATAAGTCGTTTGCCAAATAGTATCCGAATACCGGTCCTGTACCACGCGAGTAAATTTGCTTAAAATAACCTCAAACCATAGTGTTATATTTTTAACCAAATATAAAGAGAATTCGTTTAACATACCTAATTAACAACGCTCCTAACGTTACAACACTAAACATACATAAGTACATAACTTTGTTTTGAGAAAGCTACTTTCTAAGACAAAAAAATACGTCTCTATGTAAAGTTGTTTACAGTTTCTAGGTTCGAGAGTAAAACTGTTTGGTTGTCACGATGGCAATGAATGACATGCGTGTTGATTTCAAGTTGATGGAGGGAGATATATCTTCTAAATAAATGGACGCTGAGAGGCGATGAATTATAGAGGATGGGTCGGACAAAACAATAGATAATTAATCAGCGGAAAAGAAGAAAGTCAGACCGCAACCTTGCACTCTTGGAATCATATCACCGCACGGGCACCTGCTGACTAAACACGCCCTCAGTTTGCAAGGGACCAAATATCGGCATTACTGTGTTGGAAATCGCCGAAAATGAAAGCATTTTTAAAAGGAGGTGAGGGCATGTTATGCCCAATGGGACCTAAAGTGACAACTATAGGAAGAGAAGGATGTGATATTATCATTCAGGTGTGTTCATAATGGATATGAGATCTCACAGCTTGTCAACGTTTCGTGTAATATTGAATATATGCTTGTGTAAACATGTACAACATATCGGACAAATTGATAATTTTGTACAATTCATACAACACTGTGACAATTAGTTATCGTTTAGATTATGTTTATCATAACTCTAATATCGATATTGTGTTGAAATATTATTTCATACCTGTGTGATTATTATCATGATATGGTATTTAACTGGTGTAGGTTCACTGACAAGATATAGCTCAACAGGTTTGATAATGTGAAATTGATCATAGTGACCGGGTAAACAAACATTAACAATCAGGGTGGAGAGAGTTTTCTAGGTTAAAACTAATATGCTATATTTAATATATTTACCTCTTCGAATCCTTGATATCAGTTTAAACAGTGTCATTAATGTAAACCAATTCTTATGCTATAGTAATCAGCTGATAATTTATGTAAACAATGCATTATATGCATAATTGTTATTGAAATTCCCCCATGATTTGAATTCCTTACTCAATAATTTGAATTTATTCCTCATACACAATGCCGATATATCATATCATGTCAATACTGCTAATGTTTAGAGCATTATCTGTCATATGTCAAAATATTTGTTTGGTTTCTGCCACAAAGTGACAATATCTGTTCAAAATCTTATAAATTCTAATGTTATGGTCATCCCTGAATGCAAACAATTGTGATACTTTTTTAATATTTTGTGGTATATATAAATCATTACTTGAATTTATTGTACTGGGTTTAAAGCTGCTTTTAACAGTATTCCACTTATATCACGGTGTGGCAGCATAATGTGGAAGGAAAGCCCCAAGCGATGCAGGTCTTAGACGTTTACCACTTCAGTGAAACCCACGAGCACGGGTATGGTGCTGACAAACCTAGAAACATAATCGGGGCGAACCAGGATTCAAAGCCACAATCATAGGTTTCTGGCATGCCCAAGGGACGCAACTCTGCAGAGCAAATTGCAGTGCCTTAGACGTGCCCCGTTAAACATAGGATACTGCTAGTCTTACACCATTTTCATCTTTTATCCAGCTCTCATTTTTCAAAGATGATGATGACGATTATTATTATAAGATCATAAAGAGTCACCATACAGAGTTGCTTACGTGAAACTGTCATATGTGCTGGTCATGGGTTCGAATCCCCGATTCCCCTTGATAATGATTATTGGTGTGTCTCCACCAAACCCTGATACAAGTTTGGTTTTACAGTATTTAACTTCCACATTAAACTATGTCGTGGTATATCTGAAATACAGTTCAAAGTGGCGTTATAACCTCCTCGCTCCGATTCCAAGCATTTTTCGCTGCTCTGACGCAACATGTTCATATTTCCAGATGCCCGGAGTGGACGCTCAGCATGCTGTTATAGAATTTCACGATCAGGAGGATTGCTGGGTAATCCAGGACTTAAACACGGCACAGGGTACATATGTGAATGACTGTCGGATACAGAACGCCACGGTGCGGGTACAGACCGGCGATATTATCAGATTCGGTTACAATGGCACTCCATATGAATTTCAGCATGAAAACACGAATACAGTAAGTACTTCTGAATATCAGTATCATCATTTTATTAATCATTAACAGCAGCAATATGCTGTTAACTATATTGCAGTCATTTGTTCTTTAAGTCACCTTTAGACTCAAACATCAAATATGTTTGTTTTTTCAGCAGTGACTTGAAAAATATTGAATTATGTATTTTCTGTGTGAACACTCGAATACTAGAATCAGACTTGACTTCTTTTTTGTGTGTGTGTTTGCTAAAACATTAATGAATTATTTCATGGAGAGATTTTATACTGTTGTCATGGTATATGTAAACCACAAATTTATATGTTCTTTACCTCGTAAAAAAATATGATAAATACATCACACAGTCAGTCCTAAAAGATATAGATAAAGATTGAATTAATTTATCTTCCGTTTTATTTTTATTTGTTTATTAGATGCTTTCTTTCTACATATTTTCTTGTTAAATAGATGAAGAATGAGGCTGTAACTGATATATTAAATGAAACATTTGCAAACAGTGGGGTAGATTCTAGAATGGTGAAAAAGATAATGATCTGGTCTGAAATATGTTTTTTGCAAAATCTGAATAATTTACCTGACGGCTTTAGCATGTCTAGCTGAAGAATGCTCATTGTGAAAAGTGATTTAGGAAACCTCAGTGATGTTTCATCTATTTGCTAAACAAAGTATTTCATTCAGCAAACATACTGGATTTAAACAAAAGCTAAACCAAAGTGTACTCTCAACTCAATATGTATTCACTAATGTTACCATGGTTAAGGACACATACATTACAAGTTGACACAGCACAAAGACTGTCATTAACGAGTCTGTATTCATAGGGCTTTGAGACCGCCTCTGTGGACTAGTGGTAGAGTTGTTTGGTTGGTTGGTTTGTCGTTTAACGCCGCACTCAGCAATATTCCAGCTATATGCGATCTGTAAATAATCGAGTCTGGACCAGACAATCCAGTGATTAATATCGTGAGCATCGATCCACACAGTTGGGATCGATGACATGCATCAACCAAGTCAGCGAGCCTGACCACCCTATCCCGTTAGTCGCCTCTTACGACAAGCACAGTCGCCTTCTAATGGTAGAGAGTCTGCCCGGAGAGCGGAAGGTCCGGGGCTGCATACTTGTTGTTACCCTGTCTGGTGCTTAGCATTAAGGGGCTAAAACAAGGACTGGTCGGCTCGGAGTCAGTATACTGTGTCTGAGTGGAGTATTCATGTTAAACTGCAGCATGGTAGCTCGGTGGGCTAGCACTATAAATCGGCATTAGTCCGGAGTAGTACAAGCAGCCACACACACATGTGCATGCAAGTCACTATATAAATGCAATAATCTTGGAGGTGACGTTAAACCCCATTTCACCTCATCTCGTAGGACTTTGTTGCAGTAAATGACACATTTTTCATACCCCTGAGGGAGCAGTCGGGTAGCCTAGTGGTTAAAGCGTTCGCTCGTCAGGCAGAAGACCCGGGTTCGATTCCCGACATGGGTACAATGTGTGAAGCCCATTTCTGGTGTCCCCCCGCCGTGATATTGCTGGAATATTGCATAAAACCGTACTCACTCACTCACTCACTCATACCCCTGAAAGAATGATTGATATATCACTGCAAACATTTAGATTTATGTTGACTAAATATTTTTAGAATATGAAGAAAAATATGGGCTATAATGCTGCATATGCAGGTCATATTTTGCACTTTAAGTAACGGGGGAAAAGACCGTACTCCCTTTTACAATTTTATTCTGTATCCTATTTTCCCAATGTTCTCATTGTATATCTTTAAGTACAGAGTAAACGACCTCGACAAGTTGTATAGGATATCCATGCCAAGCCATTCCAGCACACGGCTGGGTCAGTAACGACCCTGGCACAATGTACACATTGTTAGGGCTGAAATTAAAGACAGTGTTGTATTGACTATGTCAGGTGCAGGACTGGTGATTTATCCTTTATTGTGTGACTGTCATGGAGCTGTTGTGTCATGCCCTTAAAGTTGCCATGGTAATACATATCCTTCTGATTCTTCTCAGTGGAGGGGTAAAAAATATAATTCATTAGCATGTGTACTCTGTTGTCTCACCCAATACCAGGGGTGGTCGGGTAGCCTAGTGGTTAAAGCGTTCGCTCGTCACGCCGAAGACCCGGGTTCGATTCCCGACATGGGTACAATGTGTCAAACCCATTTCTGGTGTCCCCCGCCGTGATATTGCTGGAATATTGCTAAAAGGGGCGTAAAACCATACTCACTCACTCACTCACTCACTTAATACCATTATTTTCCCAAGACTTAAATTTCAAAGTAGGCACACAATTCATCATTTTTGTCTACTTTGTCCTCGGTAAACTTCTAAGAAATGCTTATAAAAAAATTAAAATAAATCATCAATTACAAAGGAAAAAAATTCAAATTTATGTAATTTAAATATTCACAGCACAATTCAGTAAATTTTACTAATTTCATGTATTTATTATTGTCTTTTTGAGTGAAATTTGTAAAAACAAGCAATTAATGAGATTGTTAGCGTTTCAATGCCTAGTGCTTCTATGGCTTTTTGTTATATTTCACCATAATGCTAAATGAGCATTTCATTAAAATGTTAAATAGGATTCGAAGATGCGTATTATTTCAATGGAACAACTTATTACTAGTGATTTAGAAGATTAACAGACTATAACCTGAAGCCACTGATCCTAGCACCATAGCCGTTATCATCAACAGTGTATTGTCCGTATATTATGCCACTAGCATACATTTGTTGTGACCCGTGAAGATCTGGGATAGAATAGGTCTTCAGCAACCCATGCTTGCCGTAAAAGCCGATTTTGCTTGTCTTAAGAGACGAGAAACGGGATCGGTTGGTCAGGCTCGCTGACTTGGTTGATGCATGTCATTGTATCCCAACTGCGTGGATCGATGTTCATGATATCAATCACTGGATTGTCTGGTCCAGGCTTGATTATTCACAGACCACTGTCATAAAACTGGAATATTGCTTATTGCGGCGTAAAAGAACAAGCCACCATTTGTTGCACTTTTCTGTAAATAAACCAGCCATGTAACATGTTAAAAAACAACCCTGTTTAAAACAAACAAACAAACAAACAAAGACTGTACCACTAATACATCGTCAGGGTTACTGTGGAATATTAGAAGAAAATTTGGCCATGCAAACAAACTGGAATGCCTGGCGTAGGAGGCGGAGTACAACCTCCTGGGCCTGCCAGTTTGTCCCGGTGTAGACCCCCTTTAGAAACGCTGTAGTTTTTATAGCTTGGAGGTATTGCTACACTTACAATGGTTTACATTGTAGGCATTTAGACAGTTATGAAAGTATTGATTGTGCTTATCAGGCCTGGACAAAGGCAGACATTGAACACATAACATAGAAGCCGGGTTGTGTCATGTAGCGGGGATTAAGCCGTGTCAAGTGTGTACAGAGGTGTTGTCGGAGAGACAAGCTTGGATACACTAAACTTTCTCTTAACAACAGGGGCAGTGTAGTGGTGAAAGCGTTCGCCCACCATGCCTAAAAGCCGAGTTTGATTTTCCACCTTGGTACAATATATACCCTTGCTATATTATGGCTGGAATACCGTGAAAGGCACAAAAGCCAACACACTTAACAACAGTCTCCATGGCAACACTACATTCAGGCCTCAAAGCTGCGACTGTTTTAATTGACATTTAAATAATATTTTTTTAAGCAGTCACCACTTTCCATTATGGTGAAGGAAAGTAAATAGACACTTCACCAAAGCTTTTTTTTAACTTATTTTGTCTTGACACTGCTATAAACATACATCAAAATGACGTTGTGCTATAAAGACGTAGAAGAAAAGGACAATGATGGAGTGTGGTTACAGTCGCGGTTGCTAAGCGACACTCACACCAAGACTGCCTGAAAGTGTGGTACCAGCTGGCATTGATTTTTTCTTTGAAATACGATACAATAGATGCGAGTTGGCTGCATACTTTTTTGTGGTCGTACCACTCCTGGTATTTTTATGCTTATGGTGTGGGGTGTGTGGAATTAAAAAGACGCAAACTTCCATAATTATAATCATAACTTTTGGAGTCCCGTGATAATTTCATCTCACCTTTGATAGCATTCAAAATAGCATTAGGCTAGACTTTTTTTTAAAAAACTTTTTTAGATTTATTTTCTTTTCTTTTGTAGTACACAAACAATAAGTTTACAGAATATAGTTCACATACAATCTTAAATACATGCAAGTTACAAAGTACATCTATTGATGATAACAAACAAACCTTTATATAAAACTTGGTTTACAAGTCTGCTGACAAAAAAATTGGAATGTGGGCTAGATCAGAACTATGTAAAATGTTTTAAAAAATTCATATACTGTCGCTATCAATAAAAAGAAATGATTTAAGACACTATAATTAAAACCTGTTGAACATAAAACTTAAAATGTTCAAAACACAGTGAATGATAATTCATTGCGACAGATCGGAAAGTATAGATTCAATGATCTATTGCATGAAAAAGCCGATTCAGCCTAAACATTTGTTGTTTCTCTACGCCTTCTATCTACTTAACATTTTGTAGTAATAAAATGTAATATTTGAAAACAGAATTATTATTTTTTATTTTTTAACCTACCAAATTTATTTTTGGGTCAAAAATCTATATCCCCCTCCAAAAAAGGCCTGGTGTTAAACCCCAGCTGCCATTCGCAGTACTAGGGAATAAAGGATAATATCATGTCAGATTTAAACTGAGAAACCAAATAAAGACAATGAGGCGCTACAGAGCTACAGATAAGCTGTGTATTTGAGTAAAATACTCCCCAAAAATATTCAAAACCCAATTTCTTTCAATTATCTTACGTACTGAAACGCATGTATTAAATGAAAAACTCAAAAAACAGCACACGTAAACACCCAATGAAGCTTTTTCAGCATGCGTACAACGGAGGTAATTTCTAAAATACAATTATAAACTAATTTACTTTCTGAGTCAAGCCTATATATTTAGAACAGTTTTATACATTTAAAACATTATTTCATTTTTTTTAAGTCTTAGAAATTTCACTTATTTTGTTAAAAATCCAATAGAGTGATGAATGGATGGGTGAAAAAATATTGGTTACCCAATGAAAAATGTAATAACCCAATTAAAATAGAAATCCTAGAGTAAAAACTCAATTGCTCAAAAAGTTATCGGGAGCTCTGGCTTTCCCTGTCAATATTTGCACATTCTATATTACAACTGAGAATGTTCATGATAGAGATCTATTGCAATCCATTGTAAATGTTGTTCTGTAGGATTTGATGCCAGGCTTTGTGTTATCGTTTAAACTTTACCAGGTTTACCCAGGTGCAGGAATTTATCACCAAACATACCCGAGGACACCGAGGTTATAAAATCTTGGTGCAAGTTGTATGACATGTTTGAACAAGTATCGTAGAAAGTGTAAGAAATATGACATTGATGATAAACTTGACGATGACAACAGTGATGCAAATGGGATAATTATTTCACTTACCGTATTCAACGTAATAAGCGCCCCGCTCCAATAAGCGCCCATGGCGATATTTGCTAATATATTTGCTAGTGAACAATCCCAATTAGCACCCTTCCGATTGACAATGTACAAAAGACTTATTTATTTGCTTATAATATGCACTCGTGTGTTATATGCACCCTTATTATGGGCAATTAAAATCTGGAAAAATATGTCTGTCGTATATAAACATTTCAGGCTGTGTGCATAAACCACAAAATTTTTCTTTCAACTGTTTTTTTCACAAAATAATATTCTAATTAGAGCCCCCTATTTCTAATTTTAAGAGCGCCCTGGGCGCTTATTACGATGAATATGGTATGTTTGTTCATGTTGTTTGTTTGTTTGTTTGTTTAACTCTGCACTCAGCAGTGTTTCACTTATGTGAATGATTGAAATAGGTTGAGAATGACATCATTGGTAGTTTATATTTCTTTCACTTATGTAAATAATGTTGATTTGAATTGACTTATATGAATTAAAACTTAAAGTTTTACATGTTTTCATTTTTCATTTTTCATTTTGCTTTGTTTTAGTTGCTTTATCGAATGAGAGGCCCTTTGGTATGATTATGAATATAGTCAAACTTTTACTGCGTAAATCTCTTAGCTTCTCCTTTAGATGTTATATACCCTTTTCAGTGTCATTAAACTTTGCATGGAATCTTAAAAGTTTCTCATCTGAAATCTTTCTATTTCGACAATATTCCTCATAGTTATCAATATGTCAGTGTCCTCAATCATTCATTTGTAGAATGATATATTTTGGCTCAGATTTTTGTTTTGCTGATTATATTTATCACACTGGAAGAAACTGAAGTTGATATTACAATATAAAATTGAGTTAGTTTCTATTTGTGTTTGTTTGTTTGTTGTTTAACGCCGCTCTCAGCATTATTCCAGCTATATGACAGCAGTCTGTAACAAATAAAGTCTGGGCCAGATAATCCTGTGTTTGACATCATGGACGTCAGTCCACACAATTGGGATACGATGACATGCATCAACCAAGTCACTGAGCCTGACCACCCGATCAATATACTGACCTCTTACAACAATTGACCCGTGAAGATCGGGGGTAAAATAGGTCTCAGTAACCCATGCTTGCCGTAAAAGGCGACTATGCTTGTCGTAAGAGGCGACTAACAGCTCGCTGACTTGACTGATTCATGTCATCGTATCCCAATTGCATGGATCAATGTTCATGATGTCAATCGCTGGATTGTCTGGTCCAGACTCGATTATTTACAGACCACCGTCATATAGCTGGAATATTGCTGAGTGCGGCATTAAACAACAAACCAACAAACAAATCTGACAACAATTGGGGATTGCTGGGGATGTATATTCCTAAACGGAATCACCAACCATCTATGGTGTCATGGGTGGCCAAGTATGTTGCGTCTCTAAGGTTTGCCAGGAATGTATTATTGTGTGTTCGATTCCTGGTCCACCAGGATTGCTTTATCAGTATTATACTTGTACTCGTGGGTTTCAACAAAGTTCTAAGACGTTGTCAACTCACATAGCTGAAATACTGTTCAAAGCAATGTAAAACTTAACTCACTGTTTTATTTTAATCTGCTATGTCTCTAATGGTGAATGATATACCGACATTTTGTATTAACCAGTGTAAAGTCATCAAAAGATCACTCACATTGCTTGGCAGTTTTAATGAAAGTAAGAATCATTAGAGATGCTATGGCGGCAACTTCTATACAAGTGCATTTTAAATCTCCAAACGTAATTTAGTAAGGAGTTTTGATTTATGAGCTGTAGACAGGGTAAATAGGAACATATATGATCAAAGTTAATTTTGTTATTTTGTTCCAGGCAGATCAGAAGATAGAGCCATGCTCCTTAAGATACATATTTCTTTCAGAATTCGGCTAATTAACATTTCTCTCAAAATGACCCTTTTGTTCACAATTTGCAGGAATGTCCAGATTTAAAATCTGATCCAGTGCAACATTTTGCTGGGGTGAGATTGTGTGAGGTCACATGACATGCTGTGTGATATATAACATATAACATCATATACACCTGTATTATACACTGAGGTCTCTCATCTGTGGCATATTGAAGAGTTACTTGCAGAAAGGATGAATCAAGTCTCCAATGACATTACACATGACGTTATTATACATCATGATGAAAATGACATGCACATGACGTTATTATACATCACGATGAGAATCACATACACATGATGTTATTATATATCACGATGAGAATCACATACACATGACGTTATTATACATCACGATGAGAATGACAGACACATGACGTTATTATACATCACGATGAGAATGACATACACATGATGTTATTATACATCACGATGAGAATCACATGCACATGACATTATTATACATCACGATGAGAATCACATACACATGACGTTATTATACATCACAATGAGAATGACATACACATGACGTTATTATACATCACGATGAGAATCACGTACACATGACGTTATTAAACATCACGAGAATCGCATACACATGACGTTATTATGTCACCTTTGTGTATGACACATGATGTTATCCATATCTTGGAGGAAAATAGTGTATCCAAAATTGTGAAGTACTGACGACCCCTTTAGGAAATTTTATTTTTATTGTTAATGAGGTAATACTAATACAAGATCTAACATCTTTATTCCTTAAATTTGTGAACTTGCTAGTGTAAGATTTACATGGGATATATACAACATATAGGAGAATACAACATGGATATGAGACCGACCCAGGATCTGACATATATCTGATATATAGTTCTACCTCTGTTTTGATATGCCATCTTCCAGTATATCATGATATATCTACTTCTGATATATATGATATATCTACCTCTGATATGAGACATCTTCTGATATATCATGATTTAACTACTTCTGATTTATATATTTCCTCTCATGTTGATAATCATGTATTTACCTCTGATATTTTGATATATCTACCTCTTGTATATCATGATATATCCCTATCTGATATAATGATATATCCCCTTTTGATATAACCTCTGATATAACATTTAACACTACATGTGTATCATTCTCTCTATAATCCCATTATGACGTTATATTCAACTATAAACAGTTATATGTAGCATAGAGGAATATGCATGTCGTATCGTATGGTCTCAACTAACAGCCTTTCCACACACTTTTCTGTAACAGCGTTTGATGTCTTTTGTTTTCGCAATATGATATTCATTTTTTAACTTATTTAATGTTAACTGTTATCTGTCGTCTTTAAAATGTTTGATCGGTGGTCTAAATGAAAAAACAAAGATTACATCCAGTTTATTTTTAGTCTGTTGTATTTGCATTTGTAGAGGTGATAGGGATGTTTATGAATCTATGCTTCATTAAAAATAAGACCCATGAAGATCCGGGTAGAATAGATCTTCAGCAACCCATGCTTGCCGTAAAAGGCGACTATGCTTGTCGTAAGAGGCGACTAACGGGATCGGGTGGTCAGACTTGCTGAATTGGTTGATGCATGTCATCGTATCCCAATTGCGTAGATCAGTGCTCATGATGTCAATCACTGGATTGTCTGGTCCAGACTCGATTATCTACAGACCGCCGTCATATAGCTGGAATATTGCTGAGTGCGGCGATAAACAACCAACAAACAAACAAACATTAAAAATAAATCACACGATGAAGTAGTCGTCAGTTGTAATGGTCATGATGATGTAGAATACAGAAGATATTTTTTGTAATAACTGCAATCAGTGAAGTTGTGTGTTGTGCCTCATCATGGCTATTGTACAATCGTTGTGTTGGCTGCAGCTGTTGTCGACAGACATGCAATAGAGTACTGGCCAGTGACATGAACATGAACTAATTACTCACCTGTCTGTTTGACGAGGGAGCGACGTGATACACCTGACAGATCCCATGAAAAAAACATAGGGGCTATATCTAATTAGCCTGTAGGTCTCAGACTGACATGGTCTCCCTGGCATGGTTTAATGCTGGATGTTGTTTGTTATTCATGGACTCGTGTTTAATGGCGAAAGGTAAAGACAGATACTTTCTGTTGATGTTTTCATTGTTTGAAATTTAAAATATTTTTATATTATTTAGATGAAATTCATTTGAGTATTTAATTGAGTATTTAATTTGTATTAAATCTGTATTAAATCTGAAACAATTTGTATCCTTTTGAATGTTAAGTTTATGAACAGTGGGCACAATAACGTTGGAAATTCCAGCCTAGTTTGGCAAGGGTGGAAACTGGACTTTCATAGTCAGTTAACGCCTTTGCCCAATCTCATTAAAATCAGATCTTAGTTCTTGCTACCGCTAAACAAAGGTCTGAGGACATCCCATTAGGGGTCACGTCAGACCAACCTTGTGCGAACTTTGACCGACCAATGGAATGACCAATCAGAAGGCAGCTTTCTCGTGCTTTATGGCACTAATTTCAAAATGGCGACTACGCTTCGAAACATATTTTGACAAATTCTCGATTACAAATTTGAAACCTAAACAAAAGAACATTCTTTCGTGGTTGCATGATTAGAAATCACATTCTGACTGTCACTTTCATAATCTGGTAAGCGATGCTTTGATTGGTCGGATGAAAGGTCGTTCTGACATGACGCCTAATGGGATGTCCTCAGATCTTTGTTTAGCGGTAGCAAGAACTGAGGTCTGATTTTAATGAGATTGCTCCTGTGCCTTGGGAAGATGGGTATATTGAAGTAGATATCGTAACATATTGCAATACAATTGTTTTGAAACTTGTGAAGTTCTACAATGTAGATATCACTTGATCTCACCCAAGCCATATCCTGTGGGAGCCAGTTTTGGAAGATAACGTGTGTTATGAAATTTGAGGTAGTCTCACTGCAGATTAGATATCTCTTATTTTTCAATATATATTCAACATAAAACTGCCCTGTACAACAGCCGGTAGACTGAAGCATACTTGTAACTCTAAGAGAATCTTTTGCTTTTAATTTGAAGGAGATTAACAAATGATGCATTGGGAGCGTTTTATCTGAAGCTGAGATACAAATCTCCGTTATCCTTTATTCAGGGATTCTGTCTAGCACCTGATACAAGGCTTTGAAAGATTGAAATACTCCTTGGGCTGGCATGTTGTTTACTGTAGAGTCCTCTCGCTCAGAAGATATTTTGATTTTGAGCTGTGGTACTGGAAAATAGCTATACATGTACAATGTTTTAAAATAAGCTTGAATGTCAATGTACCCTTGGCATTACCCTAATAATACAATTAAAGATTTAGGAGTCTTTCGATTGTAGTCCTTCAGCAAAAAACCTCTCAACTCATCTCATCTCTTAAAATCAGATCTTAGTTCTCACTATGCTAAACAAAGATCTGAGGACATCCCATTAAGGGTCACGTCAGAACGACCTTTCATCCAACCAATCAGAGCGTCGCTTACCAGAGCATGAAAGTGACAGTTGGAATGTGTTTTCTAATCATGCAACCATGAAATACTTAACATGGGGTATTCCGAACGACAGTTACGGGTTTTACGATTATATCCATACACTCTAGGCCATCTAGAAGTCATTCCAGAATGTTCTTGTCAGTTTTAATTTTTTTAATCGAGAATACGTCAAAATATGTTTCGAAGCATATTCGCCAGTTTGGCAGATTTTTAAAGAAATGTTCCTTTTTTTTGGCCTGTTTGTTAATTAGATCATGTTTTTCGCTTTTAGATCCACCATCCGCAGTCAGAAACTTCCATATATCAGCCTTTCCCTCACAAATCAATCATCAGCTGTTCGCTTTCGCTTTGACATTTGAGCGTCAGTAACGAGTCACAAAAAAAAATAATTCAAAACTAATTATCTCCCTTTAAAAACTAGTTTCGCTACCTGTTGCGCTAACACACTTCTTCCTGTTTCTGTAACAGGCAGTTGTCAAGTGTGTCATCTATTTGTGATATGTTCCTGACATTGGTACAATGCGAGAAGCCCATTTCTGGTGTCCCCCGCCGTGATATTGCTGGAATATTGCTATAAGTGGCGTAAAACCATACTCACTCACTCTTTGTGATATGAGTGACAAGTATTTAGTTGTTATTTAACTTAGATTATGTGAGAGATGAAAACAAAATTTACGTTCAAATAGATCTTAAAACAATAAGAGATTAATTGATACGATTGAAATATTTGTATTCACGCTGCACATTGACGAGCGGACGAGTGGAGTTTTGGGGCCCTGGAGTAGTATATTGTTTCCTGGTCAACCTCATGTCCTTGTCTCCCCCCTTCCAGGTGCTGTATCCCCCCGTGCAGCCCCGCCCAGGGTCGGCCTGGCCCCAGCCAATCACCATCTACGACCAGCAGCAGCAACATCAGCAACAGCTGCACAGCACCACCAACCTGCCGTACCTTGCAACATCCACAGCACCTCCAGCCTCGGTCACCTGGACAGGGACGACCCAGGTGCCACTGCCCCGCCCCCCACTCAGGTCACGCCCACTGTCAGCGGGGGCGTCGGCTGTAAGACGAGGACCATGTGACATGAGGTTCGCGGGCGTGACCGGGCCACCTGTTGGGGGTCCGTTGCCAAGGAGCACTTCAGGGGGTAAGATTTGATTGGTTAATTGTTGAAGACACATAAAAGACACACATTTCACAATTTATTTCTTAAGTGTTCCTACTCTCATACTGAACTGTCATAATCAGATCTAACTGCCCAGGATCTAACTGCCTCAGGGTCTAACTGCCTCAGGGTCTAACTGCCTCAGGATCTAACTGCCTCAGGGTCTAACTGCCACAGGATCTAACTGCCTCAGGGTCTAACTGCCTCAGGGTCCAACTGCCTCAGGTTCTAACTGCCTCAGGATCTAACTGCCTCAGGGTCTAACTGACACAGGATCTAACTGCCTCATGACCCAACTGCCCAGGATCTAATTGCCTCAGGGTCTAAATGCCTCAGGATCCAACTGCCCAGGATCTGACTGCCTCAGGGTCTAACTGCCTCAGGATCTAACTGCCTCAGGGTCTAAATGCCTCAGGATCCAACTGCCCAGGATCTGACTGCCCAGGGTTTAAAAGGGTACAATGAAAAGGAAGGCAGCTGACTCTATCTCAATTTTACAAGTGCCTTATTATTTTCTGGCCCATGGTGTCAAGTTTGAAGATGGATCAAACATATTGTCTTCTTGGCACACAATTCCAAAGGCAATGTTTATGAGTCTTAAGTACCCTGTGGTACATATGATGAAAAAAGTCACTGTTGTTTCCTAAAAAAATGAATCTTGGCAGACAACATTGTAATTTCCTTCTCTGTCAGGTCTTCAGCAACCCATACTTGCCGTAAAAGGTGACTATGCTTGCCGTGAAAGGCGATAAACGGGATCGGGTGGTCAGGCTCGCTGACTTTATTGATGCATGTCATCGTATCCCAATTGCGTGGATCGATGCTCATGATGTTAATCACTGGATTGTCTGGTCCAGACTGGATTATTTACAGATCGCCATCATATAGCTGGAATATTGCTAAGTGCGGCGGTAAACAACAAACAAACAAACAATCATCTGTCAGACAGCTAGACAGGAAGTGGCTGTACAAACACGTGGCTAATTGCGGCCCTCCGGCCTCGACTGCTGTACAGCCAGGGTTAGATACGACCACTGGTCAGTTAGTCTGAGACTAGTGAAAATCCAGAGGGACTGGTTGTTTGTAACAAAATCTAGCTATTTTGCATTATCCACTGGTCTGAAATGAGCTCCAAACAAGTAGATACGACCTCTGTGTGTACCTCTGACAGCTGAGCCACACACTGTAAACTATAGGATATGTCCAGGATAAAACATGCCTCCATGGTTTGGGTTGAAACTGTAAAACTGCGTGCGAGGGAAAAGGCCCTCGGGCGTGTTTTATTATAAGTTCATGAATAGTGCTTTTTATTTCAAAAGTAATTGCAATTATTACGTCTTTTAAGTCTTTCATGATTTTGAATGTGATGTGTCTTGTGAGGATGTTTCTCTGTTAGGATGTTTCTCTGTGAGGGTGTTTCTCTGTGAGGATGTTTCTCTGTGAGGGTGTTTCTCTGTGAGGAGGTTTCTCTGTTAGGATGTTTCTCTGTGAGGGTGTTTCTCTGTGAGGATGTTTCTCTGTGAGGGTGTTTCTCTGTGAGGATGTTTCTCTGTTAGGATGTTTCTCTGTGAGGATGTTTCTCTGTTAGGATGTTTCTCTGTGAGGGTGTTTCTCTGTGAGGATGTTTCTCTGTTAGGATGTTTCTCTGTGAGGATGTTTCTCTTTGAGGGTGTTTCTCTGTGAGGATGTTTCTCTGTGAGGGTGTTTCTCTGTTAGGATGTTTCTCTGTTAGGATGTTTCTCTGTGAGGATGTTTCTCTGTTAGGATGTTTCTCTGTTAGGAGGTTTCTCTGTGAGGATGTTTCTCTGTGAGGGTGTTTCTCTGTTAGGATGTTTCTCTGTTAGGAGGTTTCTCTGTGAGGATGTTTCTCTGTTAGGATGTTTCTCTGTTAGGATGTTTCTCTGTGAGGATGTTTCTCTGTGAGGGTGTTTCTCTGTTAGGATGTTTCTCTGTGAGGATGTTTCTCTGTTAGGATGTTTCTCTGTGAGGATGTTTCTCTGTGAGGGTGTTTCTCTGTTAGGATGTTTCTCTGTTAGGATGTTTCTCTGTGAGGATGTTTCTCTGTGAGGGTGTTTCTCTGTTAGGATGTTTCTCTGTGAGGGTGTTTCTCTGTGAGGATGTTTCTCTGTGAGGGTGTTTCTCTGTGAGGGTGTTTCTCTGTTAGGATGTTTCTCTGTGAGGATGTTTCTCTGTGAGGGTGTTTCTCTGTTAGGATGTTTCTCTGTTAGGATGTTTCTCTGTGAGGATGTTTCTCTGTGAGGGTGTTTCTCTGTTAGGATGTTTCTCTGTTAGGAGGTTTCTCTGTGAGGATGTTTCTCTGTGAGGGTGTTTCTCTGTTAGGAGGTTTCTCTGTGAGGATGTTTCTCTGTGAGGATGTTTCTCTGTTAGGATGTTTCTCTGTTAGGATGTTTCTCTGTGAGGAGGTTTCTCTGTGAGGATGTTTCTCTGTGAGGATGTTTCTCTGTTAGGATGTTTCTCTGTGAGGATGTTTCTCTTTGAGGGTGTTTCTCTGTGAGGATGTTTCTCTGTGAGGGTGTTTCTCTGTTAGGATGTTTCTCTGTTAGGATGTTTCTCTGTGAGGATGTTTCTCTGTTAGGATGTTTCTCTGTTAGGAGGTTTCTCTGTGAGGATGTTTCTCTGTGAGGGTGTTTCTCTGTTAGGATGTTTCTCTGTTAGGAGGTTTCTCTGTGAGGATGTTTCTCTGTTAGGATGTTTCTCTGTTAGGATGTTTCTCTGTGAGGATGTTTCTCTGTGAGGGTGTTTCTCTGTTAGGATGTTTCTCTGTGAGGATGTTTCTCTGTTAGGATGTTTCTCTGTGAGGATGTTTCTCTGTGAGGGTGTTTCTCTGTTAGGATGTTTCTCTGTTAGGATGTTTCTCTGTGAGGATGTTTCTCTGTGAGGGTGTTTCTCTGTTAGGATGTTTCTCTGTGAGGGTGTTTCTCTGTGAGGATGTTTCTCTGTGAGGGTGTTTCTCTGTGAGGGTGTTTCTCTGTTAGGATGTTTCTCTGTGAGGATGTTTCTCTGTGAGGGTGTTTCTCTGTTAGGATGTTTCTCTGTTAGGATGTTTCTCTGTGAGGATGTTTCTCTGTGAGGGTGTTTCTCTGTTAGGATGTTTCTCTGTTAGGAGGTTTCTCTGTGAGGATGTTTCTCTGTGAGGGTGTTTCTCTGTTAGGAGGTTTCTCTGTGAGGATGTTTCTCTGTGAGGATGTTTCTCTGTTAGGATGTTTCTCTGTTAGGATGTTTCTCTGTGAGGAGGTTTCTCTGTGAGGATGTTTCTCCGGGAGGATGTTTCTCCGTGAGGATGTTTCTCTGTGAGGATGTTTCTCTGTTAGGATGTTTCTCTGTGAGGAGGTTTCTCTGTGAGGATGTTTCTCCGGGAGGATGTTTCTCCGTGAGGATGTTTCTCTGTGAGGGTGTTTCTCTGTGAGGAGGTTTCTCTGTGAGGAGGTTTCTCTGTGAGGATGTTTCTCTGTTAGGATGTTTCTCTGTGAGGAGGTTTCTCTGTGAGGATGTTTCTCTGTGAGGATGTTTCTCTGTGAGGATGTTTCTCTGTGAGGATGTTTCTCTGTTAGGATGTTTCTCTGTGAGGAGGTTTCTCTGTGAGGATGTTTCTCCGGGAGGATGTTTCTCCGTGAGGATGTTTCTCTGTGAGGAGGTTTCTCTGTGAGGATGTTTCTCCGGGAGGATGTTTCTCTGTGAGGATGTTTCTCCGGGAGGATGTTTCTCTGTTAGGATGTTTCTCTGTGAGGAGGTTTCTCTGTGAGGATGTTTCTCCGGGAGGATGTTTCTCCGTGAGGATGTTTCTCTGTGAGGAGGTTTCTCTGTGAGGATGTTTCTCCGGGAGGATGTTTCTCTGTGAGGATGTTTCTCTGTGAGGATGTTTCTCTGTTAGGATGTTTCTCTGTTAGGATGTTTCTCTGTGAGGAGGTTTCTCTGTGAGGATGTTTCTCTGTTAGGATGTTTCTCTGTTAGGATGTTTCTCTGTGAGGAGGTTTCTCTGTGAGGATGTTTCTCCGGGAGGATGTTTCTCTGTTAGGATGTTTCTCTGTGAGGAGGTTTCTCTGTGAGGATGTTTCTCTGTGAGGATGTTTCTCTGTGAGGATGTTTCTCTGTGAGGATGTTTCTCCGGGAGGATGTTTCTCCGTGAGGATGTTTCTCTGTGAGGGTGTTTCTCTGTGAGGAGGTTTCTCTGTGAGGAGGTTTCTCCAGGAGGAGGTTTCTCCGGGAGGAGGTTTCTCTGTGAGGAGGTTTCTCCGGGAGGAGGTTTCTCTGTGAGGAGGTTTCTCTGTGAGGAGGTTTCTCCGGGAGGTGGTTTCTCTGTGAGGAGGTTTCTCCGGGAGGAGGTTTCTCTGTGAGGGTGTTTCTCTGTGAGGGTGTTTCTCTGGGAAGAGGTTTCTCCATGAGGAGATTTCTCTGTGCGCCATGCTGGCCAGTGTTCAGTGTTAGTGTTTTTATCTGTGACACAGTGGGATGGATGGGGTCCACACAGTCATCTATCAACACACAGAGGATGCAGCAAGCGCCGCCACCAACACCGCAGCAAGCACCCTGTCCTGATCTGCTACAGCTGATGCAGGAGAAGGTAGGTCACATGACACTTAGGTTCCAGGTTCTATTGGTTCGAGGGGCGGTCGGGTAGCCTAGTGGTTAAAGTGTTCGCTCGACACGTCAAAGACCCGGGTTCGAATCCCGACATGGGTTCAATGTGTGAAGCCCATTTCTGGTGTCCCCCGCCGTGATATTGCTGGAATATTGCTAAAAGCAGCGTAAAACCAAACTCACTCACTCACTCACTCACTATTGGTTCGCCATGGTTACAAGCATCCTTGATGAGCCAGTATTTTGTTACTAGGGCTGTGATAGCTCACTCGGCTACTGGGGTCGGGTGGGTACTGAGTAGGACCAGGGTACCCACAGGACTACCCGGACCCGTGGTTAGTCACTTGATATATTATTTAATGACTAAAATTAATTAGAACTCTATGGTTACACTACAAGTCACTAATGTTCGCATTTCTTTCAGACTATGCACCCATTCCTTCTGACTTTCATATGTTTGAATAAAGATAAAGCTTCAGTCAATTTCAGTGTATGCATGACCAGATCATTTCAAATGTGTATGTAAATACGTTTTGCTAAGTCTACGGTCAAACTATTCCCCATCTGACATTTTGTACCCATCTCTTGAGGCCAGTAGTGGGGTAGGGAATTAAGTGGTAGGGTACCCGGGTAGTAAATTTAGACTCATCCCAGCCCTAATAAATACGCTTGACCCTTTCGAAACCATAGCCTCATTTTGAGTATTGTTTGAATGGCATAATGCTAATGATAGCTAATCTCTCACGATTAAAAAAATTACGATAACACCAGTATTTGAGCCCGCCTCTGTAGCCCAGTGGATGGAGCGAGAGCCTCTGCCTTGATAGAGGATGGTCGGTTGTTCGATCCCTGGCCTCATCGTACCAAAAAATGTTAAAAGCTGGTACTTGTTGTTTCCCTGCCTGGCGTTCAGCATTAGGGGATGAACCAAGGACTGGTCGGCTGAGAGTCACTGCATTGTATCTGAGTGGGGTATCCACGTTAAAAATTAGGCTTGGTATCTCAGTGGGTAAGCACCGTAAGAACAGCAGTAGTATGGACTAAAACAAGCACTGGCACACACACAAAGACACACACGTGCATGCACATCGCTATAAAAGCGATATGAGCTGAACGTCTAGGTTTGATTCCCAACATTGATACACTATTACAAACTTTATGGTTGTTCGTGTCTACCAGGGGCGGTAGGGTAGCATTGTTGTTAAAGCGTTCACTCGTCACGCTGAAGACCTGGGTTAGATTCCCGACATGGGTACAATGTGTGAAGCCCATTTCTGGTGTCCCCTGCTGTGATATTGCTCGAATATTGCTCAAAGCGGCGTAAAACCTCACTCACTCACTCATTCACTCACTCGTGTCTACTAAGTGGACACATCCTATGTTTGGTGGTCCAGTTGGTTAGTGTGTTCACTTGTCATGGAGGAGGTCTGGGTTTGATTCCCAAGCTTGATGTCCCCAAACCATGACACATATCCTATCAACTGTCCACTAACTCTAACCAAATTCTGTTTCATACTTTCTTCCAGGAGCAAAAAATTCTACAGTTGACAGAAGAAAACAGCCGACTGCGTGTAGGTGAATTTGACGCCTACCGTAAAGAACAGCTGATTCAACAGCTGCAACAGGAGAATGGACAGCTGCAGAATAAACTTCATCAAGAGCCGTCCGTCATCATGGGCGGAGACGTAGATGTCACTTCGAAGCTACTGGTGCTAGAGGCGGAGGTGAACGCCCGGAAGGACGAGGTCGCGTCACTCAAGGAACAGGTAGGTGTCACGGGTGTTCTTTCATATTATGTTCAGTATATACCCCTGGAAAATTATTAAGCACCGCCCCTTCATATTTCCATATTTTTCAAACTTCCGTGTATATGGGTAACTATAGCAACTAAAAGGGTAGCACTTGCTTGATAACGGTGCTAGAACCTACACTGAAACGTCGCTCTTAATTGTAATAAAGAAGTTGTTCATCCATAAATTCTTATTCTTACCTAAAAGGTTAGCAACTGAAAGCATTTACAAAACATATCATTAGATAATCAATTCGGTTTCTGTATTTCAATATGAGTATGAAACTTTGTAAACGAGGTTTTGTTTTGTCATTTAATAAGAAAAGGGTTCAATTAAAAAACTGATTATTTTTTATGGAGATATACAGTAGTTGGTGCTTAGCTGTTGTCCAGGTTCCATATGTGTGTTTCATATATCTTACTACATATTTGTCTGTGGTTTGGGTATTAATTTGCAAGAAATACAAAGTAGAAAGGGTATTATGGTTAGTTTGTATATTGTCGAAGAGGTTTTTAAGTTAATAAAGTTAAAAATAAATGTTATTGATGCCAGTCCAGTATATTTTTTTGTTTTTCATACAAGTTTTCCTTAAACATGTTAAACAGTAAGAAAAAAATGATTGAAAATTTGCTCGTCTATTTTTGTAAATACTATTTTTTTGTGACTGGAATATGAAAATGATTGAGGCTAATTATCATCTACTGTAACCTATTTGGCATATTTCATCAATAAAATCCATTAAACAAGAAAATGATTTGCCTGGCCTAACATGGATAGCATGTGGTTATTTAATGTATAATTTGTTATGAGCACAGCGACAACTGATTGTTTAGCATGTACTAATGATTTGTAGAGGGTATTATTTAGTGTGGTGTGGTGGAATGTGTCGGATACTAATTTTGTTGTTTTGTTTCTACATCACTAAATTGTCATGGAAACAGGCTGTCACAGTTCACTTACCTCATAAAATGACATATATTTTGATGGTAGCAGGACAACATAATACATACCCAGGCATCATCGATATCCATCATCGCTATTGATCGTAAACAACATGCAACTTTTTGCTTTGTAGTACTCAGAAATCCATGTGTAGCTTGTTTTCTTCATGGTTGGGTATAAGGGATTTATTGTCCCACTCAGAAATCCATGTGCAGCTTGTTTTCTTCATGGTGGGGTATAAGGGATTTATTGTCCTGCTCAGAAATCCATGTGTAGCTTGTTTTCTTCATGGTGGGGTATAAGGGATTTATTGTCCCGATTAGAAAAATATTGGGGACACTTTTAAGAAATTTTGGAGGTAAATAAAGTAACACAAAATTCCTTTATTCTGTGTACTTATTCCTTAAATAATTTCCGGTTTCTATTATGAATATTGGGAAATATCTTGCCTTGATTTCTGACCACTAATATCGCAATGCATCAATTCTATGATATATTGTGACGCCCGCAATAAAATCGTAATATTTGAATTGGTCTTCAGGGAAACATGTTGCCTTTACCATGTCCTGTTTGGAGAGATTGGTGTTTTAATCAACCACATGTTGGGGTGTAAGAGATATGATCCAAAGAGTTTAGAATCAGAAGTGTGTTTGTGCTGCATATATAGCATGTGTTTTGGCAGATAGTTGTAGATGCATATATCATGTATGAATTAATATATGTGAGTTATACACCACAAGACAGTCTATAGTTACATTATTTTTTCTAAGGAAGAGAATTAATGGATGTCAACTTCTATATTATGAGGAAACACAACGTTTCGGAGTAAACGCTTACTCCATCATCAGCTGATGAAACGTTGTGTTCTTCATAATAAAGAAGTTGACGTCCATAAATTTGCTTCCTTATGTGCGTGCATCACTTCTAAATGCCATTCAAAGACTTGATTAGTTTTTCTGAGATGGAGATGAACTACATTAACAGTAGTAGTCTATTGTTCCAATAAATATGAGGGGGCACGGGTGGCCCAGTCGTCTAAGGCGCCGCGATTCGCTGTGTAGAGTTGCGTCCCTTGGGCATGCCAGAAACCTATGATTGTGGGTTCGAATCCCGGTTCGCCCCGATTATGTTTCTAGGTTTGTCAGCACCATACCCGTGCTCATGGGTTTCACCGAAGTGGTAAACGTCTAAGACCTGCATCACTTCGGGCTTTCCTCCCACACTAAGCTGACACGCCGCGATATAACTGGAATACTGTTAAAAGCGGCGTTAAACCCAACTCACTCACTCACTCCAATGAATATGTCCCATATATTTGAAACCATTCTTGTCATTACTTTCAAACGTTCCATCAAGAATACATACTGTATATGACATGCAAGTCCAGACAGACATAGTGTCTTTGTTCTTGGCCGACACGAGCCAGCACGCATGTATTGTTTTAGCGGAAGTACTCTACTCAGCGCTAATAAGCGGTGCTATTTGGCATGTTATTGGATTAATGTAAGGTTGGATTAAGGTGAGGATTCTGACAGAAGACATTTCCTTTATATAAATCCACTGATGCTTGAGAGGAGGGGGTGTCGCATTCATATTGAGTTGCATTTTTGGCTAGGGGCCAGCGGTAGCATTCTTATGGAGACGCATTACTTTCACGATTTACAGTATACAGTCAAGCTTTTAGACTCCTGGGCCCTGTTGCACAAAGCGATCTTAGTGCTAAGACTATCGTAAGCCTATGTTTAAGTATGGGAGTTATGATCATCTTAGCGCTAAGATCACTTTCTGCAAGTGGTCCCTGGCCTTCATCAGACACTCTGTTGGTTTTAAACTACAACTCTCGAGATCCTTTTTCAACCATTGCTGTAACTGACTTGAGCTAGGACATTATTACTAATTGTGCATGACGTTGTAGCCCAAGTCAGTTACAGCAATGGTTAAAAAAGGATCTCTAGTAATATGGTTACAAAACCAACAAAGTGTGTCTGTTGAAGGCCGGGAGGCCGAAAACTTGACTGGGTATATTTATGTATTTATTTGAATTCCCCTAAGGGAATGAACACAAAAGAAAACATAGTTTATTTCTAAAAGAAATAAGAATATAGAAGAAATAGTGCACCTCTCTTCTCACATTTTTGATAAATTTGATCTAACATCCAACAATATATTTATTGTTGCCTAATCAAATTTTGGAAGTCAGTGATCTGCGTCTAGTTGTCTATACTTTTGGAAAGACACTAGTGTGATCAGTTAGGATATTTCACAAGGATAAATCATTCCTAATTTCATGGCAACAAATCTTTATCCGTGAACCTCTTTCGGATAACGGCGTGTTGGGTAGCCCAGTGGTTAAAGTGTTTGCTTGTTGGCTGAAGGTCTGGGTTTGATTTCCAACATGGTTACAATGTGTGAGGCTAATTTCTGGTGTCCTTTTCCATGTGTTCCTGGAATATTGCTAAGATGGTGTAAAACCATACTCACTTTTCTAACACCAAAAAGCATCAATCTCTCCAATCTCATTAAAATCAGATCTTAGTTCTCGCTATCGCTAAATAAAGATCTAAGGACATCCAAATAGGGGTCACGTCAGAACGACCTTTCATCCGACCAATCAGAGCGTTACTTACCAGATCATGAAAATGACAGTCGGAATGTGTTTTCTAATCATGCAACCTTGAAAACGTTAATACGCTGTATTCCGAACGACAGTTATGGCCTATACGACTAATTTCGGCAAAATAATCTTCTATCCCTCGCTTCCGTTGGATAAACATTTAAATGGAGGAGCCGTTGCACAGTACGTGGGAAACACTGCCATACAATCGCAACCATATATTAGACATTCTGGAATGTTCGTATGTTCAGTTTTATAAATTTTAATAGAGAACTGTGTCAACATATTTTTCAAGCGTCTGATATGGAAGTCGCCAGGTTGAAACGAGTGCAGTAAAGCTGGTGTCGATATCTTGTTAGTTGTTTCAGTGATCGGTCAAAGCTCGCGAAAGGTTGTCTGACGAGACTCGTAATGAGATGTCCTCCGATCTTTGTTAAGCGGCAGCGAGAACTTAGATCTGATTTTAATGAGATAGCAATCTCTCTGAAGGATATGTCCAAAATGAAATTGAAATCCACTGACAAGGCGACTGTTTGCATTTGTAGCTAAATAACATGAAAGGCGATTCCGGTGATAGTCACTACCATCTTAGACAAGAGCTCAACGAGAAGGTGCGGGAACTGAACAATGTCCGCAATGAGTTGGAGAGGGTTAAGAAAGACAAAAACATCACTTCGGGTTTAGTTACACAGATGCAACGCGACATGTCGAGTAAAGTAAGTGAAGTCACAATGTTACCCTAACAACCATGTTTATTACACTAACAGAATAGCATGTTCCTGTCTATGACTAACCCGTCATTGTCTGTCATTCGAACATCCCATTTATTATTTACCCACCTACTGCTTAATGATTTTTGTCGTTTTGATTTTTTAATTGTTTTTCGTTTGTTACCTACCTACTGCTTCATTACTTTTTGTAAAAAGATTTTTAACTGTTTGTTGCTGTGGTTACATGTGCGCATAAGTTTTCAGTTGTGTTATTCTGTCGGAGTTAAGTCTGTTCAGAATACCAGTAAACATTTAATACATTTGTTGTTAATTTGTTTTCTTTATTCACTACAGAGAGTCTTTTGTGTAAGTTCTTGTTAACTTCTAATTACTCTTTCTGAGAAAAAGCCTGCTGACGACAAAACTGAGAACTTGAACCAAAAAATAATTGACTTAAAATCATAGATTAAAGACTAAGACAGGTCTCGTGATTATTCTTTAGAAATATAGACATATACTCGAAGTGTAACGTAAGAGTGACGTCAGACTACACAGCTTGCATTAATGAATCTCCTCACAGCTTCAGCCATTTCTCCATTCTGTACAAGCACATTTGAATATGCATATCTGATAGGCCATTATATTTTTCTCTTTTTTTTTTCAAATAATATTTTTCATCATTCTCACAGCCTATGCTTTATGGCAAATGCATGCTCGCTTGTAGTATTATAATGTAAAAAAGATGAATATAAGTAATTTGTTCCAAATATAATTTTTTAATATAAATTCCTCACCTTTTCTGCATGATAGATTAATAATGAGTTACCTAGACAATTTGTGCAATATTTCAGTTTTTAATGGTCCGAGTTGTCTTGTAATCCCCCAAGTAGTGTAGACCCCCCTGTGATTAGCCTGCGTGCTGTGGTGGTAGGGCTAATGTGTTTCTGTTCTATTGTAAAGCAAGAGGAGGATGAGGAGGAGGAGGTAAGTGTGAGAGTCTGTGCGGCACATGCAATGGTTTTCACATCTAATTCTTTCATACATTCCTGGTTATATGTCTTGCTATACTTCCAACATTTTTGTTTGTCCTGGAAATAGGCTAAAAAAAATGTAAAAAATATTTGGTTAAAATTTCAATTTATTTGGAATAGAATTAGAAAATAGTAACATGGAAGGATTTTTTGTGTTATGAGTTCAGACACATAGGTATGTGAATTAATTGTGAAGGTAAAATGGCATTAAAAGGGTGGTTGGTTTTCTAACATTTAATCATCTTTCAAATTGAGCGAAATTATTTACATGAATATTATAAAGGGGCGGTCTGGTAGCCTAGTGGTTAAAGCGTTCGCTTGTCACGCCGAAGACCCGGGTTCGATTCCCGACATGGGTACAATGCGTGAAGCCCATTTCTGGTGTCCCCCGCCGTGATATTGCTGGAATATTGCTAAAAAGCGGCGTAAAACCATACTCACTCACTCAATTTAAAAAAAATAATGCTTGATGTTAAAATATGAAGAAACATCCATATGATTTTATTATATTCAAAAGTATTGTTACCCAGAATTATATTTGAAGGGAAAAGTCTTTTTTAACATGTTTACCTTAAACATTTTATGTCCACAGTTTATTATTATTTTTTCGATTTCACTTTGATAAAAATATGAAGAGTTGTTTCAAATGCTAACAATATTTCATGAGCGGGAATTTTTAGATGTGTTGGAAGGAATTAAATATTGGTGGACAAGCTTCTTTTTATTCTTTGGATTTGTTTTTTTTAACTTTTTATCACATATAACCTGGTGCTAGCTTCTTATCTTTGTCACGTCACCTGTATATGTGATAGTTAACATGCAATTTTCACAACGCAATCAGTATGACAATGTATTAATTAACCCACAAATTTAACTTGGTGCAATATAAGATATACTGTCATTGGCATGTGTGTTTATATAACTGATGTATAGAGTTAGTTTGAAGAAATAATTTCACATGAGATTTGGTGTGCTACACTCTGAATGCGTATTCAAGATATCTACCTGCTTGAGAACTCTTGTCAATTTCATGCACATTTCACTATCTGTCACTTGCCTATTTCACTGTCAGCTGATTTGTCTCACTGACTGACTGGGTGTGTCCGTGTGCTATGAATAGCTTACAGCTCTTCAAGCAAGTCGGTGCAACAATTTGCTGTGCAGAGTTGTGTCCCTTAAGTTTACATACCACGTATGATCGTGGGTTCAAATCCTGTGTCGCCGAGATTATGTTTCTAGGTTTGTCAGCAACGTAGTTGTGCTCAGGGGTTTCGCCAAAGTGGTAAACGTCTCAGAGCTGCATCACTTGGGGATTTCCTCCCACATCCAGCGTGATGTTCAAAGCGGTGTTAGAACCAACTCACTCACTGAGTTGGACTGCCGGTATGGTCTAGTGGATAGAGCGTCTGCCCACAGAGAGGAAGGTCGTGGGTTTGATACCCGGCCGCGTCATACCAAAAGACATTAAAAGATGGTACTTGTTGTTACCCTGCCATGCACTCAGGCATTAAAGGTCCAAGGACGGGAGGGACCGTTGCTTATGCTTTCAACCACTGGATTTCCAAGCCAAGACTTGATTATGTACAGGCCTATATGATATACATATAACTGGAATATCGCTGACTGCAGGGTAACAGAACATTCACTCACTCACTCACTCACTCACTCAAACTTTTGTCAAATTGATTAAAAAACAGGAAAAAGATAAACATCAATTTTTCATTCTCCTGAAAGAAAATGACAAAAATGTCATGATCATGAAAAAAACCTTTTATGTATATTAAGTTATATTTAGGTATATTTTTCTAATTATTATTACAAATACGGTATGTTAGAAGAAAAGTAAGATTAGGAGAAAAAGCATGTTTTACGAAAATTTGAATATCATTACCTTATCAGTGTTTCTAGTTATTGATAAAAATATGATAAAGTTTGCATATTGTTTCTGTTCATAAAACATGAGTGAACACAATCATTAAGTCCACTGACATAGTGTGAAATTATACCCTAAAAGGATGCTAAGGTTTTACGTTCTAATTGTGAAAATATTTTTAAAAGGTAAAAAAATATCTAAGGAAGAGAATTCACCTGATGAAGGAGTAAGTATATACTCCGAAACGTTGTGTTCCTCAGTTGACATCCATAAATTATCTTCCTTAAAAAAAAATCTTTTACAAAATGAAAGATTTTTTTAAAAAATTTGTTTCTTGAAAATCAGTATGATCATAGAACAAGGATGGCTGATCTTACTGAAATGTGTGTTGATGTTCCATGATGTCTGTTGATGTTTCGTAATATTTGACACACTCTCTGGTATTACTGATATGTTCGTGATGAGTTATCATAATGTCATCATATTGCAGGATTCATCGATCAGCAAACTCACCCGAGAAATTGAGATGCTGAAAAAGGAGCTCCGCGACCGAGACGTCCAAGTGACCACGCTGAACAACAGGGTAGGCGGCAGCACACAAACACACACTATGCACTTCCGACTCACTTGCGTTTTGATCAACTTGTTCTCGACGCTATATGACTGATTTAATGCTGATGCAACATTAAATTTCAACTTACCCACTAGGGCTGGGACGAGTCCAAATTTACTACCCGTGGGCCCACCCCACTACTACCCAACCCTACCCGGGTACCCACTGTAGGTCTCAGGAGATGTCTCAAAATGTCCGATTGGGAACATTTTTAGGATAGACCAGGCAAAACGTATTTAGACACATGTATTAAACAATCTGGTCATTCATACACTGAAGTTGACTTAAGTTATATCTTCATTCAACCATATGGAAGAAAATCAGAAAGAATTGGTGCATAGTCAGAGAGAAATGCGCGCATTAGTGACTTGTAGTGTAACCATAGAGTTCTAGATAATTTTTGTCAATAAACAATATATCACGTGACTAACCACGGGTCCGGGTAGTCCTGTGGGTACCCGGGTCCTACTCAGTACCCACCTGACCCGGGTACCCGAGTTACCTGTCCCAGCCCTATTACCCACCCATTCTTCTTTCGATCCTAAGTGTAAACATCCTAAGTGTAAATAGCCTAAACAAAGTTGTTCAGATTACCTCAATCTCATTAAAATCAGATACAAGTTCTCGCTACCACCGAGGACATCCCATTACAGGTCAAGTCAGAATGACCTTTCGCGAACTATGACAGACCAATGAAATGACTAACAGGAAGTCGACATTAGCCACTAAGAAAGCTGCTTTCTTGAGCTTTGCCGTACCCATTTCAAACTGGTGACTTCCATTTCAGACTATGCTTTTTAAAGTATTTTGAATAAGTCATACAGTCGTAACAGTTGTTTTGTGTCAAGCTTTGGAGGTTGCATGATTAGAAAACATATTCCGCTAACAATGTAGCATATCAATTTGAATATTTCATTTGTTGTAGGTGTCCAAGTTGAAGGACACATCGACGCCGGTCAGCCGGCCAGGTGAGGACAGATCAGATGTCAGGGAGAAGGAGCTGGTCAGCCTCAGACAGGTCAGTGTTGTTACCACTGTGTCATCTCCTCCTCAATAATAATAATAATAATAAAAATAATAATAATTTGTTTATGGAAATTTATTGTCCAAACCATTGTCTCTTTTCAAAATGATAATTACTATAACAGGTGCTTGGGTAATTCCAGAATGACATTATGAAATTCAGCCTGGAATTTATATTTGAATGACAAGTCCAAGAGTAACTTCCCTTATAACAGAGCTCTCCATTAGGGAAAAACTAAATCTTACGAACAGTGATTGACTTTGGGAGGAATAAAAAATGTTAATTTCATTTGACTTGTGTGAAAACTTTTATCAGTAGATCTTTTGAGCAAATAATAAAAGATACACCTGAACCTCCTCCTGTTACTGATTAGTGATGTAACGATACAGCGATACGGTATTGTATCGTGATACGAGGCCCACGATACAATATATCGATTTACAACCCGTGATACATATGAAACATCACAATACAAGTTATTTTGTTTGATAGGCATTACTTAGAAGTTGACGGATTACAAGGTAGACACAATTTTATGGATAACAACTTCTTTAATACTGTAAAAAGCGACGTTTCAGTATAGATCCTTATACCGTTGTCAAGCAAGGCTTTTTACAGTATTAAAGAAGTTGTTATCCATAAAATTGTGTCTACCTTGTCATTACAAGTTATATTGGTGTGAAAACCAATGATAACAGAAACTGTTCAACCAGCAGCTATGGCAGATTCTGTCGTTTTTCATGGTTGGACACAAATGACATAACGTTCACAATGTCCTCTAGAAATATGTTTCTGTATCTTTGATCTTTGAAATTTAATAACAAATGATTCAGGGATGTTAATCACCAGCTTTGAGAAAGAATATCAGCTTGTGACATAAAAGTACTGTAATGCGATAGGGATCGTATTGCACCAATAGTATCGGGATATGTCTCGTATCGCCACCCCACCGTATCGTAACACCTCTGCTACTGATGCTGTAAGTCAATAATGGCTTCGTCATACTGGTTCCCTGACAACTGGATTTATGTAGGAAATTAATTTCATAACATTCAAAGTACAAAAAAAGGACCTTCAAGGATACAAGTTGGGATCGAGCTGGAAAAAAACAACTGAAATGACAACACATTAAATGTACAAATAATGTATTATTCCTCCAGAAATTCAAGGCTTCTGAGAACAAGGTGTCAGAACAACTCAACCTGATTGGTTCTCTCCGAGAGGAGCTGGACAAGACGAAACAGATGCTGTTTGAGTCCAAGGACGTCCATCGTAAACTTCAAGGGGAAGTGGACGCGGCTAAATCCCAGTTTGTTGACATGCAGCGGACGGAGAGAGTGGTCAGGGTGGACATGGAACAGTCTTCCAAGAGGGTCAGTCCCACAGTAACATCAATTAAGATATAATAATAATATTAATAATAATAATAATAAGGGCATAACTCCATACACAGAGCTACATAAATTGGTGTGGTCTGAACAGGAATGTCTTGAGAAGGGACGGGAAAATTGTTAGAGTTTCTGCTTCTTTCACATATACAGGATTGTAAAGTCACTGGTGATTTGTTTCTGCCATCACATGTCTTCTCTGGGTACTTGGTACCCAGCCTTCTAAGTGCTGCAACTGGCTATGAAGACGTGCATCCCTTGGGCACACCAGAAACCTATGATTGTGGGTTCAAATCCCAGTTCGGCCCGTTTCTAGGTTTGTCAGCACCATACCCATGCTCGTGTGTTTCACCAAAGTGGTAAACGTTAGAGACCTGCATCACTTTCGGGCTTTCCTCCCCCAAAAGTTGACACGCCATGATATAACTGGAATATTTTTAAAAGCATGTTAACCCCAACTTACTCACTCACTCACTGTCAGAAGGATAGATTGTGTGTTGAACAGAACAGGTATACACAAGTCCAAGTGTCCTGCAGGAGCAGTACAAGGGACTGGTCATGTATTAAAGGGGGTGTTGGTGGGGAATGGTCCCAGGACTGTATCATACTGTGCCTACCCTCCCCCTTCCCCAATTTCATCTTGCACTTTTTCATGCTCCCACTTTGGAAAATTGGTCACTTGTCAGAATGGACTTTGCAAATAATATATTCTGTCTTATCCTGACTCATGCTTATTGCTCATGTGTGTGATTCAGGATAAGAGTAAATGATATTTTTACTCTAAAATAGCTGCCCCCTGATCCTAACACTAATGCGATAAAACCTGTAATAACAAATAATATTCAAAATATGTATAGCCGTACAGTGCAAAGTCCACACAATGCTCTTTGCAATACAATTAATCAGTGCAGGGGGCACGGGTGGCCCAGTTGTCTAAGGCGCAGCGATTCGCTGTGCAGAGTTGCGTCCCTTGGGCACGCCAGAAACCTATGATTGTGGGTTCGAATCCCGGTTCGCCCCGATTATGTTTCTGGCTTTGTCAGCACCATACCCATGCTCGTGGGTTTCACCCAAGTGGTAAACGTCTGAGACCTGCATCACTTCGGGCTTTCCTCCCACATTAAGCTGACACGCCGCGATATAACTGGAATATTGTTAAAAGCTGTTTTAACCCCAACTCACTCACTTACTCACTGACTGTCAGAAGGATAGATTGTCTGTTGAACAGAATAGGCATACACATGTCATAGTCCACACAATGCTCTTTGCAATACAGTTAAGTCTTTCAGATCAGCGCACATTCTGTTCAAATTCTCAGCTCCCTGGGGAGTATACAAGCTTCCCAATAAGAAACGTCTTCTGCGACTGGGTTATGTGACTGAACATGATAATTATATCGCCTACATGTGGGTTTCCGCTTTTAGTTGGAGAGGTTCCGGAACCGTGTGATACAGGTCACGTTCTCCACACCTGGAATCAAGGCGCCAGAAACTGAGATCACTGACGATGAGCTGATCGAGACGATGAAGAAACTCATTGATGAACGCACAAGTCTGACCAATAAGATTAAAGATCTCAAGGAGCAGGTTCGAGTGGCGAGGATTGGTTCAAGTGAACTGATCGCCAATGGCAACAAGCTTAAGGAAAAGTTGATGGCTTCAGTGGTATGTGTTGTTGTATTTGTAGAAATGTTTCGCCCCACACAGGCAAACACACACTCACACACACACATACACACCAGAAGCCCCACACAAACACACATTCACACACACACACACTAACACACCAACACACTAACACACACACACTAATGCATACACACTAACACGCACAGGGTGAGATTTTAAAATAGTGTTTTTATATGCACATTAATATCTGGAGCAACTTTCATTTGTATGATGTGACCGCCTCCATGGCCTAGTGGTAGAACATCCGCCCGGAGAGCGGAAGGTCCGGGGTTCGATCCCCCGCAACGTCATACCAAAACACGTTAAAAGATGGTACTTGTTGTTACCCTGTCTGGCGCTTGGCATTAAGGGGAATAAACAAGGACTGGTCAGCTCGGAGTCAGTATACTGTGTTTGAGTGGGGTATTCATGTTAAACTGCGGCATGGTATCTCAGTGTGCTAGCACTTCAAATCGGCATCAGTCCGGTCTAGTACAAGCAGCCACACACACACGTGCATGAACGTCGCTATATAAGTGCAATAATCTTGGATGCGACGTTAAAAACCAATTTCACCTCACTTCACCTTTTAGTATGATGTCGCACTTAATTCTGACAATAATACTGAAAGATCAGGTTTGATTCCCACATGTGTTCAATATGTGAAACCCATTACTGGTTCTCCCTGCCTTGAGGGGCGGTCGGGTAGCCTAGTGGTTAAAGCATTCGCTCGTCGCGCCGAAGACACAGGTTCGATTCCCGACATGGGTACAATGTGTGAAGCCCATTTCTGGTGTCCCTCGCCGTGATATTGCTGGAATATTGCTAAAAGCGGCGTAAAACCATACTCACCCACTCTCCCTGCCTTGACATAGCTGACATAGCCTCACTGCTTCTGAAATTAACTGACTCCTGTCTTTCAGGATCGCCTGAAGACAGATGGCCGCCTGTCCGTGTCGTTACGGCAGGAGCTGACGGTGATCCAGTCTCTGTCGACCGAGGAGGCACTTCTCTGGGTCCGTGATCTGCTTGTCCGTGTCATGACGGACGAACAGACGTGGGCGACAGACATAGAGGAGGCGCTGGAGAAGTGTGGAGCCAACGTCAAACTGACTAATGATGGTAAGATTATGTAACACTGAGGGAGCCTGAATTGGGTGGGGACAGAGTTTGTTCCTGTGTCAGAGTAGCCTGTCTGGATCGGTTGTTTCCGTGGATGACAATGAATGGTGCATGTTATTATAACTCGATTAGGTGGTTTGTGCTCTTGCTATCAACCACTTGTTTGTCATATCCAGATGGTGGCAGTTGCAGCCCTTAGCCATGACTTGGGCTCTTGGGTTCGAATCCAAGGATGTCTATCATTATGATCCTATGTGAAGATCTATGACTTGCATGAAGTTGACACACTGTGATATGACAGAAACACTGTTCAAAGGCCGCCTTCATTTTGCTGGAAAAATTACTGAGTGCGGCGTTAAACAGCAATCTCATTAAAATCAGATCTAAGTTCACGCTATCGCTAAACAAGGATCTGAGGACATCCCATTATGGGTCACGTCAGAACGACCTTTCATCCAACCAATCAGAGCGTCGCTTACCAGATCATGAAAGTGACAGTCGAAATGTGTTTTCTAATCATGCAACCACACTATATTTAACACGGGGTATTCCGAACGACAGTTACGGGTTTTATGATTATATCCCTACAATCTAGGCCATCTAAAGCCATTCCAGCATGTTCCTCTTATCAGTTTTAAACTTTTTAATCGAGAATATGTCAAAATATGTTTTGAAGCTTGTCGCCAGTTTGAAACTAGTGTCGTAAAGTTCGAGAAAGCTGCCATCTGATTGGCCAATGTTGATTTCTTGTCAGTCATTTCATTGGTCGGTCAAAATTCGCGAAAGGTCGTTCTGACGTGACGATGGGATGTCCTCAGATTATTTTTTTTAGCGGTAGCGAAAACTAAGATCTGATTTTAATGAGATTGCGTTAAACAGCAAACTGTCACAGCGACTGATTTACGACAACCATTGTCTGAATGAACATTAAATTCCTAAGGATAATTATCCTTGAGCCAACAAACAATAGCAAAAAAATGTTCAAAGCAGTGATAAACCAAACTCACAGAATACATCAAGTTTGGTATTTGGCACCAACTGACATGCCATGATATAACTGAAATACTGTTTGATGCCATGATATAACTGAAATACTGTTTGATGCTGTGATATACCTGAAATACTGTTTGATGCTGTGATATACCTGAAATACTGTTCGATGCTGTGATATAACTGAAATACTGTTTTATGCCATGACACTACTGAAAAACTGTTTGATGCCGTGATATAACTGAAATACTGTTTGATGCCGTGATATAACTGAAATACTGTTTGATGCTGTGATATAACTGAAATACTGTTTGAAGCCGTGATATAACTGAGATCCTGTTTGATGCCATGATATAACTGAAATACTGTTCAGTAATTAACCAAACTCACGGAATACATCAATTTGGTTATTTGACGCGTACATGTCTGTCCAGCCCCGGGATCACACATCCAGATGCTGTTTGCCAAGTGGGAGTCGGCCATTGATGAGAAGGAGCGCCTTGGGACGCAGCTGGCCGAGATGGAGCAGAGCCACAAGGAGGAGATGAAGCAGAAGCTAGACGCCCTCAAGGAGGAGATGGGCAACAGGCTGGTGGATGCCGTGGAGAAGGCGAGACTCGAGGGTGAGGAGGGGAAGAATGGTGATACATCAGTCGTGAAGTTTAAAATGAAACCTGGTGCACAGGTAGACCAGTTGTCTGAGCAACATCAAACAATCTATTCATTTTTACTATTTACACACCATGTTTTCCACAAAACAAACTATTAAGATTTTTCAGCACTGCCAAGAAACAGTTCATTTTGAGCATATTTCTGTAAAAACTGTTCATTTACAAATCACCCAAATTTGTGTGCTTGTTTTGGCGTTGCAAATATTGTCAATGAAAACATGAAATTTACGATGAAACATCACATTGCATGATGATTTACAAATTCAATGGTATTTGTGTACTGTATGCAGGACAGTGTTTCATACGCAGAGGTTAAGATTTACATGTGTATTTGTCCCGGGAAAAGCAATCAGCTCTTTACCCATTTTTTCCCCAATCGATGGGTGAGTTAGTTTAAAAAAACTTAATGTTATGACCAATATCATAACTGAAAAGAAATTTCATAGGAATTGATAGGACGACCGAGACTTTGTATCTCTAATGACTAATGTTCATTTCAAGGCACGTTCATGGTAAATTAATGCGATTTGCCAAATAGGTCACACGATTTCTCTGAAATTAATGTGAACAAAATTGAATGAAATTTTGGAGAAAAGTAATAAAATAGCTTACAAACAGTTCGGATTTGTTGACATGCTTCTTCCGGTGTTGTGTGCCCACGATAACGTTTTCGCAGTGTCAAATAAAACCAAAGCTCATTGTATGTGAGTGTTATGCAAACACTGGTAGTCCAACAGTAGTTGAATACTGTATTCCAGTATTTTACTCATCAAGAAATACATTTATGTAGGGAGGCCCTTTCCCAGGTTAATTGTACACAACTGTTTATTATGTTGATAATAGTTTGAACAACTGAGAAAAAAAAAGGCTCCCCGTCTGCTTAATTTTCGAAAGTAGTTGCATGAGAACCAATACTTTTATTTTTTTAAGTCTTAAATCAATTTCAATACTACACCCCCCATAATCTTTAAATGATCATATTTGATCTGACGGGACTGCAACTTTTCTCAAGACATCCATGAATAATTTGGCAAATTTTCATCGTTTTGCAGAGGAAGAGAAATTGAACCGTGCAATCGATAGTATCACTGCCGTGGAAACCGAGAAAAGAGAAATTGCTACTGACATGGAGAAGAAGAAGGTGGAGGAGCTGGAGGCCAGCCTGGAGTCCATGAGACAGGTGAGAGGCGGTCTGATGAGGTAATAACTGGTATGCTTGTAAAGTACCAAGACATTTCTAGTCGGGACTTTTGGTGTCATTGAGTTATTTGAATACTCTGTCAGCTATTTGTAACACTACTGTGATTTAATGATAAATAGTATGATGAAAACATTTACCTTACAAAATTCTGGGGGCGGTCTGGTAGCCTAGTGGTTAAAGCGTTCGCTCGTCATGCTGAAGACCCGGGTTCGGTTCCCGACATGGGTAAAATGTGTGAAGCCCATTTCTGGTGTCCCCTGCCGTGATATTGCTGGAATATTGCTAAAAGTGGCGTAAAACCGTACTTACTCATACTCACTACAAAATTTTGATTTCCTAGCTTTATTCGACAAAATCAATGCAAAATGTCAGAGCTGAACAAATAGTTCATTTCCTTGGTTCAATTGTTGGAGAGTTAATTAAGGGAGATAACTCTCGTCATCAACCTGTATATAGTAGGAACAGCTCCTGCATGTGGACCCACTATGTCATGTCTTTTCAAACAAGGTCTGTTTCTATAAAACTGAATGTTATAGTAAAAGATTCAGGCTTTACTCACACATTAAGCTGACAGCAGCTAGACCATGGTATTTTGGCATTGAAAACATTTAAGATCTTTCCTAGTAGATGGGTGGGCCCAGTCGGCCGAGTTGTCTTAGGCGCCACAATTCGTCCCTTGATGGGTTCAAATCCCAGTTCACCCTGATTATGTTTGTCAGCACCATACCCGTGCTTGCGGGTTTCATTGAAGTGGTAGATGTCTAAGACTTGATTCACTTCGGGCTTACCTGCCACATTAAGCTCACAGTGTGATATAACTGGAATACTGTTAAAAGTGGCAGTAAACCCAACTCACTCACTCACTCACTCACTACTAGTAGTTGCTGTTCATTTGTCTTAAATCTGTTATCGGACTCAAAAATATAATTTGTTTTAGAATTTTTATTCCACATTCTCATTATATGGCAACACTTTCCTAGAAGTTTTTGGAGCAGCATTTAGTTGTTGTCCATTTTTATCTTGGTGCATATCATCAATCCCAATTGCATGGATCGATGCTCATGATATTAACCACTGGATTGTCTGGTCCAGACTCGATTACTTACAGACCGCCGTCATATAGCTGGAATATTGCTGAGTGCGGCGTTAAACAACAAACCAACCAACCTGAAATATTTCAACAGACTCCTCAAGAAGAAAAGTAAATTGTTTTAGAATTCAATTTATTCCACATTTTGATTCCACAACAACTCTTGTTCCCAGTCTTTGACCTCGAAACAGGAAGAGGACAAGGATAAACTGGAACAGGCGGCACAGGCGCTGGCCGAGATGGCCTCCCTCAGGGCGCTGGAGTCCGAGCTCCGGGAACAGATCGCCAAGCTGGACCAGGAGAAGACGGAGCAGGCTGCCAGGTTGGAGGAGGAGAAGGAGGAGACGAGGCAGAGAGGGCACGATGAGGCGGAATCGTTCAAGGAACAAGTTAAACAGCATGCGGTCACCATATGCACGATGGAGGAGAGGATCGTGAAGCTGACCAAGAAGAATAAAGATTACCAGGACGAGGTAGAACAACTCAAGAAAGTAATAACAGGTAGGCAGCATGGGTTGTATACTCCCAAAGGGGGTTGAGAATGTTAACTGGAATGCAAACGGAGCCACTGATTGGATAACAAATGCTCGACATTTATGATGCACTGCTCGGTGCCACTGAGTGAAAACTTGTGTGAGGAATATTTTTGTAAAGTCAGCAATATTATTTTCCAGAAATTGAACACAGGATCTCTCAGCACAAACCAAGTCTTCCTCCAAAGCCTAAGGTTGTTATCCAGAGAAACACGGAAGAACTTGCAGCAATGGAACACCTTATATCTGTCCTCAGGTACTGGGCGATACCATGTCTTGGGAGGGGTGACATAAATGATGAAGATTAGCCTCCTTGCAAACTTGCCGCCATTTGAATGTTTTACCCAGCATCCAATTTACAGGGGAGCGCTTATTAACTTTGTGTGTAATAAAACCATGTACACACAACTATTTAGGTATTAGGAAACGACTATTTGATTTTAATTTCGTTTGGGATTTGGAGGTTTTTTCAGGCGTGGAGTTCCAATTTTTTTTACAAAATAAATTGATGCTAAGTTACATCCTTTTCACTCACTCATTCAAGATAGCTTACCATGGGTAAGGTGCAATGTGCAAAGGTCTTTCTCGGTGCTGTGAGGTGGGTTAGGGCTGGGATGGGTAACTCGGGTACCCGGGTCGGATGGATACTGAATAGGACCCGGGTCGGATGGGTACAAAGTAAGACCTGGGTACCCACAGGACTACCTGGACCCGTGGTTAGTCATGTGATATATTGTTTAATGACTAAAATTATCAAGAACTCTATGGTTACACTACAAGTCACTAATGTTCGCATTTCTTTCTGACTATGCACCCTTTCCTTCTGACTTTTCATTTGGTTGAATAAAGATATAACTTAAGTCAAGTTCAGTGTATGAATGACCAGATTGTTTAATACATGTATTTAAATACTTTTTGCCAGGGCTATGCTAAAAAAGTTCTCAATCGGACATTTTGAGACATCTCCTGAGACCTACAGTGGATACCCGAGTAGGGTCGGGTAATAGGGGGGGTGGGTCCCCGGGTAGTAAATTTTGACTCATCCCAGCCCTAATGAGGTTGAATATTGTTAAAAGTTCACTTACCACTCATTAAATTCTTTTCGCTGTCCAGGAGGGAAAACGGTGATCTCAAGAAGCAGTTCACAGAATCTCAGGACGTGATCATGGGTCTTCGGCGCGACCTGGCGGGGGCGTCGGCCCGCCTGTCAGACATCACCGGGGAGCTGAGTGAGACGCAGAAACAGGAGATGGAGTACAAGAAGGAGCTGCTGGTGAAGAAGGAGAAGGACCTGACGGAGTCGCGGCAGCAGCTCGCCAAACTGTCGCAGATTGTCGACAAACAGAAGGAGGAAATTAAAAAGATTGAAGAGGAGTTGAGGTGAGATGAATGTTTGTACATAGGTGGATCCAGACTGGGTGGATCCAGACTGGGGTCCAGGGAGTACGGACCACCACCCACCCCTTCCTTTTGAAAACAAAATGTAGTATGTTGTAGGCAGTAAAATTATCTGAGAGTGGATTTTGATATTTTGAAACTCCTTTAAAAATTCTGAATCCACCCTTGTGATATTCTGTGGATCTTTGTTATATATTTAGAAGTTTTCTAGATGAATGGCTGTTCAAGTGTCGATGTATAACACCAATCTAACGTGATAATATTTTTGCAACATGAATAACATGACTACAAATGCAAAATGGTCGCAGATACATGCTTTCATCAGGATACATGTATGGCATCTTAGTTTATCTTAGAGACACACTATAACCATCCAGTTTCCACCCTTGTCGAACTAGTCTGGAATTTGTGAGTTATACTTTGGCTGGATTTCGATCTATTGCAGGATTTGTGTGTTCAGTCCACTGATCGTCGACAGATATTTTCTGAATCTCAAGTGTTATGTTTTGGGTGTCCGTGAGGCAGGGATTGTGAAAGTTTTCTTCATTTAACTTGATCAGATTGTCTTGACTGGGCCCCACCATTTTGTTTGAAGCAAATGCATGTGATATGATGGGTGGAATCTGATTGGTCGATAGGTCAGACATAGAAGGGGCATAACTAATAAAATCCTCTGGTGGCGCTACGAAAATTCCAGCTTAGTTCGGCAAGGGTGGAAACTGGACTTTTATAGTCAGTTGTCTCCCTTGCTTGGGGAAGATGTCTTCATACAGACATGACACCCTGACTCACCCTCATGCCATAACCTGCTGACATCACAGGTGTAATGCTTGTCCATGTGTCTGCAGCAAGGAGCAGTCGGTGTCCTCCAAGTTGCGGGCGGGGCTGGAGGAGAGGACGGAGAGGCTGAGGCAGCTTGAGACCCGGCTGAGCGAGGAGAAGGAGGAACAGAAGAAGCAGCTGGAGCTCCTCGACCAGGAGGTAATACTGGGGTCGATACTGGGTACTGAGTACTGGGGTCGATACTGAGTACTGGGGTCGATACTGGGTACTGGTATTGAAACTGGATACTGGGTATTGAGTACTGGGTACTGGGGTCAATACTGGGTACTGAGTACTGGGTACTGGGGTCGATAGTGGGTACTGGGGTCGATACTGGGTACTGGGGACTGGGGTCGATACTGAGTACTGGGGTTGATACTGGATACTGGGTACTGGGGTTGAAACTGGATACAGGGTATTGAGTACTGGGTACTGGGTTCAATACTGGATACTGAGTACTGGGGTGGATACTGGGTATTGAGTACTGGGTATTGAGTACTCGGTTCAATACTGGATACTGAGTACTGGGGTCGATACTGGATACTGACTACTGGGGTCGATACTGGGTACTGGCTATTAGACACTGGGGGGGACACTGTATATTGGCTACTGGATACTTGGGGACACTGTATGGATACTGCGATACTGGGGTCGATATTTGGTATTGGAAACTGCAATACTGGGTCGATACTGAGTATTGGATACCTGAGGACACTTTGTGGATACTGCAATACTGGGGTCGATAATGTGTTCTGGATACTACGTATTGGATACTGGGTACTGGGTCAATAATGTGTACTGGATACTAAGTATTGGATACTGGGTACTGGGGTCAATAATGTGTTCTGGATACTAAGTATTGGATACTGGGTACTGGGTCGATAATGTGTTCTGGATACTACGTATTGGATACTGGGTACTGGGTCAATAATGTGTACTGGATACTAAGTATTGGATACTGGGTACTGGGGTCAATAATGTGTTCTGGATACTAAGTATTGGATACTGGGTACTGGGTCGATAATGTGTTCTGGATACTAAGTATTGGATACTGGGTACTGGGGTCAATAATGTGTTCTGGATACTAAGTATTGGATACTGGATACTGGGTCAATAATGTGTACTGGATACTAAGTATTGGATACTGGGTACTGGGTATTGGATAGTGGATACTGGGATTGAGATACTGGATACTGAATATTTGATACTTACTGTGTTCAAATGTCTTTTCTTCAGGGTCGCATCACTTCAGAGTTGTCTGCTCTTGGTTCCCAATGCCGCGGAGAGCGACACGAGCAGGTCATCACGAGGCAGAGGGAAGCTCTGGCGGAACTCAGGCAAAGAGTCAAGGTCCTTGAGAGCGTCCGACCACCATGTGAGTTCCATCAATCTGAGAATATTAGATTACATGTCAGATTGGGTGGCCAGCATCTTATTCTTGTCGCAACAGTTGACTCAAATTGGGATGAAGCTATTGATTGTGTGTCAGTGTACCCCAACTACATGGAAGCTGTTCACGCTATCAACCACTTGTTTGCCTGACATAGGCCTGAATTAGGTTTTCAATACAAAATTTGGGCCAGACTATTGACATCGATCGGTGAAATAAATAAAAATTCCTCTTTCTCTTTTTCCTCAAAGTATTAAGTAAAGGGAAAGCAGGAGGAATAGGGAAAGGCACAAGTTACAGTGTTTCCTCCCTATTGCGCGTTTCAGTATAGTGCTACCTCGGCTATGGCGTGCGGTAAAGCATGGCTCCCAATATGATATAACTGGAATATTGCTAATAGCGGTGTAAAATCAAACTCACTCACTCACTCACTCACTCACTCACTCACTCACTGGGCTTCTTTATATTATTTTAATAGACAATTTGACCAAACAAATCTTGAAAAAAATATTTTATTTCAGAGACTCAATGTTAGTTTAACAGGAACATCAATCTCATTAAAATCAGATCTAAGTTCTCGCTGACGCTAAACAAAGATCTGAGGACATCCCGTTACGGTAAACGTCAGAACGACCCTTCGTGAACTTTGACCGACCACTGATATGACTAACAAGTAGTCGACAATTAGAAAGCAGCTTTCTCGACTTTTACGGCATTCGTTTCAACCTGGCGATTTCCATTTCAGACTATGCTTGAAAGATATGTAGACACAGTTCTCGATAAAAAATTTGAAATCTGAACAAACGAACATTCTGGGATGTCTAATATATGGTTGAGATTGTATGACAGTGCTTCCCACGTACTGTGCAACGCCTCCTCCGTTCAAATGTTTTTCCAACGGGAGCGAGAGATAGACGATAATTTTGACGGATTCAGCCGTACAGGCCGTAACTGTCGGTCGGAATACCCCATGTTAACATTTTCGAGGTTGCATGATTAGAAAACACATTCCGTCTGTCACTTTCATGATCTGGTAAACGACGCTTTCATTGGTCGGATGAAAGGTCGTTCTGACATGACCCGTAATGGGATGTCCTCAGATCTTTGTTTAGTGATAGCAAGAACTATGATCTGATTTTAATGAGATTGACAGGAACATTCAAATGAGATTTAATTCATACAAAAAATAGCATCCATGTAAATTCAGTTATGAATTAAAAATGAAGATGTCTAAATTTTGTTCCTCACTCCTTGAACTGGACAAGCGTAAGAGCTGGTGTTGTGTGTTTGTCCAGTGCCTTCCCAGGACCAGGCTCTCCAACAAGTGATCTCACTCAAGAAGGAGTTGGCCGAGATGAGGGTCAACCAGGCAATATCCGAGGACCGTGTCTTGCAGGGCGTGACCTCACTGGACCGCGAGATCGGCAAGGCTCGGGGCCTCATCACCCCTGCCAACGTGGAGGCAGACATGGAGAGAAGTGCCCACAGGGAGACAATGGATGCCCTGGAGTGCAGTGAGACGACAGTAAGTTGTTAGATCTGTAGCTTCTTTAGTGTGAGGGCGGTCGGGTAGCCTAGTGGTTAAAGCGTTCGCTCGTCACGCCGAAGACCCAGGTTCGATTCCCGACATGGGTACAATGTGTGAAGCCCATTTCTGGTGTCCCCCGCCGTGATATTGCTGGAATATTGCTAAAAGGGCGTAAAACTGTACTCACTCACTCACTCACTCTTTAGAGTGAGGCTCATGGCTCAGTGGTTAAAATGATGGCTTAAATTGGCATAAGTTTGAATCCCGACGTTGGTGGGTTGTTTCCCAATTTGGGTGTTCCCCAATTCAGGTGTTCCCCAGTATGATATGCCTTGAATGAGGGCCCTGATAGGATATACAGTTTAGCGTATAACAACCAAAAACAGTATCATAAACGTAAATGGGTGAAATTGGACCGGAAAAGATTTATGTAAAATGACCATTACAAAAATGCTTAGCATAATTACAAGTTTATTGTTTATCGTAATCATGCTAAAATCTTGAAAATGTCATATATGACTAGATCTTGTGACAACGAAAAGAGTCAGTGTTTGGTATTTGCAAAACACGATTGCAGTTATGAAACAAAAGCAGAACTAGCTGTTCCCATTTTTCCCCTACAGATGGGGCGGTCGGGTAGCCTAGTGGTTAAAGCGTTCGCTCGTCACGCCGAAGACCCGGGTTCGATTCCCGACATGGGTACAATGTGTGAAGCCCATTTCTGGTGTCCCCCGCCGTGATATTGCTGGAATATTGCTAAAAGCGGCGTAAAACCATACACACACACTCACTCCCCTACAGACTGACGATCCATATTTGCATCAGTGCATACTGATGATTTCGCATTTTAGATTCGAACTGACAGCTTGCCCTCTTTTTGCATAATGTTTTAGTGACTTACCTGAAAATAAATCCCTTCTGACTAAAAACCCCAAATTTTACCGACTACTGACTTAGTTGTGGCCCACCCTTCTGGGCCCTTTGCACAAAGTGATCTTAGTGTTAAGATGATCGTAACTCCCATACCTTAACATAGGCTTAAGATAATCTTAACACTAAGATGGCTTTGTGCAAGTGGGCCCAGGACCCATGATCGTAACTCCCATACTTTAACATAGGCTTAAGATAATCTTAACACTAAGATGGCTTTGTGCAAGTGGGCCCAGGACCCATGATCGTAACTCCCATACTTTAACATAGGCTTAAGATAATCTTAACACTAAGATGGCTTTGTGCAAGTGGGCCCAGGACTCTCTTGGATATTACAACAGTGTTGACTCCACTGTTGCAGTACATGACGTTGCTGAGGGCGATGGCGAGCTGTCTGGAGATGGAGGCTATCGACGGCCTCCGGCCGATGGCGCACATCCCGAGGGATGAACGCGAACGTCTGACGATGCAGCGGGAGTCGTCCTGTGAGATCCTGGCACAGAAAATAAATATCTTGAAGGAAAGGACAGCTCGGAAGGACGACCTCCTGCAAGGTTACGAGCGAGACCTCGCCAAACTCAGGTGGGTGGGATTGTCGACATTCACAGATGTCGTTCATAACTTCACATTGATTTCTTTACGCTGAAAGAAACTACATATATGGCATGTGCAGTGCGTGTTTGTGCTGTTCCTCCTTTGTTTTTGAAGACATGTTAAGCTGGAACAGATAGCTGGAAAGCATCTTGCTTCGCAGAGAAAACAAAAGTATGACATGGCATGTGCTGTCTGAGCATGTGCAAAACGAGTTAATCTGACTTGAGTTAAGTTCCCTTTGGTTTTGAGATGTCGTCGCGTTAGGACGTACTTTCCTGACTTCGGTTTGATAGTTCGGCTCGATAGGACGCATATTCATCAGTTTGGTTTGAGATGTCGTCGCGATAGGACGTACATTGAACAATTACGTTTTATAGCTCGTCAAGAAAGGACGTAGTAGAACGTGTTAGTTACGATAGGATGTCGCAATAGGACACAGCAATGCTAGCCAAAATAGGGCTAAACTGATAGATTGATAGCAACAGATTTTGAGAATCATATTTAGTTAATTTTGTCACATTTACATTTCTTCATCTTTTTTAAGAAGAGATTCATGTTTAGTTCCCCGAATTTATTATCTGAATTATTTCATCATATCAAGATAGTCACGTTTAGTTCCCACATACAGTGAGGGAATTCACATTTTTGTTAATAGTTAATATTCCACTGCGCAACACTCCTACCATTGTGCCCCCCTGTTAAAGATGTCAACGTGTACACTTAACAACACAGTAGTTCCTAAACATCGTTTTCCAATGATGCAAATAAAAATACATGTATCTAGCAGCAGATATGTACATGGTATTCATTGCCGTGACACTGTATTGACTATTCTTGATTTTGAGTTATTTTGCAATTCATCATTCTCATTTGGAGCAGCAGATTGCAGGAAAATGTCTTGCCTGTCTGTTTGTATTCAGGTTTGTCCCATCAAGTAATCAACTTCCGTCTTGGAATATGGTGTATCATTAAATGAATACACTTTCATCTCTGCCATGTTGTCAGGAATAATATTACTGTTACAATGGATCTCAACAATATTGACAGAACTAAATGAATGGAGTAACAAGAATTCTTGAAGCATTTTGTTATTTTTTCCAGGCAAGCTCAGGAAACAGCCTCCAGCAAGACCCAGCAAGTACATGCAATGGAGGTGAGTGGTTTGTTTGATATTTAATTTTGCTGTCATGTGTGGTGTACTAATGATTGCTCCCTTCCGAGCTGCTTCCTGTGCAGGGGTTGCTGGGTAGTAACTGAAGGGTAAGCCGCGGCTGTATAAGCCATACCTACACATTCGGGTACCTGAGGGCGGTCAGGTAGCCTAGTGGTTGAAGCGTTCACTCGTCACGCCCAAGACCCGGGTTCAATTCTTGACATGGGTACAATGTGTGAAGCCCATTTCTTGTGTCCTCCGCCGTGATATTGCTGGAATATTGCTAAAAGCGGCGTTAAACCAAACTCACTCACTCACTATGGTACCTCATAGTAGGGCTGGGACGGGTAACTCGGGTACTCGGGTCGGATGGGTACTGAGTAGGACCCGGGCCTACCCGGACCCGTGGTTAGTCACGTGATATATTTTTAAAAGACAAAAATGATCTAAAACTCTATGGTTACACTTGTCACTAATTTTTTTCTGACTACTACACCCATTCCTTCTGACTTTTATATGTTTGAATAAAAATAGAACCAGTAAACTTCAGTGTATACACCAGATGGCTTCATACATGTATCTAAACACATTTTACCAGAGCTACGGTCAAACTTTTCTCAATCGGACAGTTTGTACCTACCATTGAGACCTACAGCGGGTATCCGGGTAGGGTCGGGTAATAGGGGGGTGGGTACCGGGTAGTAAAGCTGGACTCGTCCCAGCCCTACCTCACGGTTGCATGTTAGATGTACACCGTTATCATCCCGAACAGCACTCTTGTAATAGAGAGTCTGTGGTTTTGTTTTCGGGAAATTGCTTGAAAAACTATTTTGTCACAGGATGCCCCCCTCCTTCTAATCCACAACAGGCAAGCAGGTGGTCAGACTTGGTTGATTGTGTGTCATTGTACCGTGATGTCCTGGATTCTTGCTCGTAATGTCAATCACTGGTTTGTCTCAATCTCATTATAATCAGATCTAAGTTCTCGCTTCTGCTAAACAAAGATCTGAGGACATCCCATTATGGGTCACGTCAGAATGACCTTTCACGAACTTTGACCGACCAATGAAATGACCAACAAGAAGTCGACATCAGCCAATTAGAGAGCAGCTTTCTCGAGTTTTACGGCACTCGTTTCAACCTGGCGACTTCAGACTACGCTTGAGAAATATGTTGTTACAGTTCTGTATTAAAATTTTGAAAACTGAAAAAATGAACGTTCCGGAATGTCTAATATATGGTTGATATTGTATAGCAGTGCTTCCCACATACTGCGTAACGCCTCCTCCGTTCAAATTTTATCCCACGGAAGAGAGAGATAGATGATAATTTTGACGGAATCAGTCGTACGGACCGTTACTGTCGTTCGGAATACAGCGTGTTAACGTTTTCGAGGTTGCATGATTGGAAAACACCTTTCAACTGTCACTTTCATGATCTGGTAAGCGACACTTTGCTTGGTCGGATGAAAGGTCGTTCTGACGTGACGCATAATGGGATGTCCTCAGATCTTTGTTTAGCGATAGCAAGAACTGAGATTTCATTTTAATGAGATTGTGGTTTGTCTGGTCCAGAATAATTTATTTAAAAGACTCTAATATATAGGTGAGTATGGTGTAAACAACATAACACACACTTAAAACATGCTGAGTCATGCTTCTATTTAAACTCCACTATGTAATTAATGTTTTTCAAATGCGTTGTCATTTTTCAGAACGATATGCGAATGCACTCCCAGGAATCCGAGCTACTACGTGAGTCTCTCAATCGAACACGAGACAGACTCAACCAAGAAAAACGACTGAATACAGCTATAAAACAGAAAAAGGTATTTTCACAAAAAACACCAACGTTGAAACCTGTTCATATTATTGAAAACTATCCCTTTTTGAATAGAAACATGTGACGTTAAATTGGCAGAATGGGTCCCATTACCCCTGCATGGCCTTAGTACTTAGTCTGTGGTCGAGGAGAGACAGAATGTGCATAGATAACAGCAGGTCTGGGTTCGATCCCCAAAAGACGTCATACCAAAAGACGTCAATAGATGTACTTGTTGTTACCCTGCCTGGTGTTCAGCTGTAAGGGAATACAACAAGGACTGGTCAAACTTATGTGTCTGAGTGGGGTTTTGATGTTAAACTGTGACTAATACAAGCACACACAGACACACGGACAGACACACACACACACAAACAGAAAGACACAGAGACACACAGACATGCATGCGCGCACACACACACGCACACGCACAGACACAGAAACAGACATACACACAGAAACAGACACAGACACACACAAACACACAGAAACAGACACACACAGACACAGACTATTGCTGGTATACATTGAACTTGCTGGAACCAGGCTGTGGCCTGAGTTGTTGGTTACAAATAGCAGCGATACTGCAGAGTGGCCATATATCTTCACAGGTGATGGAGGAACAAAACTGAAAGTATTGATGATGATTGAGGTTGCATAACAATGAATGTGCTAGGAAAGGTAGATCAGTTGATTTAAAAAAAAATATAAGTTTGACTTGAAGCACCGTTTTCGACGTAATAAGCGCCCTTCTCTAAAAGCGCCCACAGTGATATTTGCTGGTATATTGGCTTGTGAACAATCCCAATTAGCACCCCTTCTGATTGATCAGTGTACACAAGACTTATTTATTCGCGTATAATATGCACTCGTGTATTATATGCCCCCTTAATTATGGGCAATTAAATTCTGGAAAAATATATCTGTCATGTATGATACGCACATACCTTTCTTTTGTATCATTTCAGGCTGTCAGCATAAACCACAAAGTTTATGATCTTTCAACTCTGTTTTTTTCACCAAAATTATATTCTAATAAGAGCCCCTTGTTTCTAATTTTGAGAGCTCCTCGGGCACTTATTATGTCAAATAAGGTATTTCACTAAAGTGAAAACTGATTAATGTTCCAGACATTCCATCTGGAGAATGAGAGGGCCCACCTCATGCCTCGACCCGGTTCAGCCAGGAAGACGGAGGATCACAAGGTAAATATTTACCCTTGAAACTGATTGTCAGCTTCTGGTTTTGTGGAGGCCCTGGTAAATGTTTACCGTTTGATACTGACTCAGGTGGTAGGGATTCAGTGGAAGACCCCAAGGGCCTGATGCTTGTATTAAGTTGCAACGGGTGAGCATCCCTTCCTAGCTATTCTTTGCTCGTCACGCCAAAGACCCGGGTTCGATTCCCGACATAGGTACAATGTGTGAAGCCCATTTCTGGTGTCCCCCGCTGGATATTGCTGGAATATTGCTAAAAGTGGCGTAAAACCATACTCACTCACTCACTCCTAGCTATTCAAATATCGGGATTGAAATCACAGGTTCCTGGCATACCCAAGGGAGGCAACTCTGCTCAGCCTTAGACGACTGGGCCACTCATGACCCTCTTGTTATAACATGCAGTATTGCTAAGTATTGTCATGTGGGAGTTGCATCCCCTGACAGTATCAGGATCCGCTTTTTGTGTGTTTTATTCCCCCAGATGTGCTGCTAGTATTTTCCTTGGTCTGTGTGGGGTTTATGAAGTTATACTTGTCTGTGACCTGCGTGACTTTAGTCTTTCCTACGATATTAAAAGTCACATACTGGATATAACAGTATTAGTGTTCAAATACATTCACTTCTTGTCGACCTGTGAAGGTCTTGGGTAGAATAGGTCTTCAGCAACCCATGCTTGTCGTAAGAGGCGATCGGGCTTGCTTTGTTGATGCATATCATCGTATCCCAATTGCGTGAATCGATGCTCATGATGTCAATCACTAGATTGTCTGGTCCAGACTTGATTATTTACAGACCGCCGTCAAATAGCTGGAACATGCTGAGTGAGGCGTTGAACAACAAACAAACAAACAAACAAACAAACAAACAAACAAACACTTCTTGTCATGTGGAGGTACATCCTTATATTTTTTCAGACTCAGGTTCGAAAACGAGCCCAGAAAGATCTCCTTCATCGCAAGAACTACGAGATCTCCATGTTAAAGCAAGAATTGAACCACAAGGACCGAGAGATGGTGGAGAAGGACAGGCGGATGTACTCTATAGAATCAAGTCTGGTGGGTTGTGGCTTAACCTTGAGCATGTGTCTTCACACTTCCTACCCAACCATCTGGATTAATTCTAGCACTCACTGACTCACTGACCCACTCACTGACCAAATCACTCACTCACTCACTCACTCACTCACCCGACCACCCACCCACTCACTCACTCACTCACTCACTCACTCACTCACTCACACACTCACTCACTCACTCACTCACTCACTCACTCACTGACCACTCACTGACCCACTCACTGACCCACTCACTCACTCACTCGTTCACTCACTCACCCACCCACCCACCCACCCACCCACTCACCCACCCACTCACTCACTCACTCACTCACTCACTCACCCACCCACCAACTCACTCACTCACTCACCCACCCACCCACCCACCCACCCACCCACTCACTCACTCACTCACTCACTCACTCACTCACCCACCCACCCACCCGTCCACCCACTCACTCACTCACTCACTCACTCACTCACTCACTCACTCACTCACTCACCCACCCACCCACCCGTCCACCCACTCACTCACTCACTCACTCACTCACTCACTCACTCACTCACTCACTCACTCACTCACTCACTCACTCACTCACTCACCCACCCACTCACTCATAAGGGTGGGCACGCCGAAGACCCGGGTTCGATTTCCGACATGGGTACAATGTGTGAAGCCCATTTCTGGTGTCCCCCCGCCGTGATATTGCTCGAATATTCCCAAAAGCGGCGTAAAGCCATACTCACTCACTAATTCTAGCATAAGGCGCTTTAAAGAGGATGGGTGCTTTCAAACAGTTGAAGCCTCGTTATACATGGACGAATGAACCAAATTTCCCACATTTATTACTGACATTTTCAAACAACAAGAGGATGAGCATCTTGTCTTAAAACAGACAACTGAAATAGGCATCTACACCGTCTTGCTGAGAAAAGAGGAACTTTAGTAGTTACTGTTAGAAGCTTGGAGTGAGTGAAGCCATGGATTTGATTTACTAACTTAGATCTGTTTTGTTTATGCATTTTCATTGAACACGACACAGCATAACTGATGAAGCTGTAGTTTTTACACTTGACTCACAATTTAGTTAAGTTGCAGTCTGTTGTAATAGTAAAAGTTTCTTGAAAAAAACAACCATTTTTTGTTCACTAAACATGCTAAATATAACATTTATTATAACATTGTATGTTTCTTTCACAGGGAATTGAGAGTCCAGTTGAAGTGACAGATTGCATCCACTGATTGATGTCATCCTAAACCTGTCATTACTTCGTCAGTCTGAATGGGATGTTAATTGTATGATGTTAACAACATGGAATCAACAGCTGTTGATAAGGGTACTCCACAGTCAATGACCTGTAACTGACATCACTGAAAATATTATCATAAATTATATATCAATAGAAATATCACTTCTAGATGTTCTATGAAAATGGAATTATTTTTTTATTTCTTTTAAGTCCTTTTTAAGTATTTAAATTAACCTGAAAAGGGATTGTAATGAAATTAGATCCAGATTAAAATAAGTCTGGTGAAATAAAAGAACTGTGGGGGGGTGTTTCAACACAGAGTTGCCTCCCTTCCCATACTGATCCACTTTGAAATCAGTCTATGGATTCAGTTGCATAAAATAAGATTATTGTGGCATATTTCCAATCAGTGTTAGACTGGAAGCAAGGATGAACTATGAAACAAAACAGACAGCATGTCTTGATGACATCACATCAACATGACGTCGTAGCGGGAACGATGTCATGTTGATATGATGACATCATTTCTGCAACAATTGATAGGCAGAACCCAATGATGTCATGTCAGCATGATGTCGTAGCGGGAACGATGTCATGTTGATGTGATGACATCATTTCTGCACCAATTGATGGGCAGAACCCAATGATGTCATGTCAGCATGATGTCGTAGCGGGAACGATGTCATGTTGATATGATGACATCATTTCTGCAACAATTGATGGGCAGAACCCCATGATGTCATGTCAGCATGACGTCAAAGCGGGCATGACGCCATGTGTACATGACATCCTGGGAATGACATCATGAGACAAGTCATGATAGATCTTTGTCCTGAATCTCATGAATATAGAACAAGCTGTCATACAGAGTTGTGTCCCTTAGATGGGCCAGGATCTGCTGTTCTGAGTCCAATTAAGGTTCAAACAGATTGTAACGGTCAGTGCACTACAATTTGTTACACAGAGTTGTGTCCCTTGCATATGCCAGGAAGTGCTGATCTGAGTACGAAAACAAAGTTGTCACAAAGTAAAAAGATGGATCATCAATATTTGAGATCTTTAGAACCCTTTAATATCAAACTTTGATGGCCATATTTTGTCTCTTGTGTTCTGGTTTTACAAACATAAAGTACATATATGGACAATATTTTCAGACATTTGTTTCATATTACGTATTCATGTGATGTAACATTTCAAATAGTCATTAGTTTGATATTCTTAATCTGTGATATTAGACTGCAAAAAGAGTTCAGATATAAGCTAGAATTGCTTTGTGTGTTTATTCAGTTGCAAAAATAGTTTTAAGCTCAAGAGTTTAGTCCACAAATAAAATGACTACAAAGAGCCTGTCGCTTACAGTAGATGACACGCCAATACTGCTCCACTGCAGAAAATCTCTCTCATGGCATCAAATAATATTATCTCTTTGTGTTTTATTTTCATTTAATAATTGTTATAGATCTGAGGTAAACATCTCAAGTGCATTCTAGGTAACAAGTGCCTTTATAATATAGTGTATAAATTGTACAATAACTTGACCATGTTATAGTATGTATACCGTTAATTTATTCGTTGTAATTATGGTGATTAGTTACTATATTCGTATGTAGTACATAGTGAGAGTTGTAAATAGAATATACTTTATTTGTTACTTTTAATTTCAGCTTTTTCCCCTGTACAGCAATTCCTTTTTAACAATATTTCTATGAATATTTATTCTAATATTACTGTTTCAATTTTGAGACACAATCTAACATTTATTGAAACATTTTCATGTGAAATGATGCAATAAAATAAGTTCAATATTCTTCAAATTTAATTATTTCTACTTACTATTTAAATTCAGGAGTGTTTAATTATCATTCCTGAAACAAGAGGGACAGAGGAATCTTATGTCTGAATGACATTTTTAGATTATTATTTTTTGAATTTCGTAGCAAACAAGTGTGTGGAATAGAAAATAGGACCCTGAGAAGTCAACTTAGATGCTTTTATTCTACAGCAATATCTATTTTACTCATAAAAGCATGGTTTTATTAAAATGCTATCCATTGCACATTAATTAAAAAATTATGCACAATATAATATTGATTTTATATTTAATGACATGGGCTGTAAGTAATTGTTATGCAGCAATAATTGGCCATATTGCCACATATTATTCGACACTGATTCAATCTTGATTGTGTCCTCAAGTTGGTCCATGGAAGCACATGTACCATGTACCATGTACCATGTACCATGAATGTCCTTTCCACTGGTTTGTGGAAAGTCTGTCGCTTGGTAGCAAAGATCTCAACATTTAACCAGTGCATGTAGATAGGACGAGAAAATATATCTATCTATCTATTGAAGAACATGTTTCTATTGTTATAGGATAAGGAATAAACAAGATGAAATAAACATCTGGCTTTGTTTTTGTGGAGCATGAGAACTCTTCTCGGAGTGAGAGATTGAATGTTGTTTAATGCTGATGTCAGCAATATTCCAGCTACCATGGCCGTGTTTGTTGATTGTTTAACAGGGCAGTCGAGTAGCCTAGTGGTTTAAGCGTTCGTTCGTCACGCCGAAGACCCGGGTTCGATTCCCAACATGGGTACAATGTGTGAAGCCCATTTCTGGTGTTCCCCCCGTGATATTGCTGGAATACTGCTAAACGTGGCGTAAAACCATACTCACTCTCTCATTGTGTAACGCTGGACTCAACAATATTCCAGCTAAATGACGGTGGTCTGTAAATAGTCGAGTCTGGACAAGAAAATCCAGTGATTGACATCATGAGCATTGGTATACGCAATTGGGATATGATGACATGATTCAACCAAATTAGCGAGCTTGACCAACTGATCCCGTTAGTCGCCTCTTACAACAAGCAGGGGTGGCTGATGACCAGTTTTAACCAAAATCTTCACGTGGGCATGACTATGTAAATAATCAGCTTGTTTGTTTGTTTGTTTGTTTGTTGTTTAATGCTGCCCTCAGCAATATTGAAGCTATCCAACGGCAATCTGTAAATAAGTTGAGTCTGGACCAGACAATCCATTGATTGACATCACGAGCATTGATACACGCAATTGGGATATGATGACATGCATCAACCAAGTCAGCGAGTCTGACCACCCGATCCCATAAGTATAGTACAGTCGCCTTTTACAGCAAGCATGGGTTGATGAAGACCTATTCTACCCTGGATCTTCATGAGTGCCAATTACTTTACGACAATCAGGTCTGATCCAGGCAAAAAATCCAGTGGTTGACAGCATGAGCAATGATCCTCAGAATTAGTGAACACAAAACAATCAGATCACATACTGGTACTGGTAAAACAATTTTCTTGTACTTGTATTTTCATGTACTTGTAAAACAATTGTCTTTGACACTGTTGTTCATAATATCAATCACTAGATTGTCTAGTCCAGACTTTATTATTTACAGGCCGCTGTCAAACAGCTGGAATATTGCTGAGTGTGAAGTTAAACAACAAACACATTGACATCCAGCATATGCCGTGAAATCGATGACCCAGACTGACACTGGTTCTGATGCTTGGTTTTTCAGCAACATGCCCATTGGTGGTAAACGTCTACAAGCCGCCCATCTTCCTGAAGCAAGGGCATTAAGAGACTAAGTCCAGTTTCCACCCGTGCCGAACTAGGCTGGACAAATGAGTTTATGCATAGTCCTGTCAAAATCGTGTAACAAACTAGACATCATGTTTGTAAACAACATGGATTTCAACGTGCAGATTTCAGTCGATTGAAGGATTTGCAAAGCATGTGTTCCGCCATCTTGGCATTGACAGATATTTTTCAAAACCTTTTTTTATATTTTTTATCAAGGTGCTCAAGTGAGGCCCATTTTATTACAATATAGATATTGATTATCGATCAGATCGTCTTGACTGGGTGCTGCCATTTTGTTTGAAGCAATTGCAAGTGATATGAAAGGTGGAATCTGGTTGGTCAATAGAAGGGACATAATTCGTAATAACCACTGGTGGCGCTACGATCGAGCCTGGACATTCTAGCCTAGTTCGGCAAGGGTGGAAACTGGACTTTCATAGTCAGTTAACCCCTTTGCCTCAGGAAGATGGGTATATTGCAGTATGTATCGTAACATATTGCAATACGATTGTTTTGACAATACACAAACCATAGAGGCTGGCAATCCCAAATTTGACAGCTTTTTTTTACATGTACTTAATATTCTCTTCACTTCACTTAAATGCCAACTCTTTTATATAGAAAAATATGTAAAATATGTTTATAACGAACATGCTTATAATGAACTGACGGATATAACTTATTTTGGGTCATGTATATTGGCTGGATATATGCTGTTAATATGCTTATAACGAACTAAAATTAGTGACTCTTTGAGGTTGTTGTAACCATAGTTTACTGTAATTCTAATTTTTTTCAATTCAGAACTGCCCCTTTATATTCACTGAATGTTTTGCCCGCTTGTACCAAAAATTTAGAAGCCTCCACGGTGATTGGTTGATTAAGAAGTCCACTTGATGCCATCATCTACGGAGGGTTTGACAGGTCTTCAAGTGGGGATGTCAGAGTGAAACATCTGATTTGAGTGCCATTGGATATTCTGTTATATCATGGCATTACAGCTCAATAAAGTAGGAAGCCTATATTATTATTATTATAATTATTATACATTTATATACTGCAGGTATCCGTGTACTAGTATCTGCTCAAATGCAGTGTTATTTGTTCCCAATCAGTGGATCCATTTGCATTCCAGCTATCATTCTCAACTCCCAGGGGAGTATACAACCCATGCTGCCTTTGGGTGCTAGAGGTGTTTACATCCATCTTACATATCGGGTACCTATTCCCTGGTTTGTGAACAGAGGCACATTTGGACTAAGTCACTTGCCCAGGGTGACAAGTATTGACACTTGTGTTTCGGGTGTATGTACATATTCATGTTTCCACCATCTGGTCATCTGCCATCGGGCAAGTGGGTTCTTTTGAGTGCACAGGGCGTATGTAGGTGAGGTGAAATTGGGTTTAACGTCGCGTCCAAGATTATTGCACTTATATAGCGGCGTGAATGCACGTGTATGTGTGTGTGTGGCTGCTTGTACTAGTCCGGACTGATGCCGATTTATAGTGCTAGCTCACTGAGATACCATGCCGCAGTTTAACATGAATACCCCTCTCAGACACAGTATACTGACTCCGAGCCGACCAGTCCTTGTTTTAGCCCCTTAATGCCGAGCGCCAGACAGGGTAACAACAAGTACAATCTTTTAACGTCTTTTTGTATGACGCGGCCCGGGATCGAACCCTGGACCTTCCGCTCTCCGGGCGGACGCTCTACCACAAGACCACGGAGGCGGTCTAGGGCGTATGTAACATACACTAAGGGTAGTGACAACATTGTAAGGACCGGTAAACATTGTTGGTCCGAATGTGTATAACAACCCAAACACTAGTGGGATACGATCTCAGCACCTGGTGCCTGCTACCTTGGCGCTTTTGACTGCTTGCCCACGCTGCCCTATAGTTACCATGGGGACGCAGGTGGTGGTGAAAAAAGGACACCAACACAAACACATGTCTTCGTAATCCAATAAACCTGTGAAGATCTGGGGTAGAATAGGTCTTGAGCAACCCATGCTTACCGTAAAAGGCAACTATGCTTGTCGTAAGAGGCGACAAACGGGATCGGGTGGTCAGCCTTGCTGAATTGGTTGATGCATGTCATCGATCCCAATTGCGTAGATCGATGCTCATGCTGTCTTTCACTGGATTGTCTGGTCCAGACTTGATTATTTACAGATGCCATCATATAGCTGGAATATTGCTGAGTGCGGCGTTAAACAACAAACAAACAAACACACATCCAGTAAAACCAAACAAAAACAAATCTGAAAACATTTATTCAAACCAGATGATAAAATATTTTGGTTTGGTTCAATCCAACACTGGATGGTATTCATACATAATCACAGGATAGGTTGAAGTTAAAAACACGGAGATCGTATACATGAAACTGTTAAAAAATTCAAAAAATAACTCTGTGGCATCCTGAAATAAGGCAATGATAACGTAGTTTTTAAATTTTCATCCACAATCGCCTCAATACCAGACACCCCGCCTCACAAATATTTATTGCCCCTAAGGATCTAAGAAAAAAATATATCCGCGTTCCCTTGTCTCTCTGTCACTTAGTAGCAGGATCAGTTGCCAGAGTCCGTCAACAGAATCGTGTTTATAGTGAAGGGACTATTGGACAAAAGATTATCAAACAGACACGAAAACAAAAAAATGGTGCATCATGTAAAAACATGACAGTATTAGGAACCTAAGTACATGCATGTCTTTTTTATGTAAAATTCCTGTTGTATTTATTTTGATTGATTTATTTAATAAATGTATATCAGAAAGTGAAATTTCTAAACGAAACCTTTTTGACCTTCTGTACCTGATTTTAAACTTTTTACAAGAAATAGACCGATATTTTCAAAGATTCATGATTTCTAGTGATAGTTGCAAAAGCCAAAACTGGAAAACATTGTAAAATGAGGTCACTTTTGAGGATATAATTAAAATTTGAAATTCACATGGATTTAGCAAAATTAAAATTACACAGGCGATCAGATGAATTATACAATTCAGAAACTACAAAAATATTCAATAAAACTTCATTTAGTGATAATTGTGAGGAGAGAACTTCATTATATCAAAAAGTGCATATATTTGATTGGAAGAGATGGAGATTTATTAGAAGAATAGCTTCATCACAAATATGTCCAAACTGAATAGTTTGTTGTCTACCTGTGTCTGGTGTCCCCCGCAGTGATATTGCTTAATATTGCTAGAAACGGCGTAAAACCATACTCACTCACTCACACATCCGTTTGATTACCGTGTCCACAAATTATGCCTTAACAGGACAACAACGACAATGTCTTCAGATTTCTAGTCAGGGGATTAATCCCTGACAAGGCATTCGTTGTGGGCTGGTCTAGGGTACCCAAACAGGATGTTAGTCCTAAAAGGTAGTTACTGACGTTTTCATGTTATTTTAGATCTACTATTGATTGACTGCCTCCAGGTGTATTTGTATAGCTGCTAAGCATCGCAAGATAGATATTGTCGATAGCGACTGCAACCAAGTCTATATATCAGCCAAGGGAAACATCTGTCAAGCACTGATTCAACGCCATTTAGGCCATGTCCCCAAATAACTATGTTAATCCTGTTACCATGGTTACAGTGATTTCAGCATTTCCACTTGGACACTTAAATACTTTCAGTGAATATTATGAATTATTTTTTATCGACAAATGAGTTAATCATGTTAATGTGAAATTTGATATTATAAAATATTCTACATCATGCACATGAAACAAGCAAACAAAAGGAATAAGAAAACAA